ACACTGACTGGCTTGGTGAGGTGGAGTGTGCATCCTTGGATGCTGGTGCTGCCAGTGACCGAGGTTCGGAGGCGCTGGCACAAGCCAATCAGGAGAGCCTCTGTCTTGCTGACGTTCAACTGTAGAAAGGTGGCTCTCATCCAGGACTTGATGTCTGACAGGCAGTCTGTCGGGACATCGATGATCCTGGGGTCGATGCATAAATATTTCCTTAATCAGGTTCACTTTAGTTCAAAATAGAAAGAAAAAAACATGATTCTTTATTAGCTGTTTGACTATCAGTTCACGATGGGAAAAGTATTTTCATTTAGGTTTTCAGCTGGTGTATATGTAAATATGTACATCATGTATTACGTTAGCTAATTATCGATGACACTGCCTCACTGAACATGTTTTACAAAAGTGGTTCAAACTTATAATCGAGGAATTCACGTAATTGATCAGAATTCAAATGAAGTAGAAACATCTGCACTAAAAATTAGAATGCAACTTTATTTTGTTGATACATTTTTAGAATAGAAGGCAAGAATACAGTCTTGAAGATGAATTAACATCCTAATTAAGTTTACAATGTCTGATATGTCCTGGTTAACACTAATAATTTGTGGAAATCCAAGCCAGGTGGACTTCCCAAAACATTGTGCATTTTAAAAATGGTGTATTGTCAAACTGATCTGACAATGCTTAAAAAATTATAAAACCTTCACCTATTTTCACAACATGCATATCAGTCATTCTACATTCATTCACTGCACCCCAAGGATTATAAATCATGAAAAATGCAAGTCCATGTTAATTTTTTAAAAACACATACATACATACATGGACTTGGATTTCTCATGATTTATCAAAATATAGCATATTTGCATATAGCATATTTGCATATAGCATTGGAGTCCTGTAGCTCAGTGGTTAGAGCACTCGCTTTGTAAGCGAGAGACCCGAGTTCAATTCCAGGCAGGTCAGGGCGAAACCTTGGGCAAGTTTCCTTACTCCACACGCCTAATAATAATCCCTCCAAAACCAAAAACAATAATAAATTGGTCATTTTCAATCCACGACTGTTTGTGGGACATTGCTGTGCGCAATTGGCTGCCGCGTTCGCCCACAAATATACAGTCAATTCACTTTACAGTGTGTTCTGTGAAGCGCTTTGGGACGTCCTCCCGACGTGAAAAGCGCTATATCAAATGCAAGGATTATTATTGTAGGTTGGGTATATTTGGCGATATTTACAAATGTCAACTGTTAAAGACAAAGGCATAAAATAAATGCTCAAAAATAATTTGAGTAAAAATTAAAACTCTCCACATCTTAGTTCTATTTTGGTGTGAGAGTTAAAAGAGTTTAAAAAAAATCAATGTTTCACCACAATTTTAAAATGTCTAATGCTAAAATAATTCACAAATCAAGATCAAATGTTTACAAACGTACATGGCAATTCCACTATCAACCAGTGGTCACCCACAAGACAGGAATCCTTTGGTGAGTGTACAGATTAAGATGCTACAGTCAGAGGTTCAAGTTCACAACCAAACTCAGACCTGATCAAGTCAGTACCAATTCCAATATTACAGCAAATGTTTGACAAATGATGGTTTCAACAATCTAACACTCTTCGGTAAAATAAGCTTTTAACATCAATATTCGTGAGAAACTATACTGGAATTTAAACACAATGAGCACACATGAAAGCTTAAAAAAAAACTTGCTTCAAAATATATTCTCTTAAAATAATTTCACAGACTGCAATTTAAAAATACAATGCCATATACATAGGCCACTTATAGAAGCGGATCAACTGCTCCAAATTGGATGGTTATGTGTTTGAGTCCCAAGTAGTTCATCACTCAAACTCACTTGGCACCAGTGGTAGAGTGTTTACTCAGTCCTCAGTAAAGCCAACGGATGAAGACACTCAGAAGTGAGGTGTTCCATCTGAGTGGAGAAATAAAAATCACGAGTTGTCTCATCCTCCTGTAAGTATGCAGTCATTACATTGCAGCACATCATAGAACATCAGAGCTCACAAAACTCATTTTGTCCTTGCCTCCTCATTAAAGGAAGCCCTGTGGCTAGATGAAATGTCTGCAGAGAAATTAAAATGGCAACAAGAAAAACTGAAATAAAGATGATTTTTTTTTGAAAATCACTTTTAAGAAACCTGACAAAATAGCTGCTGCACAACATTTTCTGAAGATTAATAATGATCGAATATATCACTTCAATCAAATTTAAAAATTTTAAAACAATGAAATAAGCCAATACCTTGTTGTTAACTTTATTCCTGAATACTTAATAATACTTGCATTTGATATATCGCGTTATCACATCTTCAAGATGTCTCAAAGCGCTACACAGAATTCGCTGTAAACTGAATAGACTGTATATATTGTGTGCTAATTTATCACACTTTAAGTAGGCATCTACTAGTCATTAGCCCAGTATTACTCAACGCCTAAGTTACTCATCTTGAATGCATTCTCTTGTGAAATAGTCTTTGTTCATCTGTCATCTGCTAGCTACTCACCACCCATCACTGACAGTGCACACCAAAGTGCAAGTGGTGCAAACACTTTAAATTAACAAAAATAGCAGGTTTTCTCAAAAAGAACAACAAAACTACATTTGTAAAGCGCCTTTCACACCGAGAGGATGTCCCAAAGCGCTGAACAGTCAGGGATCAGGACCCGAGCATGGGAGGCAGAGTTGAAATGAGGGAGGGCAGAGGAGGTGGGAGGGCAGCTGAAGGCACGATCAAAAAGGAGAGTTTTGAGTCGTACCTTGAAGGAGGCAAGAGGGAGCAAGGAAAAGGGATTTTGGGATGGAGTTCCAGAGAGTAGGGACAGAGAGGCTGAAAGCCTGGCGCCGATGGTAGGGCAGTTCGAGCGGGACACCTGCAGCAGACTGGAGCCGGCTAAGCAGAGGGAGCGGACGGGTTGATAGGTCAGCAGGTCAGAGGTGCAGGAGGGGGCAAGGCCGTGGGGGGCTTGAAAGTGAGGACGAGGATTTGGAATTCTATCTTCTAAGGGATAGCCATGCGAGAGTGGGGATGATTGGGTCATGGGTGGCTTTTCCCTCATTTTAACTTTCAACAAAATTATAAATTAAATGACCAGTTATTTGTTAACTTATTCAGAAAGCAAGACCACAATCAATAAAAAACATTTACTCATTCATATCAGTATCGAGACTTCATTGAAGTAGCTTTAAATAATTTAATGCAATGTATAATAATAATATCCTTGCATTTGATATAGCGCCTTATCACATCTTCGAAACATCTCAAAGAGCTTCACAGAATATACTGTAAAGGGAACTGACTGTATATTTTGTGGGTGAAACCAGGCAGCCAATACTGCTAGGTAAACAGAGGTGTGTGGAGTAAGGAAACTTGGCTAATGTTTTGCCCTGCCAGGAATTGATCCCAGATCTCTCACTTGCGAGGCGAGTGCTTTAACCACAGAGCTACAGGACTAGGACTGTCAATTAATACGCATGAGTTAGGGTTAATCTAGCTATTAATTTGCCAATTGTTAGTCTAGTTTGAAGAAAAACTTACATTTGTTTAATAAATCAGAAAAACATAGTAAATGATAAGATTTATTCTTGCTCCTTTTTAATTTATATATCAAAATAGCGAATTCACACTGAAATGTATCAAATACCCATGGCAAATCCACTATGACACTATCTGTAATTCTCCTACTAGTGCAGAGTACTGTTAATCCATCACACAAAGGATCAGTTTCTACTTTTGTTTTCAGTAAAGGTAAAATTTCATACCGATGACAAAAATGAATATAATGGATGGTTCTCAAAATTATGTCACAATGAGCATCAATAACTAGTCAGACCCAGTCAACATTTTACTCGGGTCAACACCCCTTTATCTTTTTAAAGAAAACAAAATCAAATAGAAAAAGTACTCTATAAGCAAAGTATCTCTATTGTCTTGTTTTCTTTGTCTCAATTATAGCACTAATACAAACACAGGACATGCGTAACCAAGAGTAAATAGCCTTCCTGCCAATAGCCTTCTGCTGTATTATTAATGAAACAATGAAACAAAAGACAGATAGCGCCTGATAGAAAATGGCACAATTGAGCAAACATTCTAACCATGAAACAACCAGCACAAAATAACCTACATGCTACAAATTCATAAAACCATATCAAGCTGTTAATCACTTAACTACTGCTGCAGACAAGAAAAATTGGTTCATTACTATTGATCTAATAAGTTCACTGTTCATTATAGATTATGTCTCTTTCATCTATTAAATATGCAGACATAATGAAACAAGGTAAATGGGCCAATTGTAAACATTAGATTAAAAACGGACTGAAAATGAAATTACTTTCCTGTGCCAAAAATGAACTGCTTTATTTTAAAATAGATGCTGTTCAGTTATTCAAAATACTATTTAATTTCATTACAATACTGTGAAGCAGCACACTCATAGAGAAACTGTAAAATACATGTGGGTCAACACATCAAGTGCAGTGCAGAACAGAATACTGTACTGCTAAAAATGCCACAATATAATTAAATACTAAGTATTTGGTTTGCTATTTCATAAGTCAAGTACTGTGTAATCACATTATAAAATTGGGAAGATAGTCAATAGAAGCAAAGTACTGGACATCATGTTTCACACAGCACAATTTTAACAGCACACTCATTTCAGGAGTGATGGAAGTAACATGTGAATCTGTAATTTCTTATTTCATAAACTATGAAGTAGGCTTAACTGATACATTTGTACTGGCTGAAATTAAGCAATGACATCCCTTCTATTGGTTGCCATCAAGACGTCCGCCCGACGTGAAAGGCGCTCTATAAATGGAATCTTGTTGTTGTTGTTTCCTTTCTTAGGTATATGTTACTGAACAGCTCTTTTTGTGAGTATCCACTGACATTTAAAAACTGTTCATAACGTCTAAAATTAAATGCAATACAATTGAATTAAAATACAATTTAGACACGGTATGGAAAACAAACTTCATGACCAGTTAACTCTGATTCACCAACGCGATTAAAGCTTGTTTACTTTTGGTCTTCCACCCATCAGGCTGTACAATCCCTTAGGTAAATGTACTTTTTAAATCTTAGCTGCCAATTGTCGGTGCTGTGCTTCAGAAACGTGAATTTAAGTGTTATAATTTATACACAGAAAGCACTGGGCAAACAGATCAGCAATTTCAAAACAACTACAATTTGGCTGACACCTCTGGCGAAACTACACCATTCGCTGTGGCAAAACTTTGCCGTCACTTTCCCCACTTCCCAGATCGTGACGGAACGGTTCGAAGCAGAAGTTTAATTAGTTAACACCGAGTTTCAGGTAAAACTGCAGAATTGGGAGCCCTGCGTCACACGGACGGTTTGCCAAATGCGGACCAAGCCAGGATCACACAAACAACCCACATCAGACAGGTACCCTGCAATCACAGCCATTGTAACCCAATAAAAACACGCCGCGCGAATATACCGCTGCTCCGTTACCTCGCGCAGTACAGACCGGGGAGCTCGGCAGCATGAGAATCAAGCGAATAAAGTTAACACATTGGGGGGAATACGAAAGTAAAGAGCAGTCGAGGGTAAGGCCTGCGAGCGCCCACACAAAAATGTTACCAGCTATTTACAGTGAACAGGCTGACGCCATATTGGAAAGCAAAATGGCGGCGGCGGCGGCGGCCAGGACGCTTCCACATTTGGGTAAATAGCAACTCGCTGTTGCTCGTTTCTCTCGCTGACCGGTCGTTTCACCCGAGAGCTGCGCGACCTTCCTCAACAGCTGTCTCTGCCTGAACTTATCTCACATCTTCCCTCCCCCCGAGAGAGAGAGAGAGAGAGAGGGAGCGCGCGCGAGCGAGCGAGCGAGCGGGGGTGGCTTTGACTCCCAGCCTCTGTGTGTGTGTGTGTGTGTGTTGCGCGCTCACTGCCTCTTCAGTCAGTACCTGCAGCTCGGCCTTCTCCACCTCCCAGTGCGCTCTCTCCATCTCGAAGCGGGCCCACTCGTGCTGGATATAGTGTAAGATGCCGGGGATGGTGTACTGCGGCCGCTGCAGCTCGCCTTCCTGTCCCTGTAGCGTTAGCGGCGGCGGCTGCTGCTGCTGTGGCTGCGGCTGCCTTAAACCACCACCACCTCCTCCTCCTCCTCCACCGCCGTTATTATTCCCGCTCCCCGGACCCAGCGGCGGGCCGCCCGAGTTGTTATGCGACCCCATTCCTCCGGCGAGCTCGTCCATGGTGTCTGGCAGCCCCCGCCGCGATCGAATGGGGGGGGTGGGGGGGGGGAGAGAGGATGGCGCCGGCGCGTCAAGTAAATGGGAGAGAAGAGCCCGAGCGAACGAGACTCTCAACGCCGCGAGCGAGCCGCCATTTTACATTCTTTCTGCCGAGACGGAGCCGCGATGCATGGTGGGGGATGGGGAGGAGGAGGAGGGAGGGAGGGGGGGGGGCGAAAGGCTGTCACCCAGTGCGCAGGCGCGGCGCACACCTGCCCCCACCCCATACCCCCCCCCCCCACACACAGATGCTCCAGTGCTCTCCTGCAGCTACAAGCCCCCGCCCCCGCCCCAGATGCGTACCTGGAATTCCACAGCACGAAATGCAACAAAACAAACTCGATTTAATCTCTTTCCCACACACCTCCTCCACTCCCCAGTCGCCCCGAGTTCAAAGCGCGCGTTGCTTTTCTGCTTTTTTTTTTCCGCCCCCCCCCACACACACACACACACACTTTTTACAAGGCGAAGCTCGCCCGGAATCTATTGCCGAAATTAACAGATTAGCGTGAACGGCTTCGGTGGCTGATGATTAATGACCCGCACGTTTCGTCGTATGGCGTTGTCCAGATGTCTGAAAAGCGCTTCGCGGGAGCTTTTTTACGGCGGCTGCGCAGTAGGCAGGCGAATGTGGATGCGCTGGAACGATGATACAACTTGGATTTAGCAAAACATTTGGAACGCGGTTTATGCTGACACCGTGACATTATTCAAAAGGAGAAGGGCATTTCTCCCAGTGTTCTGGCCAACAATCCCCGGATGGAAAATTGGTCATTCGCTTCATGGTTTTTTGTGGGACATTACAGAGTGCAAATTGGCTGCATCTTTGCCTACAAAATACACATGGATGGGATAGAACTTGCCAAGAGAGAAGCTGAAAGAGATCGAGGTGTGTTAATTGACTCATCACTCGCAATGTCAAAACTGTGCAAGGCCATGATAAACAAAGCAAACAGGATGTTGGGCTATATTGCTAAACCAGTTGAATTTAGATCTCCAGACATCATACTCAGCCCGTATCGTGAATGTTCTGTTCAGACCACATATTGAATACTGTACACAGTTCTGGTCTAGAGGCAGTGCAGAGGAGAGCAATGAGGATGATCCCCAGTTTAGAGTATTGAGCTATGATTGAGCCAGATTAGAGATGCTGAGGCTCTTCAACCTTGAGGGAAACAACGCAGAGATAACTTCATAGAGATATATACATTTAAATGAGTTTGAAAAAGTAAACCCAGAATACCTTAGTATGCTCCAAGACAGTAGAACAAGAGAACATAGGTTTAGAGTTGCAAAGGGCAATTTCAGGAAATATACCAGGAAGTTTTTTTCTTTACTCGGAGGGTATTTAATAACTGGACCAGGTTGTCAGGAAGGGTGGTTGAGGCCAGGACACTGGACTAATTTAAAAAGCAGCTTGATGCTGGGATGGGAGGATGGATATTCTAGAGGGATGGAATAATAATAATATTAATAATAATATGGTTGAGAATCAGATGGGTCAAAGGGCCTTCTTCATCAGAACTAATCTTGTGAGTTTACCTGACATGAACACATTTTACAGCAGGAGTCTCAAGGCAACAATCAGGATCCACAATCTGGGCTGAATTTCTTTCACTCAGTAGCACAAGGACAAGAAGCTGTAGAAGCTCCCCCAGTACAGCGCTAGCTCAGATTGGGTCACTTAGCATAGATTATTAATCAAACCTGAGACCTCCCTCATCAGTATAAACTACTATTATTCATTGGTTTCCTAAAGCTGACAGTCTTCTTTTTATTACGTCTTTTGCAGTTCCAACTTTTTTTTAAAGTAACCATACGCACTGGATGCTATCACTTTGTGTGAAGGCCTAGAAATTGATAGTTTTTTTTTGAATTGGGAGAGAAGGAAGGAGAGAGTCTGGACATGTGCACAGTGATGACTAAGTATTTAACATATCTGCAGAATTTGGCAGGAATGCAACTACAAGGAGAACTGGAATGAAAGTCACAATAACCATGAGTTACATTCAAACCTGCCTAAGGCAGCTGTTAATGTCTATACAAGTTACCCTTCTAATTGCCTGGGAGATAGTGTGTGGTAGGTCAAAGGATGGTGGGAATCAGAACATTGTTCCTTTGTATCAACTAACCAGTCAGGAATGTCTTGAGGGTGTTTATTTCATACTAGTGCATGCATATTACATTTTTCTGTGTTTTGTTGAAAAAAAATAGGAACTTACTCACTGCACTTATAAAAACTGGTTAGTAGAACTCTTCCAATAATTCAGTTGCAAATCCACAAAGCTCTACTTGGCTCCTTTGAATGTGAATTTGGAGTGGAAACTGTAGTATAAAGGTAGTTATCCACTCTGAATGGCTTTCCTGCTGTAAATAATAAATTGATCCCTGCAATATAAACTGGGGATTAAAAGCTCTTTTCACTTAACTATGTACTGTGCTTGACAAAAGCTGTTGCTGAAACATTGAGAACATTGAATCATAAAAAGGAATAAAATGCATCTTTGTTGCAGATGAGTAAGTAGCCAAATGGTAGAGAAAGCTACAACAGACGACATCGCTGCAGCAAGTAAACAGAGAATATATTTGTTGAAAGACAGGTAAGGAGAGTCTTAATTGCAAGCTGGGAAATTTCTTTGTTTTTCAGCTTGGAATAGCTCAAAACAAATTAGTCCCTGGCTTGTTGAATTTTCTGTCCTTGCAGGATGCTGGATATCAGAAAGAACTCCAGTGAAGGCTACAAGATATTTACTTACTGTGAAGAGATATTGTTGTTGCACATTTTGGTGATGTTTTAAAATATCAAACCTATTAACTCAAAAATACCCCCAAACAATACAAAATAAATATGTTCTTATTTTCTAAACCAGAGTCTTTGTTTCCAGTATAGCTTTGTTGAGATATCTCTTTGTTTCTTTTCAGGAATACGCTGAACCACAAAGAACAGGATCATTTCCCTCAGTTCAAACATTTTTCGAACATTGCGCCAAGATGATTAAGTTTTTCCTTCTAGTGAACAAGCAAGGACAAACAAGACTCTGTAGATACTATGAAACTATGGAGATCCACAAAAGGACCCTGTTAGAGGCTGATGTCATTAAGAAGTGCCTGTCACGTTCAAAGGACCAGGTAAAAATTAAATGAGATTCAAACTTTGCTGAATCTCCTTTTGCGTGAATGGAGGAATCTTTCTTAAAAAGGCAATCAATGTCTGCTGCTCAAGTGCTCCAGGACTCTACCTTGTGTGAAGGGCGCTATATAAAAGCAAGTTGTTGCTGTTGTTGTAGTGCATCGTAAACCATGATCTCCTTCAGCTACGGTCTTCGAGCATGAGATTCTCACCTGGGACAATCCCTTTCTCAATGAATATTCAAACTAAAGGTTTTGTCCTTATGGGTGAGTTCGGTATGAAGTTTGGGACTCTTTCCCCACCACTTACATGTAGTGTCTGCTATGTTGATTGCTATATTGGGAAGCTGAGGCATTTGTAGAGATTTCCCTGGTTTCATCAATGCTTTTGAGATGAGTACAGTGTGGGTGAACGCCATGGGGAAGGAAAATTACAACATCAAATTATCTCTTAAAAAAAATAACAACACAGGTCTTCTCCAGAGGGTAGGTTGAGTCAGCCTGGGTTTCTCTTCTGCGGATCCTCTCTGTCCACTTCTAGATTACTACAGGCAAAAGGCTGAATGCTGGACAGCTTGCCTCTTGATAAAGGAATGGTTCATGGCTCAAAGGGATCGAAAGAGGGGAAAACATATTAAAACAAAACACCTTTTTTTTAACAAAAGTCTTAAAAATAAACGTTTTTTTTAATTAACAGAATAGTTAATACAGATTCCAACATCTCTAAAGTCTTTTCTTTTTTCCATAGTGTTCCTTTGTTGAATACAAAGATTTCAAACTTGTGTATCGTCAATATGCCGCCCTCTTTGTTGTGATTGGAATTGATGCGACAGAGGTAAGCAGCACTCGTCATTCTTTTGTAACTACATACAGGAACTTCAATGGCTCAAGACTGAGAGGACCACTTAGGTCCAATGCTAGGATGCTAGAATACGCAATTGGCTGCCGCATTTCGCCCACAAATATACGGTCAATTCACTTTACAGTCTATTCTGTGAAGCGCTTTGAGACATCCAGAAGACGTGAAAAGCACTACATCAAATGCAAGGATAATTATTATTATTATGCATCGTCTACATCTCTATCTATCCAAATTAGGTTAAGTAATAGGCCAAACACTACAGAAATATGTGTCAGTGAATTTGTGTGTGATGCAGAATGTGCATTAGGCTCTATGTTTTGTCGACCCTCTTTTACATAGATCCAGATTCATTTTGATCCATATTTAGTCCAACAATTACAGATATCAGAAATTGAAATGTAATCATTTGATATCCAGTTACCTGTTTTGAAGCGTCCTAAGTGGATCTAAAGTTGGAAAAGGCACATAAATGATGTGGTGCTGCTTCTAATTGAAAATGATTAATATGATCACCTTCTATATAGCAAGTAGCTTCCAGAGCCCCGAGAGAGCACCATCATTCTGACACCAATGTCCAAAGTAATTTGTAAAGTCATCATTTGTAAAGATGTAGTAGTAAGTGCTTCCGTGGGTCACAGCACCATCTCTTTCATATTACAGCACAGCTACTTAAGGCAGGCTGCCATCAGCAGCATCTGTGTAATATAAACGGTGTACGAGACTCAGCACTGAGTCTGCCCTTTATTACACCAGCATATGTTTTCAATCTCATTTCCATCTTGTGCATATTTGGCCAATATAATATACAGCAATTCGGGCATCTAATTTCTGCACTCACATACAAAATGCGTTGATGCAAACATCTGTATCGCAAATGCGCCAAGGCACAAAGATAAATTAGCCCATTTTTAAAAAAAAGACATTTTATATGTGATATCAGAGGTAATAGAAAATATTTTTATGAAGTCAAATGCTACCAGATGTCACTCCATCTTGGAGCTGTTATCAATCAATTAGACAGAACGACAAACAGAGAAGCAAAAAAGCGCTCAGGCTACTTTTTGGACCTTAATGGTAATTTGGAAAAATAAGCAACACCAGACAAACAGTCACTATTGTTGCTCGACTCTTGTACATTTTGACAGTAAAACTGACAAAACAATTATTCCGATTTTGATTTTCAGAATGAACTGGCTGTGTATGAACTTATACACAATTTTGTAGAGGTTCTGGATAAATACTTCAGTAGAGTGGTGAGTTAATCAAATTTATATTATTCAACACTTTTTAACTTATTCTGTAGCTCTCATTCCAGCCTTGGTGGGCACTGCAGCATAGGTATGCACACCTTTAGCTCGGGTCTCAATTAAAAAAATGCAATGAAGGTTCTTCCAACAGTGATGTGGTATCACAAAGGTTAGTGAAGGACTGCTTTGGACGACGTGAATCAATCAAACCACATAAATCAAGTAGGGAAAGAAGCAGCATTGACATAAAAGTAATGTATTTACAAAATATTTTATGTAGTGAAACCTGTTCTCACCCAAAATTAACATAGATGCACTTTCTTACAAGGGTCACCGTACAGCAACCAGGAACATTGGCTAACTTTCCCCTCCCTCACCCAAGGCGCTAAGGCTAATTGCGGTGCACAAACTGTTGGGAGTTTGTCTTTCCAGACTGAAATTCTCAGCATGGCAGTTGTGCGCATTTGATACTGTATTTGTCCATAAGGGCATTGGGTAGCCATTCTGTGACTTAGTCAAAGTCTAAATAACAATTGTAAAGTTTATGTAATGTATTTTCAACACTGAGTTGGGGGAGGAGACAATGTTACTTTTGGCATGTTAACAGTATCTATATTTTCTTTTGCAGTGCGAGTTGGATGTATCCTTTTCCAAATTCTGTTGTTGAAAGTTATTTATTTGTAATAGACTGTATATCAAAAACTATTGCTTTTGTCACTTAGTTGTATCCAGTGAATGCCTGATTCGTTGTTTGAAAATAAACTACTTTAGTACATGGATTAAAAACATGGAAACGGTTTTTTTGCAAATATACAGACATTTGCGGCAACTAATGCTCTCGGGTTCTCATAAATAGCAACATGTGCATTTTGCAGTAAGTATTAAAAGATATGATCGCAATTTGTGTGTGGCCCTCTTGTTTGAGTTGCAGTTACCAAAACTAGTTTGGAAGAAATTTGTGCTCTGCTGTGAAATGTGATTTGTTTCTGCTCGTCATACTGAACTTACCTCAGTAAGTTCATACTGAACATAAATATTTAATGGTTGGCCACAGTATGCCTTCTGTTCAACATCTATGAAACATTCTGTTGCTTTCTGTGACTCCTTCAGGTATGGAGACTAAGTGCAGATGTTTTATACAGAGCCAAATACATCCTAACAACAGTTTAACCTTGTGAATTAGTGTCTCAGAGTATATGGATATTTTCCAAGAACCAGTGGACAATCTGATCCAAAGCTTTTCCCTGCTCCTTTGTCTTCAATCAAACTTAATTTTTTTTTCTATTAATGTATTTAAATGTGATTAAATACATGAATAGAAGCTGATTTTTTTTAAAAAAATTGTGCAGCCCATACTCTTTTCTCTTAAGTTATTTTAGAAACTATGATTCCTCCTTTCCTAAAGGTATTTAACATGTTTTTCCTTTTACTGTCAAACAGTGCTACAATCCTCTGGTTTTACAATATATATAGTGTATTAACCCAATAGGCCATCAAGAAACTATTTCTAAATGTTAACTAGATACACAGTAATAATAATAATAATAATCCTTGCATTTGATATAGCGCTTTTTACGTCGGGAGGACGTCCCAAAGCGCTTCACAGAACACACTGTAAAGTGAATTGACTGTATATTTGTGGGCGAACGCGGCAGCCAATTGCGCACAGCAATGTCCCACAAACAGTCGTGGGTTGAAAATGACCAATTTATTATTGGTTTTGGTTTTGGAGGGATTATTATCAGGCTCTGTGTGGAGTAAGGAAACTTGCCCAAGGTTTCGCCCTCTGCCTGGAATTGAACTCAGGTCTCTCGCTTGCAAAGCGAGTGCTCTAACCACTGAGCTACAGTACTTACTTATCCAAAACCTGTTGCATTTTGTATTGAGAAATATGATAACCATTATTTCAAACTGAAGTGCTTCAGCTCGGCAATGTATGCTCTTTAACCTGTGAATCATTCAGATCATGTTTAATTTAGATAAAGTCCACATCATCCTGGATGAAATGATTTTAAATGGCCGTGTCGTGGAGACAAACAAGACCAGGATCCTTGCTCCTCTGGTTGCCCTGGACAAAATGACTGAAAGCTAAAAGAGGAAATGGCTAAATGCTTGAAGATTGCAATCCTATTACAACAGGATGATACTTGTTTTATGCCCCTCCCCCCATGAATGTATTATCATCATCGAGGCTTTGTTTTACTACCTGAGATGAGACAATATTGGAGTTATCTTTGAGTGACATGTTTATACTTTTTGTGCTATTGTACATTAATAGCTATGTATTTATGCTGAAATATAGCATTTGCCATTTTTCTTGGTTTAATTGCTGCAGCTTCCTACATTCATCAAAGGATGAATATGTCAAAATCTATAACATTTTACTTGTACTTGTCTTTTCACATTAAAAAATAAAAATAATCTTGCATTTGATATAGCGCCTTATCACGTCTCAAAGCACTTCACAAAATATGTCAAGCGAATTAACTGTATATTTTGTGGGTGAATGCCTCAAAAGAGATTGATAAATGGAATGGTGGGTATCGCAAGGGAACAGAAGACCTGAAGCGATACATTTTTTAAGAAGGTCTTGAAAGCAGGCAGAAAAGGCAACATACATTAGATGTTGTGGAACAGAACATTTATTAACATGATGCATGTAATAGGATGCATTTGGAAAGGAAAATAGAGAAAGCAGGAAATGTAAAAACTAAATGAAGTGAATCCTGTGGCCTAACCACAAATCCATTATTGTAGTGAAGTCGAAACTGGGAGATGACAGACATGTGTGACACAGACAAGCCTAGCCTGTCTACATCCTCTCCAGAGACAAAGGCAGGTGCAAACAAATTTCCATGAATGGGCATATTGCAGAGTAAGTTAATGAGCTTTGCTGGTCACAACAAAATGCTGGTGTTGTGTTTCTTTGCTATTCAATAAATTAGGCAACAGCTGAATTCTTCCTTCCCCAGATCTTTAACTCTCACAGACACCAACAGAAAACCACAGCAAAAGTGGCAAGAATATAAAAAGGAAACCAGCATCTCTGCAGGAAAAATGATTACAATCAGAGATCACAGCCGATTTTTTTTATTCCTTTTCCTGGAGGCTTCACTTGGAAGCCCGACTGTTATGATTTGTTTGTGAGTTTGTCCATGTGAGTGAGTGTCTCTCTCTATGCGTTTGTGTCTATGTGACCCACATCAATCAGCACAGATAATCACAATCTTAAGTCTCCTTACCATTGTATCTAAAGTTATAAACTTTACAAACAGGTTTATGTAAAACTGTTAATTTAAAATTCAAAAGCAGGTACCTGAACCACATGATGTAAAAATTGAGCTACTGAGGAGTACATTTCTTGGTTATCCCTGGACTGAATTTCTGCTAATAATCTCATTTGGGGTGGGGGGGAGAAATCAGGATTGGCTTCAGTGTCAATTGGCTGATGGAAAAAAACAGCCAAAGTTTTCATTTTGATCACTATCATGATGTTACTCTGCCAAAAAATCCCTGACTGTGGATGTTGGGTGAGGACAGGATTGGACTTGGCTAAGACATTTGGTATTTTCTGTCTAAGCTCAGACATGAACAGCATTTGGCCAAGATACCAGAGAACTAATTGTTGCTCTTGGAATTATACACCAGAATTCGTCACCAACTTTGCAGAAGGGTGGGGGGAGCAAATCAGAAACCTGTACTTTGTTCAGCAGCAAGGTGTAAATTACTCTATTTAAAATTTCAATTCTTCCTGTCCCAGACCTTTAACTTTTGTACTCTTAATTCTGAAATCTGAAACTTATTAATCAATTTACAAGAAAGCAGCATTGGGAAAAGGTGTCCGTCCCACTGTAATTTGCAATTTGTAAACTTGCAACACAGTAGTAACTCTTCAGAGATCAAAAAAACTAAGCTAATACATGAGAATAGAATTGGGTTGAGGCTCAGACACAAACGAGTTGGGCCAGATGGCTTCTTTTGGTTCTGTAGATTCTGTCATTCTTATGTAAGGTGCATCTAACTCGCAATCAAATGTGTCTGACTGTATTGCAGAATACAAGGTCTCACTTTAGATAAATGTTTACACCAGCAACATATATCTTACCCGCTTGAAAACCTCTATCTCTGGACAGAATCCCTGAAGTTAACTTAATACTTCTATATATGAGATATAAAAATCTTAACATACCAAACCCCAAGTGTACAATATACAGGGATTAAAGCAGGACACAGTATTATTGAAATGAATGTCATTGAATAGTTGGGAAGACAGGTTCAAACTTGTAATTCATCATATCGCAACTTCCTGATAGCCAGGCCATCAAGGGTTGGATTCAATTACAAGTAGTCATAATGTTTTCCTGCACATAGGGAGATAAACCATACTTAATCAGTTTGAGTTGCTCTGATACAGCCCCTTCACACTGGTGTTCCACCATAGCATTTGTGGTGATTTGGTTTGATCAGTCTTCCTTTCCCTACCCGAGACAAATAAGAAGTTGTCTTTTTTGAGTGGGGAAAGGAAGACTGGAAAATCTTGTTTCTTATAAATACACAAATTAGCTATTAATTCCCAAAGAAGTTTTAAAAAATGCATCATATAAACTTCAGTGTGACATTATTATAGCTACATAACTTGTCACAAGAAACCTTAGGCTTTACACAAAATCTTGTGTAGATTAGCTAGATTCACTGGATCCAGTGTAGGTATTATATTCTATCCTTTCATTTTACTGCACACAACTAATTTAACAGTTGCTGTTATCACAGCACACCCATGAAGCATTGCAGCCTGCAATTGTTAGGAATGTCTTAATGTTTGATGCCAATGTCTTAATGTATAGGCTGTCAAGGTACCCTGAAGGCATTGGCTCTCCAAACTCAATGGTTCAAGAGGTAATGCCAAAAAAAATATTTTATCTCAATAGTGCAGGTCTTTCATTCTGAAGTTTTAGAAGTAAAAAATAACATTTATAATTAGCTGGCTAGCAGTTAATAAGAGGGTTCATTCTATTTTGCTTTTAACTTTCTCTACACTTGGTCTGGAATAAATTACTTTAGCGGATTCAGAAAAGCAACACTCCAAGAAACAATATCCAATTTAGATCGATTCCAGCTGGGGCAACCAGGCAAGAAAAATTTCCCACCAACTAAAATAAATCTGATCCCACCTTTAGCCCCTTAGCCACAACTAACATTATACATGGACAAATCGAACTTCAACTTCTAAAATTAAAACAGCACATGCGCCACCCAGTGTTTGTTTTATATAATGGTTTCTTTCCTCCAGTGAAACATGCTCACAAAATCCTTGTGAAATACATAGCTGTAAAGCGTAGTGACTATTTGTAGGTTAAAGGCACAGGCAATTTGCACACAGCAATGTCCCACAAACATGAATTGAATGACCAATTTTATTTGAGGGATTGTTGACAGGACATCGGGAGAAACTCCCTTCACTTCACGAGTTGTACCATGGGACTGTTAGGTCTTCCTAAATCGCCAGACGGGACCTCAGTTTAATGAAGGATGACAGCTCAAACAATGCAGCACACCCTAAGCGCTACATTGGAGTGTGAGCTCAAAGTCCCAGTGTGGAGCTTGAACCCACAACCTTCTAAACGGAAGCGAGTGATACTCACTGAAGGTGGACATTTATCAGCCTTTAGATATTACAGGAAAACTTAATAGTAGTAAGAAGCCACCAGCAGGGACAACGCCAGCAGACAATACAGCTTTCTCTAAATCCATTTAGCTTTTACAATTGAGGCAAAGCAATGCTGCTTTGATAACTCGTAAAAGCAATGGTTTGGGCCAACTATAGTAATAATAATCCTTGCATTTCATATAGTGCCTTACCACTTCTGTCTCAAAGCACTTCAAAGAATATATCTTATGAAGTGAATTGACTGTATATATTGTGGACGAAACACAGCAGCCAATTGTGGACAATTTGCAGCAAGGGTCACAAGTGGTGGCCTGGTGACAATGAGGAGTAATCTTAATGACCTCTTATGGTAAACCTTTTAGGAAGAATGTATAGTCTATGGATTGCCTAAGCAATTGCTGTAAGCAGTGACACCCAGAAACAAAATTAGAGCCCTGCAGCCCAATCTTCAGGGATGTCAATTTAGGCTTCTTTCAATTCTTGTTCTCAGTTCAGTTTCAAAAATGTTCTTTAGAACAGATAAAATGTGTTCCTGGTGAAATTTCAGAGTAGCAGATTTTTAAAGGTTTTAGAATCTTAAATTAACTCATGGTGTATGCAGTTTTAAGCAGATTAAGAATTTGCATCAACATTACGACCTTATGTTCAATTCACTGAGTGTTCCTAAACTCCTGAGTCGATCAAACGCTCACAGAAAAGACAACAGTTAATTACTTTGCAAACATTTTAATGATTATTTTGAGCATACACATTTGAAAATATTTTGTATGACTTCAAACTGCAACTTGAGTTAAATAAATGTTTATAATATACAAAGAAATACAGGGAAAAGCTTAGCTTGCTTTCAAGTGTGCATTGCACCTAGAACCAGCGTTTCTAGCTTTACTGTAAAATTGCACAAAATGCACTCAAGGATTTGATCTTCACAGCAGGGCATTAAAGAATCAAAACATACTCACTGTAACAGGGAGGAGAAAATAGGGGGAAAAGCTTATTCATGATTGTATAATAAAACTTAAGAGCAAGGAAAACTTTTAATACTCCAATAAACAGTGCAGGAACTAGTAAATGGGAAATGCTGTTGGGAGAAATGCCCATTTGCTCTCTACATTACAATTCTACAGAAGCAGGCTCTTGACCAGATAGCATAAGGCTAGCAAAGGGAGGGGCTGGAAAATGGCATTTGTAGTGAACTAAAAGTACCAACTGCTGTGTGCATAATAAAATTAAATATGACACAATGCACTGTCAGAAATTAAACAGTAAACACTGAAACCACAACAAAAACTGCCCTTGGAACATCCAGAGGTCTGTCCCAGCTTCCAGTCTCGTAAGCCCTTGAAGCAGCACACAGTGCTCTGTGCCGTTATTTGCTGGCTTTGTAATTATTAACAGAAGGCATTTGTTCCTGCCAAAACATTAGCAGCTAACAGTTATTTGTTATGTTTCTTTTTCTCTAAAGCCTCAAAAAGGCAAACTGTACCAGAGCACAGTTGGAGATCAATATTTTTCCACACAAATAAAGAGGTTTTCTAGTTTCAAATTCAGTGTCCACTATCCATCAACATCCAGACCGTTCAATTAAGATGAAAGCCCTTCTCCATTGTTGCAGCTAGTAATCGTTCTCTCATGATTTCCTCAGAGGAATACTCGGGCAACTTAAGATAGTGGACACATGTATTTACTGATGGGTAACTTGCATCTGTTGCATCAACCTAATTGGAAAGAAAAGCATATTAATTTTATTATATGAAGTCACATAGTGATAAGGCACGGAGAGTTCGCACCACTGTTTTTCCTCCAACCTTCCAATTTTACTTCCTAGGGTATCCATCAAGTTCTCTTGGAATACTTATTAATGATGCATTATCTTCAACAATGTATTTGACAGGCCTAACAGAATTCCTTGCAACTGCAGTAAGGAACACTGGAAAAGACTGTTGGAATATTATACATACTTACATTATAAACATGTGGCAATAATTTGTGAAAAATTAGCAAATGCATGGCTGGTGAGCAAGTAAAATATTACAGGTGTGTAAGTATAGGAATGCTCTTCTAGAATTAGGATAAGTTATTCCTTTCAGCAATGATACAATCCTTTTAAAAGACGTAAAATAACTGCATCTTGGTGATTATTGGTAACATCAAAAAAAACTCTCCATTTAAGCCATTTGCAAGTTCTCTAATCGCAATTAGCTTAAGCGTTTGTAGCATGTGAATGGTCTATCTAGATTACGGAGGCTTTATAAGCATGAAGCAACATTTACAGATTAAGAAGACTTTACTTCTATACACAAGTAATCCAAATGCCAAGTGCTTGTATTGAGCTCTGGTTGGAGATTGGTCAAAAGTTCTATGAATACCATTACAGATCTAGAGTTCTCCCAAATCATCCAGAATAGCTGGACATACCTTGCGGACAATTGTGAGCCTTGGGTGAAGGTTGGCTAAACCACCTGGTGGGAGGGTAGAACATCCAGTGGTAAACTGCAGGAATGCCTTCCTCTCATCCGATGACATGCCACATAGAACTCTCACAAATCGAATGAATCCCGGACTGACATGAAGAGTGAACATTTGATCAATACAACATTGTAGGAAAGGGCACATTTCTTAATATGTTTAGAATAAATTGAGCAAAATTTAAACAAAATCACTCATAGAGAAGTAAAAACTAAGCAAAATAGGTTTAATAAAAATAAAATTTATCTTTGTCATAAAAAATCCTGAAACACATCAGACTTCAAATTATTTCCTTTATTAAAATTCAGATATTTTATTTCAACAGTAACACAAGACAGTTTGTTGTCAAGTTGTGAGGAAGTTTTAATTATATGCAAGTCTATATATTAAGTGACCATATTGATGGAACAGAGGGGAGTTGCACTTAATTATTCTAGAATAAATTTGTTAATTTTAACAATAATTTTACGTACCTGTCACGAGTATAACCCAATTTGGGTTCAGTGTAGCTGATGATATCTTCTGCAGTCCAAGATGGTGACTGGTTCCCACAAAGTATCATTTGGACTTCCTCATGGCTGAAGGAGCTCAGTTTCTCCATAGGAAAGACACGGTTAAATCCATCTTTAAGAGAAAAATACAGATACCGACTTCGGAAGTGTCTCAAATACAACTTTCATCTGCAGAACTGGTTGATTTTTTNAAATGCCTCTTATTTTTTGTAACGAGTATTTCTTTTTTAGGATTACATTCACCTACTAAAGACATGAAACATCAATCCATATGTTGGTTTACAATTTAAATTTTGCTCATGTTCTTATTCCTCCTCAGATTAATTCTTTCATAACATGGGAAACTATTCAGGCACATTCCCAGTGCTTTCTAAAATTTTCTCCATGAGTTTTACTCCACAGAACATTTTACACATATTTTACATATTCAGTGAACTTGCAGAATAAAGGAAAGTCATATCCAAATTTGATTACATTTTTTGATATGATTTTAGGTTAAAGAGTACATTACCTCTGAAAGCGTCCATCTGTTTCTGTATTCCGGTGTGCATGCAGAAATCAAACATCAGGTCTACATATTCTTCCGCATTGTCAATCGTTACCATCTGCAAGGAAAAAAAGTTTAGACAAACACCCAAAAATTAAACTTTTTTAAAAAAATGTCTAAGCACAAAATAACACTAACTTTGACTTGCCGTGGAAATTTAAAAAAAAATTGGAATAGCTTTTTATACACGTCTCTTAGTGAATTATCTCAATCTCCAAGATTAGGCAAATCCTGCAAGTTATTACTAGTTCTTATTAACATATGGTTAAATCACAGTAAGGCGCTGCTGTGTGGGGTGTGTGGAGAAATTATTCAAATTCTGAATTTATTTTTCAAAGAATCAATTACAAAGACTGACTGACCTCATCATCACCATTAGGTTTCAGGTCAACAGCTGTGAATCCATGTACTTTGGAAGAAGGACAGAACTGGAAATTCAACCTGCAAGATTTGAACAAAGATGATTAAGCATTTAAATTCCTAAATATAAACAGCAAGTCTGAAATGGACGATGGCTAAAATACTTATATTTGTTAAAACAATCTTATTCCCATTTCAAAATTTTCCTCAAAGTGGTTTCAAATTAATTCCGCCATCCCCCCTTCTGTCATATCAATAGACTGATACATTGTTATATATATCTCCAATCCCATCCATACCAGTCCTTGACTGATCAATCTAGATAACATTCAAACTACTCTGTGATTGAGCAATCAAGAGAGTTGTATTTAACATACGCTGAAAGGAGTCACTCCCTTTAACCACCTGAATCATGCACAATCTTCAAAAAAATAGAAGCTAAAATGCCATTGATTCAAGAGGATTGGAAATTTGATGAAAATAAGCATCCAATTCTCTGCCATAAATTATTCATATCTGGTCACCTAATGTATTAAAGCACAGACCTACTGTGTTTTGTAATGCTTTAATGTAGATCAACTTCCACTTACAAAGATGATTTTTTAAGGAGAGGGGGAAAGAGAATTTACTGTTACTTTAAGAAAATGGCTCTATCCCCAAGTGCACCTCAATTCTGTTGAGAGGTCAGAAAATGGCTGAATTGATACCAGGAAGTTGAATACCAGAAACAGGAAGCTACAAGTACCACAAAGTCATAAAAGAACTGAAGGGTAGAAAGGAAGGAAGCTTTACATGTATTGACGAAAGCACATTTAAAGATTGAGAAAGATTCTGTTCACAAAACCTTCAAAGACCACACACAAAATCCTACTTCTCCTACTGTACAAAAAAACATGAGCTGGTGAAGTGCATATATAGCAATCTTGAGGTCAGCTTAGAGCACAGTATCAAAGCTGTTTCAAGCTGTCAGATCAAATTAGTACTAACAGGTATGCAGCCTCATCCAGCTGCCGTGCAGCAATTAAACAGAAACACAAAGAATTAATTAATAATTGCAGATAATTCCTGATCACATAATAAGAAATATAGCGGCGATGCCAAACAATCTACTGAGACGTGGGAAACTATTCAACACTATCTTGATTGAATACTTGGTACTTTGAGCATCATTGACGTGGTGCTTCCTTTCAGAGGAAGTGCATGTGGTGGCAGAATACAACTGCATTCAAAAACTTCACACATGAATTCAGATTTGGTTACACATGCCCAACTTGCAAAATAAGGCAAAACTATAACCATGAAGCTTATTAATCCTGCAACTTACTTTTATTTGCCCATTTATAGAACAGGCTCTTTCATCATCCAGCTGAACTATTTTTTATTTATAGGACAGAATGATTTTAACGGTAGGGGAGAATAAATGGCTTGTGCTTGCAAACAAAGTGCTTTTTAACAAGGAGGCAAAACATTGAGGCTTTCTTTTCAAACACTCACTCCTAATAAGACCAGCACTTTTCCAGTTAAATCATTACAATGAAGTAATTTTAGGTCAGAATTTACAAGTTGTAGTTTGGGAGAACTAGGATTCCATCACTAATCCAGTTATTTCAGTCATTTCTAGGGACCATATTGAAGTATGATGAACCACCGTATAAGTGACAAAACAAATGCATACCCCAAATCCTCTATCCCAAGTGGTGGCCCTGATCCTGATCGGTTCTTCAGCATCAACTCCTGCAGTTGTGTGTTCTTCTCATCTTCTGAAAGAGTTTTGTTGCTTAGGATTTGACGTCTCTTTACTGCCAGTTCCTTTATTTCCTTCAGAAACCTCGCTCGATGTGGATTTACCAACTCAAAATCGTCCCAAGTCAAGATTCCATGGAACCAACCAGGGGGTTTTGGTTTAGGAGGATCAAGAATAAACTCGGATTTTGAGTCTTCATCAAAGCTTCCAACAGATATGGAATCATGACCTTCTTCTGTTGAAGCTTCAGATTGACTTTCAGTGTAATGTAGGTCTCCTTCTATCCGAGTTCCATATTCATATAATAGTTTGCTCATATTGCTTTTGATGTCTCCCATGCACATTAGTTTGAAGAAAGGTTTAGAAATAGGAATATCCACCAGTCTGTTGTCTTGAATACACTTGGCCAAGAAAATTCCCAGGAAATGGAAGAGTTTGGTTAATCTGTCCATTTCCTCACTGTCCTGTGGGAATGCTGCAGAGAAAAGTCCGCAAGATCGTTGCACATAATATCCAGGTGGTTTAAGTCCACCTCCCAAATCAACCTGTTTTGATTAGAAAAGTTGCACGTGAAAGCATATAAACCTTTGGAAAGTTAACTTTTATGTTAAACAAAATACACCAATATTACCAAGCTAACTTGAGTAATTTAATAAGCAATCAGCAATAATTTCCATACAATAATGCTTTCCTTGAATTAAATTACGTACCTGTCGAGACTCATCATCAGGAAAGTCATCATCACAGAGCCAAACCCCAAGTTCTTTCTTTTGAAACTCTGCCGCCACAAGCGCGTAGAATTCTAAAGTAGGACCAAGACCAGTTCCCTCCTCACCTAAAAATTCAACCTGGAAACACAGTCAGTGTGAGGTGCTTTTTAAGATCAGTGTGGAGACCTTTTTAAAACAATGCGCACAATTATGTTTTTCTATTGGTGCAGATTAACAATAGGTAATACATTTAAAATATCACCGATCGAAAAACACTTGAATACCATGTGCACACGCAGCTTATAACAAAACATTTGTTCAACTGGTTTCCCCTTGAGATATTCCACAGAATTTAAATAGAATGGATTAGAATTATGTTGCAATTACCATCTCTGTTCACACAACTCTTTCCTATCCCTCCTCCATTACCTCTATTCACTCAATTCATTCTCTCCCTTCCTCGATACAAGAGTCCAAATAAACAGATTAGATTCTTCAGGTTAGAGGCATGTTTTACTTACCTCAAGAACAGACTTCCTGTCAGCGTGAATCTGCATGACATTCTCTGCCCATTCCATCAACATATCCCCACGAGGAACCTTGACCCGTTCGTGCTTTAGTCTCCCTACACGAAATTCTCCAGGGTCATCTCGTCTCACTGTTGTGGTTGTTCGGGTACGTTCCATGGTGGCTTCTCGTCTATTTTGCAGCCAAACTATTGCTCTACGTAAACAGAAATCAGTATGAAGATCGCACAAACACACAAACACAAAATAATGAATTGAGGTTAGAATTTCAAGTCATTTCACATTGGAAAGGCTTAACATGTCCGTCATGCTGTGTGTGTCTGGATAAAATTTCTTCAAAGTGAACAGCAATGTTCAGAGTTTATCATACTTTAGATCAATGAATGCAATAATGGCAAGAGTTCCTACTTCAGTACACTTCTTACCTTGATGCTCCAAACGCTGTACACGTGAAGTACAATTGTCTGGTTTCAAAAGGAATCAAAAATGGGCACTTGCTTGTCAGTTGCTCACACCAATCTGGTAATGCACTGCTAGCCAAGGCCAATGGCTCCTGCATTTAATTAAACACAGTATTACTACACAACAGTCAAAAATACAAAAATATCCTAAGTAACCCTATAGAGCACAACTAAAACAGCCTGAAAACTTCTGGCATTAGAAGGTTAAGTAAACGACCAACGAATATAAAACGAACTTCATTTTTTTCTTAACATCCCAACAGGCATAATCTCTTCTACTTTAAATGTTATTTAGAAATGACACTGCCTCAATTTGATTCATGAGCACTGAACTCCAAAAACACCCTGATGGATTGAATCCACCTTCTAGTTATTACCTCAATTTGCTGCAATATTTTTGTTGTGACCTTTTTGCTTGTGAATTCTTCCGGAGAAACATTGAACTGAAGTTGATCATCCCCTTCTTTTAATATTGGCAGGGAGGGAAAGAGAGAGGACAAAAAAAAGCAATAAAAAAATTAAAGTCAAATTAGAAGCAAAAATTATTTCAAAGGCTCTAGCATTTTGAGCAAGAAGATATTTCCATTCTAACCTTCTTGACCTCTCCATGTAGAGTATGGATCACTAGCAATAATATAAAGAATGCGAAGTAACTGAAGAAGATCCTCCACACTGCAGGCATTCTGTCCACTCCCAGCCTTGGCTTGTGGCTGTTCTCGTGTTCCACTGACAATTTCACAACTATGTAACGATGAAATAGACCCATGGCTCAGTCCTGATGATTTTGATCCGTGCTCACAAAATTCCTTGAGAAAACAGTTGAAAGAAAATTATAACTGCTTCTGAAAAAAAATGTACTTAAGCAGTCAAAAAATGCCTTAACATTTCATTTTGCATAAGGTCACTTAAAACCTGATTATAAGCGGCACTATCATACATGTATTTCAATACTATTTTTGTAACAGCAAATGCATTAATGTTACAGCACAATAAACCCAAATCAAGCAAACATTACAGTGCAAGCAAGGCTTTTACTTCTCTAGGTGCTTATTTACACTTTATCCAGGATAAATACTTTGCGCAGTCATATACCTTGTATGCAGCTATGAGCTGAGAACAATTTCTGTTTTTCCTAATACTTTTATTAGTGCCGGTTAATTTCCAGTGCCGTAGGAAAGCTGAATCTGCATTCTTCTGCAGGTAGGTTATCAAGTCATTCTTTGGTAATTCATCAGTGCCAAGGTATTGTTCCACATGCTCTACAGACCAGCAACCCTACAACAGGAAGAACCAAACATTGGTCTTTCCTGATTGTAAAGTCTTATGGGTTTGTACATGCATTAAAACATTTGAACTTCTATATTATTCATGCTTCTTAGTTTTTTAAAAAAAATCTATTTCATATCAGAATTCGGTTAGTACTCTTCAATTTTACCACAGTGCAAAAACGTTTTAGCTTAGTCTGTTATTCTTAGCAGGAAAAACATTTACAGACATGAAAGCAGAAAGAAGAGGGAATTGATTACTTACCACCTTTCCATTTTCTCCTTTTTCTTTATCTGAATCTTTCATTTCCCTGTACATAATCCTGGAGCAAGTACAGGAATGCTTATTAGGTATCATCATTAAAAGTTTCTGGTCTGCAACTAAATTCATATTTATTTTGCATTTTTGAACTCAAAGTGAAAATTATCAACAATGGGGAATGCAAATGAATTCCTACTTATTGTAGCCAGTCTGAGCACTAAGCATTCTAAGGACAATGTAAATGTACGGCAAGTAACAGAATTTAAAAAAGTTCACCAGCACCATAAACTTTAGCCTAGACCACCACCTACAGCTTTTGAAGGAGATGTACGTGTCCATAACATTCAGAACTACTTTGAAATGAACAATATAGATATGAGATTACAAAAAGTCCACAACATTTTTGTAAATTAAAAAAAGGCATTTGATATGCACCCATTTGTGTCGTAATTGCTGCAATTAAATGTAGTACATTCAGCGACCTATGCTGAGAATAACTAAATCAGATCCTTCCTTGTTTGGGTATCTTACTATCACTGTGCACAAATGGACCTCTTTTTCCTACAAACATGAGGAAAGGGAAACCTAACACGTAAAAAAAAATTTAAAAGGCAGCTTAGGAATTCTGTATTTCAGGAAATGTGAGCAAATAAAAGGTGAACAATGCTCTGCTTTAAATAATTATTCTTAACCAATAAAACAATTTCACGTCTATTGGCAATAGTTTTACATACGTGTATGTTGGCTCCCAAATACGCCGAAGTTTATCAGATTTCACGCTTCCATTGCAGGAAAGCTGCAGCAGTTTTTGCACATAGCAGAAGATGGTTGCTCTGTAGTTTGAAAGTGGTAGTTCCACCTCCCGGGACGTTCCCAGACCTGCTACCTTGAGAATCAGTGCCAAATGTGGTGAAGGAGCACACTCCACTTCCTCTAGCAGCTCTGATTGAGGTGTCCCTAAAAAAAATTTTTTTTGAAAGCCTGTGTAAACATTTCTGCACAACAAACTAAGGCAGACCGGGATGAAAATACATTTTCTACAATGTTATCAGCACAAGAATTACTTGGGTATTCTGAAAGTTCTGTGGAGTCCTGTAGCCCAGTGGTTACAGCACTCGCCTCGTAAGCGAGAGGCCCTGGGTTTGATTCCCGGCAGGGTGAAAAGCTGAGCAAGTTTCCTTACTCCACATGCCTCAGTTTACCTAGTAGTAAGTAGGATGTTAGTCAATTGACAGATCGCTTCTATGGGGGTAATAATTACTTTAAAAATAATAAATTGATCACTCAATCCATGACTGTTTATGCGTCACTGCTGTATGTAACTGCCTGCTGCGTTCTGCCCACAAATATACAGTTAATTCACTTTACACTATATTCTGTGAAGTGCTTTGAGATATCTAGAAGATGTGATAAGGCACTATATCAAAAGCAAGGATTATTATTATATATAACTTCAAGAATGGTCCATCATACACCACTCTCATTTTGAGTGCCAAAGAAACCACCATACCTTAACCCAATAGAAGAATAAGCCACCAAAACAAAGGAAATGAAAGAAAATTAATGTGCACTTCATATTAAAAAGAGGGCCATCATTACTAAACCAGTATATAGGAGGTTTATAAAGTAAATTTACCTGGGGGGGGGATTTCCAAATCTGTTGTCTGCTGAACATTTGTACGACCAGGGCGTGGATCAAAAGCAGGAACTAAAGCAGAGAACTGTCGCTTTAGGACAAAATCATCATCCCATGTTCGACGACGGCCTCCTTTCGTTTCATACTCCTCTTCCTCCTAAGTTAAGGTTCAAAACATTTTTTTTTGAAAAAACTAAAGAAACGTTCTTTCACTTAAAGTAAAACAATGCACTACATTTGCTTATTTTTCTCATACTAGAACCAAACACCACTAATTTCCACTGTGAATGATTTATTACACACTCAATGCTACACATTATCATATGGCAGTAATTCTAACAATTCTAATGAGAGCAAAATCATACCAAAACTTCCTCATATTCTTGATCTTCTTGATTGTCATCTTCATTTTCATCATCTTCTTCATCTGGTTCAGGTAAATCCTCATCATCCTCCAGCTCTGCCAACAAAGTACTTGCGCGGCAGCTATCCAAAAAGTCTGTGAAGTACAAACGAGGGTAACATTAGGTTTCAAAAAAAAGATTGCAGATCAAGTTTGAAATGAATGGTATGTCGAAAAGCAAATTGTGTTCCACTTCAAGGGACAGAATGATATAAAAGCATTCCCTAAAGAGCCAAATGGTCAAAATAAATTGTGCATGCATCATAGATGCAAAATGCAGTTGCCCGCAAAATACAGTCAATCCACTTTGTAGCATATCCTGACAAGTGCTTTGAGATGTCTCAATGATATGATGTGGCTATATCAAATACAACTATTATCATTATAGGTGACAAATATTAAATGACCCCAGATTATAAGCATGGCTATGGGAGGTATTCTAAACTGTAAAGTGCTCTGAGACGAAGTCCGGCATGGAGGGCGCAATATAAGTCCAAGTTGTTGTTATTCCAACCTCTATATAAGATTTGCTGCCATTCAGAGAGCAATCATTGAGGCGATTTTCTGAAGTACAGGGACCCTCACTTAGGTTAAATGAACTTTTGCCATTGTTTTATATAAATGCAGGAGAAAAGATATCCCATCTGGTATAAAACCAGATAGGAGGAAAACCGAGCTGCAGAAGTATGGATAACTTATCCAGTGCCAAACCACCGCTGAATGAGTGAGGACACGTCATTCATTGAAAAAGTAATTTAAGTTCCTGCCAAATTCTAAAAAAAAGGCAAATAAGTGAAAAAAAGTTTGAAAAAGATTCATTCTGGAAACTAAGTACAACAGGAAATTTACAATTTCTCAAGGTCTGAAGCCCAGCAAATATAATCACAAATAGGCAATGGATTTTCATCAAATTAAATATCTATTATTTGAAGCTTCTGAAGGTAGTCAATCATTTATGAACTTCAGTAGGCACAAGAAACCATGTTGTGATTAAATTGATAAAGTAAATATAAAGAATTGGGAGGAGTATGCGGGAATCTCTGCAAGAAAGGCATAACAGTAAAATGTAAACAGTTCATTTTTTTCAGTTCTAGATATAACCTACCATATAAGGAAAATTCTGCTTCCTGACCCGTGTCACTCTCACTAGACGTGGATGTCAGGCTGGTTGTCAGAGTGTTACTGAGCGACTGGCCTACTGTTAAACCTGTGGTTGCTGTGGCTACGTTATTGCTGCTGGTGACGCTGGAAGTCGACATAGTAACAGTTGATGTAGTACCAGTCGTTGTAAGGTTCGGAAAACTCTGAGCACCCATGAGAGGAGAAGCTGTTACAAAAAGAGTTTAAAATCATTCACATTTTTAATAATAGTACAAAATCTTAGTATAAATCTCAATCTCGATAAAAATATTAAAACTACAAATTCCTTATATATTTACAAGGAAACATTTGCGAAAGTTAAACATCTGCTTGGAATCTCAATTTTCTATAGGGGATTAAAGTAAACAGTTACAAACCAGGGTATTATATACAATATAGTATAACGTATGGTATGCTCCAAGGGAGGAAAACAAAACAAAACTGTTGAACAAGAACACTACCATTTAGTTGGTCTAAATAGAAAAAATGTTACCCATCAAAGAAATCACACACCTCATTTTAGAATCCTCATTCTAAAAGTCACTGAACAGCAACCACAAAAATCATGGGAGAAAGGCGGATGGAATAAAAGGTGGGCAAGAAGTAATTACATGCAATATGAATAAGAAGATGTGAACATAAAAAACATTGAGGCCCACCCACAAGATCACATTATCTAACATTCTGCACATTGCTCTGCATCCATCTCCCATGGCCCAACCCACCAAAAACAACCATAATTGCATTCAGCAGTATAGCTATGGGGACAGCTCCAGAAAGAGGATTACAGCAGAATAAATTCCATGGACTACAACTAATATTAGTCTGGACTGGTCTGAAGATTTTACTGCAATCAGCATGAGCTGGTAATGTGGAGCATCTAGCTGTCTGCACATTGAATGGAATACAATTCATTAATACAAATTACTTACTTGCACTCATTACATTTCGTCCCAGAGTATTAGTGTTGTTATCGCTGCTACTGCGGCTCAGGTTCATGTTATTGGTGGCGTTGGTGCGGGCTATATTTGCAACTCGCCTCACAAAGGATTCCATGAGGCTGGATGCTTCCCGCGAGGAGAGGTTTGGTACACTAGCACTTGAGCTCATAGGAGCCCCAGCTGCGAGCAGCGAACTGACAGAGAGTCTGTTACTTGCCGAAGAACTAAGTGGACGCTGTGAAGCCGCCTCCTTATTTGACGATTCAGCGACGGAGCTCACATCAGGGGAGCTCACACTGACAATACCCATCGATATTGCCCCAGATTCTCCGGAATTCCGCATCGAAGCCTCGGGAACAGACTTCCGGTCTATATTTTCACTCGCTGTGTCCGCAGTCAAGGTGCTCGTGCTGGCGCTTGAAGCAGACCCTACTTCGGCATGGGGCAAAATATCAGTGGCAGAGAGGACAACAATAGGTTCAGCAGCTGTCTGTTCCATTACACTCTCAGATCTGCGTTCCATTTTAGATGAACTCAAGCTTATATCGCTGCTACTAGCCACGCTACACACCGAGCTGCTGCTTCCTTTTCGGCTGGAGGAGCCCGGGGCAGCAGCCATCTTGTCTGGACAGTTGTTTTTCACCAAGCTGCTCCATGCCTGCGCTGTGCCTGAAACAGTGGATGAAACAGGTTTGGGTGACGGCGCTGAATCAGGGTCGTACCCTGGCGCAAGCTTGAGGTCAAACTTTCCTTCTGCGCCCATACGGTAAGAGTTAGAGCCACCAGCATCCCAGGTGACATCAATCCAGCCTGGAAAGGGACAGGAGTTTATCAGACCCAGCAGAAAGCAGACAGAAGCTATTTGGACACCAGTTCCACAGGGACCAGACTACTGCACTTCTACACTGATCACCTGTACAAATAGCCATGGTGTTTTCAGAGCTGCTAACACACTTCATAACTTTCTTTTTTTTTTTAAATGTTTGTTTCAAAGATTACAAGACAAAAAAACTACTAGATGGCATTGTTGCCAAAAATATACCAGTATGGATCAATTTAATCAAAAAGCATCACTACATTGTCAGTGATAATTTAGCTCCTGTGCTTGTCGGACTTCCTAACAAAATTGTAGTCTGGTCTCAGTGAAATGGTGTGAAAAGGAAAATTGAGTAAGAAAGATAAAGGAAATGTACTGCAAATGCCAAGTTGAAAGCCACATGGAAATCAGTATATTTTACAGAAAATGTACAAATATACTAATGTAGTTATAAATTAATAAATTAAAAAATAAATAATAAATAATTTATTCTTTCATTTTAAAAAATTGCTAAAATGCTTCTAAGGATCCAACCAAAAAGGCAAAACATCAACCAAAATTCTGGCTAAAATGTCAAAGGGTGCGTCACAGAACGACACGGGGAAATTGCAGGTTCTATTCCCAAATTAGCTGATGTCAGTATCTGGGTTTAGGGGAGGAGGGAGAAGAAAATTAGCTTGGTTTTCTGCTCCTCATTGTTGTCGTGGAAAAAGCAGACTCGACTGCAATGCACTCCACAATGGCCTGTAAACACGAGCTGTGCATAACCATAAGATTTGGTGGAGAATCGCACTTTTAATCCTCTGGGAACATCAGCCAGAAAATTGTGTGGATTTTAATATTTATTGGTCAATTTTCAGACAGGAACAATATTACATATTTCTTTTCTGAAATGCTTTACCTTTTCACCTTTTTGATTTGAACCCCATTAAAAAGTACAAGTGAAATCAAATTAGACCCAATGGTTTCGTTTTACATATGCAGCATTTCCCACAAGTTTAACCCAAATTAATTAATGTTTATTCCAAGCCATTTAAAAAAGTCCACACTATAAAATATCACAGCAAGACTTAAACAAAATAAATTTGTATAATGCCTAAGTTCTTTGAATTAGTATTCTTAGTGATTTGAGAAGCATATTGTTTTTTTTCACTAAAATTAGGTTATCATAGAAGACTCATTGGCCCCTACAAAGTATTCAAGGACAAACGCACAATTAAGATTCATGAGTGGTAATTTAAAATAGAAAGTTGCAATGAATCAAATCAGCCCCTGGGACTCTCACAGGCTCAAGTGGGTCACACTACTTTGATATTTGTCCTCATGTCTTTTTCATCTTCAAAGGATGTTTCAGTAAAGATGTAATTTGTTTAACCAAAAACAACAAAAACAATGAATAATCATTTCACTAACAATGTCTCAACTGTAGAAAACAATTTTTCCCAGTCATAGTCTACTTATAGATAAAAAGCTATGTATAACCATATAAATCTATTTGCTTAGCTCTCACAACAAAAGAAACTCCATACCATGAACCATGTTTAATAGTGTTACCAGCTGGAGGATTAAAAGCAGTCATATTAGTTTACCATTATGCAGCTCTCCTGTGATTGTTCCCTCGCCTGGTGGATTTCCGTCCTGGTCTCTCCATTTCCAATCAATGCCTCGAACCACACGTGCACCTGGCACCATGTACTTTAGAACCTGAGAGCGCACCAGGCGCCTTTGCTTCCTCAAGTTGGCTTCTGCCTCTTTTGCTGCCTTTCCTAGTGGTAAAACAGAAAACTCAACAATTAAGTCACAATTAGTTTACGATTTGGATGGGAACAAGCAGAAAGGTGAGAAGGAGGGAGCTCTGGGTAGCTTGTAAGGAAGCACTACAAACTAGTGACTACCTTAAGCTCAAAAGCAACGATTACCATGATATAGAATTTCTATGTTCATCACAACAACCTGTTGAAACCTATTATTTCCATAGATTGTTTTCTTGTGATTAAGTCAGAAACTACTTTTCAACCAGTACAGTTTGAGTATTTTTGCTAATTGAATTCACAGAAAGCTTATGCAGTAGGATCATGAATTTACAAACATTTATAAATTATTCTTTTCAAACTGCAGAGACTGAATACACAAATAGTTTAAAACCTAAATTACCTTTCTCTGAATATAATCTCAACAGCAATATTTTGAAACCATTCTGAGAATAACAAATTTCTTACCCAATTGGTCTTCGCATACACCAGAGACTGTCCCATATAGCTCAAAGCCAGAGAGGGAGAGATAGTGTGTTTGTCCACTGGCATTTTTACCCATCTGTTTAATTCTTATGTGTCTCCATCCCTGCTTCTCATCCTTTTGAGGGTCCAGAGGCCATGTTGCTGTGGACCTAAAAAAATTATTTTATTTTTAAGAACAAAGATTGAATTCATGCCAAAAACAAACGTTTATGAAAATATTAATGTTACATGTACAAACTGAGAAACTTAATCTCTTCTATCCACAAGTGCTATTTTTCAACTCTTAATGGATTGTAAACTAAAATGTGCAACGTACACATCCCATTTTAGCTGAATTGAACCATTAAACAAAATTGTTAACCAAAACTTCATTTCAGAATTAAACTCAGTTCAAGAATCAAACTCATGGGGAGAAAAAAAACACAGGGTCTCTTTCATTGATGATCCTTTTGAACTTAACAGTGAATAGTTAACACTGGACATTTTCTAAATGTCACATAAACCAAGTAGATATGCTGAATCATACTAAAAAAGTTTTCAGTAATATTTAAACCTGTTACACAAAAAAAATTAAGTTGCTTTTGTCTCGTTTCAGATGGACAGAATAATCTTCTATAATGTGAAAACACAATCCTATCATCTTTTAACCTGGATTCATCTTCCCCACACAGTACAAAAATGTGAAATGCAATTTGTGTGAACTCAAATGACTCACCCTGGTTCATTCAAGCTGCAGTCATCCACATGAGTGTACAAGGTTGTCCAGTTCTGCCCATCTTTGGAAACTTGAAAAACCCAGTTCCTAAGGGCAGACCTACCATAACCACGTGCGTGTCGTAAAGTATAAGCTGATGGGATCACCCAGAGCCCAAGATCAATAGCAAACCAAGCATTCTTATCATCATTAGTGTGACAGTTGAGAGCCGAGCTGTCACGACTCAAAATGTCTTCCAACCGGCCATATGGTAAATTTCTTCCCTCTGAAGAAGTCACAACCACCAAGCCATAGGCTGCAGGGTTTACCCACTCATAGGCAGTTCTGCAATTAAGCAACGAACACATTTTTTTTAAGTGAAGGAGCAAGTGACAAAACATCCATCAATTTCATCATTGAAACATTTCTCAAGGCAGTTTATTTTTTTTTGGAGGAAAGTCAACATGCACTTTGGCTGATCCACAGAGTTCACGTGAGAGTGGACAGAGATGGACACTACTGTTTTTCTTCCACCTCAGTTAATATAAGAGCACAAGATCTTGTTTCAAAGCCAAGACAGAAAGGCCTCATTCTAACTTTGATGACTACAAACTACAAAGCAAAATTTAAGATGCTCAGCTATAATACTTGGAATTTGATATAATGCCCTTTCATATCAAACCACCAAAGCACTTCAGCATTTTTGCAAAGACCACTATGTATTTTTAGGCAAACAATATCCCAAGAACAGCAATAAAGTGACCTTTTTTTCTGATGGATTGTGGCCAGACCCCAGAAGAAAACCCTCCTCTTTTTGTATAGTGCGATGGGATGCTTAACATCCACCAGGACAAGCAGGCAAAAACTTGCATTATCCGAAGGAAGCCCCAACGCTGCACTGCAGTCTCAGTTGAGACTGAATCTCAAAGTCCCAAAACATGGGCTTAAACCCACAAGCTTCAGACTTGGAGTAACCAACTGAACCAGGCTGACAAATATGGTAAGGAGAATGGCTGCTTAACTCAGGGGAAAAACAATCTGGTAGATCTTCAAACAGGTACACCTACACATCTTCCCATGATTTGGGAGGGGGGTAGGAAAAGGGGCAGAGAACACTTTATTCAGCTCATCATTATCAAACTGAATAGGAATCCCCCCCCAACCCCCCCAGAATAAAATATACCACTACTTTGAGAGACTTAGTGATTTCAAAATTGTGCAATTGAGAATCTTACTTTGCATTGGTTCCAGTCCAGTAGATTATACCATTTTCATCAAAATTATGTTGGTGTCGGAAGGTGAATGTTTGCCCTTCGCGTAGTTTACGCACAAATACAAAGGTTGATCGGTCAAAGTCATACCATTGCTTTGCCACCTAAGTAAAAGAAAGAATTGATTGGAAATCCAAGATACCGGTTTCAGATCAACACACGTGCTTTTGAACCTCAAATGGTGATAAATCAAATCACAATCCTACCATTTTAAGAAGATACTGCTCTAAGGATTCTACAGTAGCTAACGGTTCCATTTTGAGCATTCGGCCTGTTCTATCTATTAAGGAAGTCTCTCCGGGGGCTCGTTCCAATCGAAACCTTAGCCTTCTTGTGAGGATCTGCAAAACAACCACCAACTTTATAATCAAATTAGTATACTTCAACTCCAGTTTTAAAACAAGAAGTTACAACAATCACTAACTTAAATAACTGAAGTTTTCTCACATTTGAGCCAGTATTCTCAGGAACTTTACCAACAATCAAGTGATGAACCTAATTTTCAATGCTTGTTAAAAGAATAGTGAACACAACCCAAGAAATAAATTGTAATAGCAATTTTCATATAAATCATGTATTGTAGTGAAAATCTATTGTCCTGGCTCAGGCTTCTTACTGCCAGATATTCTGTTCCATACCTGTAAGTTGTATGATGAGCCAGGTGTATCATACAGGTGAAGAGGCAGCCTTTCAATAGATTCTAACACCGCGATCAGCTTACGAACCAGAGCAACTGCCGGTCGACTGAAAGGGAAATACAATGTTTTAACGCGTCACAAAATAAATTTGGGGATAACTGCATTTTAAATGAAAACAAATATAAAATTTATGAAAAGCACCTTTCTTCATCTTCATTTTCACTGAATGCAGTTTTAAAGACATTTATCCGCTCTATCAGTTGGCTACAATCTTGTTTCACATCCAAGTCCACATTCTAAAGAAAAATAGATAGAAATAAATATTGTATTTGAGCCAACTAGAATAAGTATGTATTTTTTGGAGAATACTAACATTGTTGAGAACAGTCAGAAGTGCTTGCACCAGCCCGCTACTGCACATCTCATAGGGAGAGATTGTTGTCTCATCCTTGAGTAGAACAATTAAGTTTTCCAATGCAGTTTTCATTAAGTCGCGCCATGTGGCTTCCCCTTCCATGCCCTGCAACACAAAAGAAATTCATCCTCAATGAGAACATGTTCATTTGAATGAAGTCTTCTAGTGTATAGATTACAACAACAAATCACATTTATATAGCACCTTTCAAGTCGGGAGGACGACCCAAGGCGATGGGACAGTGAAGGGTTTGCACCCAAGTTGGCGGTTGGAATCAAGAGTGTTGGAGAGCAAGGATGGTGAGCGTGGGAAGATGACTGAAGGCACATTTGAAGAGGAAGGTCTTAAGACAAGCATTGAAAGAGGCAAGGGAGGGGGTCAAGCAGAGGGATTCAAGGATAGCGTTCCAGACAATGGAGGCAGAAAGGCTGTACAGGAAAAGTGAGTTAACTTGCCTGTCTGTTAGCATGAAGTTCCCAAGCTGACTCTAGCTGCGTAGCTATGTTCCGCAGTGTGACAACCACTCCTCGAGGCATACTTTCCACAGCTTTGAAGTGATCATCATACAAGTCTCTTGCCATGGTTCGCACCTGCAACCATATATTTAGATGTTTTTATGTCACATTTCCACAAAGCAAAAAGGTTCACTGTTGAATACTATTTTTTCTCAGGAGGGAAGAAAACTTATTATGATGGAAGTAAATGAATCTGATTCTATACCTTCTTTCAGTTTCATCATATCAATTTCTTTTCACTTCATTGAAAAATATAAAAATTGCCCGACTGAGTTCACCAATAAGTGAAGCAAAGTTGAAGTAATACAGTAAACCCTTGATAACTCAACCCTGGTGGTAACTTGTCGCAATAACTTAAGTCATCATCCTGTCAATATTTCAGCTGCATTTATTTGTGTATTTATACATATGCCTAACTCGCCACTCCAGCTTACTCATCACTGAGCCCTTTTCCCTTGGAGTGATGACAAGTTATCAGGAATTTACTGCATATGATCAAATTTGGTTCACCGTCCAAACATACCTTTTGTTTGGTTTTCTCTAGCTTTGATTTCAGCTTTCTTCCTCTTTTGCCAGTCCAGCCAGCCACAAATTCTGATCCTGGAAAAGAGTAAACAATCTTCAATACAGAACATTCCTATTCCACAATAAATAATTAAGCACATAAGCATACAAGGCAATTGATCTAGATGTTTACCAAGGGAGGTTTCTGCAGTAAATGAATGCTTGGTTCCTCTGTTGGATTCGAACACAAATCCAGGAAGATCCTCCTTTAATATAGTAGCCTGCTGACCATCAGAGTTGTGTATTGCAATTTCCCCTTCTTTCAAACAGGTAAGAGACCAGTTGCCTACAGTAAGCTTTGTCGGCCCAGGTGTGGACAGAATGGGCTGGCTGGTGGTAGCTGGTTTAACTTGACTGCGAGCCCTCTGCAACTTTTCCAGGAATTCACTTCTGCTTTCTGCCAACAGAAAGATACAAATATTTCATATAACCATCACAAATATTACAGCTACAAATAATTGACCAAAACAGTTACTCTATTCCTCTTCATTGTTACTCATGAAAAGGGACTTAACAGAAAGGGTTGATTAGATTTATCCTTTTTGGCAGCTGAGTGTCTGATACATGTAGAAACCCATTGGCACGTTTACGACTGTTCAAATGACACAGAGTTCCAACTATAGATGTCATCTATATAAGTATATCCATCTTCTGGATATATTCACTGCTGACGGGACATATCCAAGTTACCCAATTCCAGCAATTATTGGATGCTGGTTGGCAAAAGTATGGGGGTACTGTTGGAGTTTAACCAGCTACAACAGAGCACCATTGTGAAAACTGTCACATGGCCTCATGTTGCTCATGCAGCCAGGACTAACGTACTAGTTAAGTCTACGGCTGGCATGGTTAACAAAAACAGGGAAGAATCACTGCCTCAATGACTGGTCTACCCCTTGAAATCCTGCCACATACTTCAGACCACCCGGCTCAGGCTTCCGAGATTGCCACAGAGGATCGACTGAATTTTCCAATATTGCACTGCCAGACGCATCATCTTGGGAGCCATTACAGCCTCAAGGAGACCTGACTTACCACCCCTCAAGGAAGATATCGACAATGTCAGGTTTGAGCCCCAACTTGGTGGACAGCACGAGTGCACACATTTTCCTATTCAAATGCACATGCGTGCGTACACACACACACAAACAAGCACACTTTACCTGAGCTGTCAGAACCACCTTCTGGACTTCCACTTGAATACATTGTTGCTAACTTCCCATCTAAGATGAATCGGAACCATCCGTTACTGCCATTGGACAACTCCAAGGCAGCCGCGTCACTCCAGATGTACAAGCAGTCTCTCCCTCGGATGATGGACCAATCTCTCCAGTGGTATGGCTTGCCCTGCTGAATTTCTTTTGCATCTTCTTGCGGCTCATCATCCTGAAAATAAAATGATAATCATTCAAAATGGCTAGACCTTTATGCAATTAAAAATACTTTAAAAACTCAGGTTTTTAAATTGCGTACCCCCCACCGTGGATTTGACTAGAGTCCTGATCAATTCAATCACTCTTTTCAGATAGACAGTAATTGTAGATCACCACACACTATTTCACAAAAAATACAAAACATTCAGTTCTGCTAGCAATATCAGTTTTGCAATGTTAATTGCAATGTTAATCGCAGAACTCAAGAGTAATCTTGCATCCAATAGAATTACACCTTACGTCATTGAAATGTCTTAAAGCACTTGACAGGATTTAATGTAAAGCACAGCAATTGGTTATTTGTAGGAAAACTTGGTGGCATTTAATAACAAAAACCTGAAGTCGATTAATTATCACACCTTATCAGGCTTGCAATCCTCTTCATTTTCATCATCTGAAGAGGGTCCTGCTAAGGTGGACACTTTGTTGATTACGCCGAGCCTTGCAAGCTGGTCCAAGAAGAGGTCCCCTCCTTTGTCCACCAAATCCCTTATGATCTGCAAAGCTAGTAAATGGCCATCATCATCATCCTACATCAAAAGGAAAGGAGACGAGGACACCTTTAATAAAAAATCACCTGATAACGAAACTTGCCTTTGCCACTTAGATTTGGGTGACAAACAGCCAACAAACACTGGAATGAGAACATTCATACTCGGTTGACTAAACTTTATGAAAATAACCCATCACCAAATCCACATTAGGAAAGAATTCTAAACTGAGACACGTAGACATTGGGCACTGGTTCAGTATAAACGTCAGTTGCCCCCAAAGTACAACGCATCCTCAGCTCCTTGCTGGAACCTGCTTGGCAATGCTCACTATCAACATGCTCAGGATTAAAACCCCAACTTGACTTTACCCACTCTGCAGCACAGTGTATGACAAATTGCATCACTGTTCTTTCCAATCAAAAACTTAAATATTTACTCAAAGTTTCAAAAGTTTAAGATGTTTTATTACTTCTCTGACAACACGAATACTTTGGAACAAATCTCACTAATAATGCTCCAGAATCTTGTACTGCATCTTAAAGATGCCATTTGTTACCTTGATAGAATATTATGCTAACAGCTAATACAACTCAAGTCGTTACCACCATGGGTGACAACAGGTAAAAATGGTTTCAGCAATGAATCTTCACCATGAACTTCTGCAATAAAGCATTTCAAAAAAACTGACCCAACACTGGATACCCCCAAATGTCACCAGTTTAGAAACGGGACTCAAGATGGCCATCAAAAGCCATCAAACTATTATCACTTTAATAGAAGTTAAATGTTACCTTTTCTATTTCAATATGAAGACTAACCTCTTGATCCAGGACTGTAGCTGTAATTTCCACCAGCACTGTGGGCAGGTTATGGCCAGCGTCTGAATCACAGACTTCTTTCAGAAGTGCTTCAGAACAATAATGTACCATCTTTCTAACAAGAGCAAGGCTAGCTTTTCTGCAATTAAATGCAATGTGGGGGAGGGTGCGTGGGAGGGGAAAAAGAGGGGGGACAGAAATTGAATTATAATCGAAAAACAAAGCTGAATATTAGACGCCACAAATTTAAGGATAAAAACTACTGCAGACACATTGCTCCAAGATTTAATTTTAATCGAGTGTTCATCCAAAAGTAACAAAGCATACCACAATCTCGATAAATATCAGTAAAAACTGACAAAAGAATCAGCCAGTGTCAGACACAATTTTAACATCACATTTTCTTATAAATCCCAAACATGATATACATTTTTTCCCCAGTTAATTAATATCTACCTGATAGATGGCAGCATTGTTTGCTGAAATGTCTGTGCAAAGACTGGTAATAACCTCTTCAAATATAATGGTGCCATTTCAGGGTCTCCCTTTGGTTCACTACCATCTTCATCTTCTCTGTTGGCATCTTTCTTTTTCTTGTCTTCTCCTTTATTTACAGGACACATCCAGTCTCCTAAAACATTAAAATCCAAGTATTTTGCTGTAGTATTACACATTCCTGAGTTTTTCCCCCGTTGTGATTTGTTTTGTAATGCCTTGGCATCAATTTAAGCACCTATGTTATTTCCCTGGCTAACATCAATTTATACCATAGATCAGGAATGAATCTGGGATTTCATACTGGACTTTATCAACTCAGTCAAATCATTGCAAAAGTGGTGTTAAAATCCCAGGAAGGTTAGTCACAGGCCTTTTGTGGTGGCAGCAAAATACAGTGCAAAAAAAAAAAGCTTTGTTCAGACTCGCTGATTTTTGGAAAGTTTAACAACTTCCTTTTTTATTGAAGTAAATAATATTATCAATTAAATAAAAATACAGTGTCTTGAAATTCTAGCCTTAAATAATTCTGCACTTACAACTTAAAATACTTTTTTTTTTCCCCATTGGTAAAAAATAATCCAACACTTCTGAGCAGGTTTGGAAAGGACACTGAATATTGAGGAATTAAAATTGGAACTTACTATGCCTTGTGCTCAGTGAAATATTTAGCAACTCAATATTTCCCACAAATACAGTTTTTTGGCACAATCTACTCACTGACCTGATCTAAGTGTTTGCTTGAAATTTAAAACGGCATCCAAGTGATTCCAGGCTATGGGATTGTAAGTGTGAAAACGAAGGGGGTAAAAGGTTCTAAAGAGCCTTGAATCCCAAGCAAGCAATTTACATTTTAAATCTGACATTTAGTGGCATGCTTATTAAAATAAACTGCAACATTAGAATTAGGAAAAGGAAACTAAAACATGACTAATACAGAAAACAAAACTCAAGAAGCAGTTTTCACTACTGATACAACATCCACTCTGTCAGATTTCTTAATCTTTTCCAAATAGTATTTTATAAGTCATTTTCTTCGTAACCTTACATTCACCGGAAGACAGAAATAATTTATATTAAAGCCACGGAAAAGTTTATCAGTAGGTGGGAGTGGTAAAATAATTTAAACAAATTTGCAACTACTATCATTGTAAAGAGTATGGATTTTAAACTCGGTGATGAAAGCAAAAACTAAAGTTTCTTACCTGGAGATTGCAAAATAGCCACCACCTCACTGTGACCTCTCTCACGAGCTTTATCCAGAGGAGTTTTACCATCTTCATCTCGAAGATCTGGGTTTGCTCCATGCCTCAATAGTGTCTATGAAAATTAATTCAATGCAAGTCAAACTTAAGAAGTTCCATAATAAGAGCAGCCTTATTTCACACAAAATTCTTCATTCAGTTATCCCATTAACTGAACACTAAATTGGAGTACTGAACACTAAATTGGAGGTGGAATACTTTATAATGAAATACTCAAGCACAAAAGAGGACATGATTATTAGTGCCAAGGTTGTGTTGACAAATGCAATCATGCCCTCAGAATAGAACTACATAAGAACTCCAGCTGACTTCATCGATACCACCATTAAATAAAAATAGTTCTATGTAAAGGGTCAGTACTTGCACAAACATCAAAACGATGCACTTACAAAACTACAATAGGCAAAAACAGGACAATGATATTCTATACCTTCGCAACCTGTGGCCTTCCAAAACAAGCTGCATAGTGCAAGGATGAGGACCTCTGACCCCTGTTAACATCAGCACCCCTCTCGCATAGAAATTCCACCTAAAAATACAATGCAGCTTCTTAGACCATACATGTGGAACCATTAAAATGAAAGTTTGTTCGATTGATAACAAATGACCGTTACAAAATAACATACTATACTGCATTTAATGACAAGAGAACCGCAGATTTCCATTACCAAGTTAACAGTTTTACTTACCATTTCCTGAGTTCCAAAGGCTGAAGCCCAGTTTAAGAGAGTTTGGCCCACATCATCCATAAAGTTTACTTCAAAGGCTACAAAATAAAATAATTCATGAGAAAAAGCATTCTACATTAGGAAGTAATGAGTGGTCGAGGGGAGAAGAGTTAAACATCAACCTACCTCCAGTATCAATAGCATCTATTAATGCATCTGTGTCTTTACTACGGATACAATCAATAAGCTGGCGATGGGAACGCTCCCCAGAACTATCCAGTCTCCGCAAACCAGGAATCCTCCCTGTAGAACCAGCACTGGACTTTGGCAAAGCTTTTCGACCCTCAAAAAGTAGCACCAGAAGTAGATCCACCAACCGCATTGTATCTAGTACACACCTTTCATCACCTTGGAGTGCACTCTCAATCGAGTCTGGCAGTTCTGATCTTAACAAATCCTAGAAGGAAAACATATTCATTATTATTGAGATGGATGGAAATGAATACAAGATCATTACAAATGGATTTTTAAGACATGATTCTAGCCAATGCCATTTCCAGAGTTTGGCTCAGGAAACAAAACTCAACAATTTACAGTACCCAAGTTCACCAATTCTTATTTCAGTGAGGTTCCAAATTTATCTGATGTGAAACAAGAACTGGTGAAATCAGGACAAAATGTTAACTTCAGGACTTTACCTTCATTCTAAAATGTTATAGGGTGAAGAACCAATCAGAAATTATGATCTGCTACATTTGTAAGGTTACATATTTTAATGGTTACAAAATGTAAGGACAAAATGGTCCAATTACATGTGCTAACAACGAGGTGAAAACAACTTGATGACTGCAGTCGGTTTGAACTCAAGTTACAGCATATTTTCCTCAGTTCGATCTATTCCAGCTGCAGAACCAGATGTAAAAAAAGTTTATATTCTTACATGTGTAACAACAGGAGAGCCTCTGCAAAGTGTTGAAAGCAGGCTGACAATTGTTGATACTTGGTTGCTCAGTTTAGAGTCCGCTGCATTGGGACCTGCTCCCGTGGATGTCCGGCCTGGTTTGCAAGCTGACGATGACCCGCCTGAAACCAACCCCCCAGCTGCTGCCATGCGAGAAAGCAGTTCTTCAGTCAAGCCGTGCTTTGCTAAAGGAGCAGGATCAACCCCACGGCGAGTGAATCTGTCTGCCAGAGAGGCAAAACAACGCAGAGCCCCATCGGACACCTAAAATAAACAAAAAATAAAACTAGCAATCACAAGAACAAATGTACTTTGCAGACCCAGTATGTTTTAAAATTTTATAGACCATTACAAGCTAGAGAAAAAAGAATAAAGTATTTAATTTAAAGGAGGACTAGACTTATGAAAGGAAAAGATGTGCAAAACCAAACTTCTGAATAACCGGTCTTAACTGACAGAACTTCCCATTTTTCAGAGCGAAAGTCTTGCAATGAACAGCGACAATAGGCTTTTCTAGAACCAAAAAAGGAATAAAACCCAGAAGAAACCATAAATTATTAAGCCTGCAACATGAAACTGAATGATGGTTCCCATCTCCTTTTACCTGTGGATCTTCGTGTTTCAATAAACTAGAAAGAGATTCCACACAAGTTTCAAGTGATGAATCCTGAGGTTCCATTTTCCCACAAAGTCTGGAGACAACGGACATTGCAGAATGCAGTGTGTCTTTGTGAACAAGATGACCACTATCACGTATAAAGGTTAGCACGCAGTTTAAACCTCCTGCCTCAAACACCGCTCCTGATTCTCGAGTACAGATAAGTTCCAGAACCTGTAAAATAGGATGAAATTTAATGAAGCTTCCGATAGATGTTGCAGATACTACCATGGGAAGAGAGGGCAAACAACAAACAGCTCCGAATAGAAAAATATTCTTTTTTTACGTTCTCCATATCAAACGTATAGCTTCTGATTATTTTTACAAACACACACAGTTCCTTCTCAAAAACACAGAATTATGCATCTAATCAATAGCATCTCTTTGCCCCAAATACAGGTTAAAGAAACAACTTCAGGAGAGGTGGTGGATGGGAATGGAGAAATGACAAAAACATGGGGTGAAAAAAGGTGGACTTATTATTTAGCCTGTTATTGTTGCTTTTCAAATAGCGCAGTGCATAAGAGTAACACAAGTGTACGCCTCTTGCAATTTCTTCCACTAACTATAACGGCTGAGAATTGGTGATTTCAAAGCAGTACTTAACACACATGATGTTACTTGGCAGTAATATTCTGATAGTCACCTAAAAGTTAACTTTTATTTAATTTTTTTTGAGTCAAGTTGATTATTCAACGAAATTTCAACTTGAACACCATTGTTTTTTTCAGTACACACATATCTACATTACGGACATAACAATTACTAAATACTACATTAGGGTTTAGAAAAATAAATGGGATTAAATTCAACAGTTGTTTAGAAGACATTGATTACCTTCACACACTGTTCAGCCAAGTCCCTGCTGGTCCTATTGTTGAGTTCGACTACGACCAACCGGTTACAAAGTGCTTTAATGGCTCCATCCACTCCCACAATCCTCCGTGTACACTCAGCTGACACATCCAGGTAGTATGTTATTGCACGTGCTGTAACTTCCAACACGTTGTCAGGAGCACTTTCATCCAGAAAAATTTTGCATAGAGCTGGCAGAAAGGTACGTGGAGGGCACCTACAGCAATAAAACAGAAAAGATTTTTTAAACCGCAATTCTAATCCTTAGATTATTGCTTTCTCATCAAAAGGGAGTCACAGGGATAAATGTTGGCACTAAACAATGACAAACTCAATGCTAACCTCAGAGCAAGACATTTACAATTTCCCAATCTTTGCAGGGTGGATTTTTTTAGTTTAGCATAAACATATTTAAAGAGGTATTGTCTCAAAAGTGAATTGACTGTCTTGTGTGGGAGAAATAAGGCAGCCAATTGCGCACAGCAAGAAGGTTTGCAAGATATTAAATAATAAAGCAGCCATTTGATATTTTTGAATCTTGCTCCTGCATTTTTAAAATCAGTTTTTTTTTGTATTCTTTCCCAAGTAGAACACTGATGTGAAGCATGTGATAGAATACTGTGGTGAAAGGAACAATAAAACCAATGAATGGAAACTATGGAAGTTTTTGTTTATTTAATACTCTGGATATGTTGGCTATTTCTCTCCCATGCCGAGGAAAGAATTGGCTTGGGTGACCACAATGATCGACCGGTTTCAACATTGCCTTTGCTACTCTCACCTGGTAACTCACAAGCAAATTCCTCCTCATCACTTTCGCACAGCAATCTGTCAGACAGACCCAATGCAGAATAGACCACAACAAGAACCACATCCCAACACTCCACAGTGCTCCGAGTCAAGTTTATGACACAGCATTACTTTTTAAAAAAACTTTCACTCAAGCACTTTTTTTAAAAAAGATAAATGGTTCAAAGTGGCTAAAGTATTTACTACTTTATTACTATTTAGGGATCCGCTTTGTTAAAAAGCATTTTTTTAAAAAAACTAATTGGTAACTCACCAAGTTATCTTTTTTCAATGTAAAACTGTGTGTGCAAAAGTCCACATTGAAAACTAAAACTGAAGTCTAAACTAAAAAGGGTAACTTGGTAAAGATTTTTTTTAAAAAATGGGACTTCAATTTCTTTGTAGCACACAAAGTAGTTCCCAACATACAGTTTAGGTCTGTTTCTTATTATAGTTCAGTATTATTTAAAACTGACTGAACCTTATGTTGACAACATCAAAGCTTATAATCAATCACAGCTGAACTACTCACGTGATTCTCAGTCATAATGCTCAGAAATCTACTGCACAAGTGATTTGCAGTAAACATAGCCTGCTTCAATAAGGCTAATTCATAACAACTCATTCTGAACATTCACTTCTTCTAATGAAGCATTACAAAAAAAGTATTTTTAGGGAGGGAAAAAGTAGCCTCATCTGACACCTATCCAGAGACCACAACTGGTGGTACAAGGCTGCTGACATCAAGCAAGGACAGGATTAGGCTTAGTGTTAATGCCCTTTGCAGTCAAATCATCTGTTGGTGCTTACTGTAAAGACGTGCATAGACAATGGAGGAGGTACCAGACTTGGAGGACATAGTACCAGAGGGCACCCAGCACCCACATAAATGTGCACCAAGCAGGGAGCCTTGGAGGAAGGTACAGGAGAAAGGATTTTGAGAAATACAGTAACCCAAGGGAAATAGCTCAAATAACTATTATCAGAGTTGCATCATTAAAAACAAACTACATGCCAGGGCAACCAAGGAACTGTAACATTGTCATCTGTGCAGCTGCCAGTAGCCTGGACTATCAAATCACCCACCCAAGAACATTGCATTTTCTTAAAATGGTCGTAAGAACAACTAGGCATGCTTCTGTTCATTACTTTACAACTGGTAAAAGTACCAAATCATGTGATTTTCTATATTTAAAAGACTATGCACTATTCAAAATGGTAAACCAAAATAGATTATTCATGACCATCTATCACATGTTGCTGTGCTTAGAAAATACAAATACCAACACTTTTAATTACCAAGCGTACTCCTTTCTTCCACTGACTTGCAATGTTGTGCCAGTATTCTGCAGCTGTGCTGACCAGGGGTAGAAATTAGCAGCATTGCACAACTCTGGGCACAGAAATAGAACATGGTACACAAATATGCTACGATTTCACAAGGCATGCCAGGTCCAACCTCAGATACTGCCATCTCCACAAATACTTATCCTATAACACTGGCATTCTATATTCCATATAAAATTGACAAGCTTAAATTCCAGCTCTGATAGCTTTCCACAAAATTCTGGCAAAGGAAAAAAGAGGCTTATTTACACACCAAAATTCCTTGAAAAAATTCAGCTTAACTGGTCCCCATACAGGGTAGGCCACGGTACTGGGATGCTCCTGATTGACCTCTTAGATTGACTTCTTGTATTAAAGCCCAATTTCAGTTGCACCACAAAAACAAAATACCAAGAAAAACCTAATCGCTCTTCATAATTTTTGGAGGAGAATCAAAACCAAGATAACAAGTGACCTGGAATCTATGTGCAATCATCCCTGTATTCATCTCAGTGGTGACAGATGCTCGGGAGGATGAGGAAGAAAAGAAGAGGAAAGAGAACAAATGAGGGAAAGAAACGAAACAAGAGCAGCTCCAGAGAAAAACATCCTCCAACCCATAAGACAAGTGATGTCATCAATCTGCTGGTGGATTTCCCACCACCCCCAGCTGATTTCCCCAATTCACACTGGAACATGGATCCATTGGCACTGAAGCCCTCTAGTACTTCAGACGTGTTGGCAGCAACTCTAGGCAAGCTATAGAACTCAAGATCATGACAGCTGAGTGAGAGCAGAACTTCACCAACACCCACACATGGGTACTTTCCAGGAAGGAACCATGGATAAACAGAATCACAAAAAAGCACCAACTTACTGCAAGAGAGGCATATTTCATGAATTGTACCATTAATTTTCAGTCACTCTGATTTCATTCAGTGAACACTGACATATGTTAAATTGGTCTCATCAGTGATCATTGTACTGTACTTCTGAATAAAGGTTAAAACTCAGCAACCTGCTGAAACAGTGAATACTGGTGCATGTTTAACAGCATGTATTTCTATGAAAAATGCTAAATTTATCTCTTGTCAATGGTCACTATACTGTGTTACTGTAAAATTTGGAATATTACCCTCTTGAGCAAATACTTGCACAAAAGTTCAATATTCTCCAGACTTCACTGTAATAGAAGCCAAGACAGCTTTCAATGAGAACCAATGATGTAACTTTCACTTCATCAAAAACAGATTGCTGGAAGTGCACTGGAGACCCAAACATGCTCCCAATTACATTTCAAAGATCCACAGAACTCAGAATTTCAGGTTAAGTTGCTTATTGCATGAGCTGCGTCAACACAACTGCTGCCAATGTTCTGCCCTGTGGTCAGATAGGGTTATAAAATACCCTGTTCCATTAAGGAGACACAGAGCAAGTCTCAAAGGTCACAACAGAAGCTCCAAGGAAAACCAATGACATTGAAACTCAAAGGCTTAAAATCAATTTTTTTAAAATAGAACACTTAGGAACTATGTTCAGGGACATACTCCACTCTAGTTCTGAAGAACTGTGCTACCCATTTAAGTATAATTACCACAGGTCAGGATATTATCTAAATAAAGTTTACGGTGTCAAAGGAATATTTTACAGCCTTGTAAACAAATAGCCAATAGTCTATCCATCATTTAACAGATTCAACCATCTACCTCTTCGGCATGAATGTTTATGAATTTTTTTTAAAGGAGTTAAACTGGATTATTAAACCTCCTGGAGTTCCTGGATTTCATGAAGCTAACAGAAGTCATGCCTCGGGATCACAATAGAAAAAAANCACAAATTATACTTACGTTTCAAAACAACGGTCCACGTTATCAGACATCAAAAGCAACATGCACAGCTGTTCCAGTGCAATTAACTGCATGTCCCTTTCGTCCCCTTGTCCCATCTGCAGCCACTCCAACAGCGTATCGGGGTCCACGTCTGCCATGGTCAGGCCTTTTTATTCTCAAAGCTTGAAAAACGTCCGACTCCCCCCTCCTCCCCTCTTGAGCTTCGAGAGGTCGAAAGCAGTTAAAAAAAAAGAAGTCACTGGGGGGAAAATTGTATTTCCACAAATGGCCTGAACGAACCCCTTCACCTGATCAAAAGAAAAGTAAACGTTAACATCTGCCACTCACAGACAGTCGGTTATTACTTAAAATACACACATCCCTTTGTCCCCCGAATTGAAAGGGGGGTATAAAGAGTCCTGGGCTACTCTCACCGAGGTACATACAGCAGAGCATTTAACCAGAGAAGCACCAATCGGGAACGCCACGACTCGCAAATTAAAGCGGATTACCAGAATCCAGCCCGGTCTGGTCTGGTCGGAACAACACGGGTTCTGGTCCCAGTATTTATTCAAAAACAAAACGCTCACATTTCGAGAAAAAGCGGAATTAAATCGACACCACCGCAGTTGTGCGTGTGTCGGTCCGTCTGTCTGACAAAGCGCTCTGAGGCGCTAACCACCCACCGGGAGGGGACGCTATATAAACCCAAGCTGCTGGTATCCTGCCCTGCTCTGGGGGGGGGTAGTTTCGGTGGCCATCAGACACAGACAGTGTTTAGGTGGCGGTTGGCACCCGACGGACTGGTTTCAGGTTAAACAAAAACAACTGAGTCACTGAAGCTGAAGGTGCTTCTCTCTCTCAGTCCCTCACCGCCCCGGGAGGTCCGGCCCAACCCGGCCTCGCTTTCCCGGGAACCGGCCGGTTTGGTATTTATTGACTTGGCGATCCCCCCCCCCTCTCCCCCTCTCCTCCTCCCCCTCTCCCCTCACCCTGGCCCCCGGCTTCCCCTCCCCCTCACCGCGGCCTTCACTCCCTGTCCCTCCCCCGCTATTTCCTCCGAGACGGTCGCCTTTTCCCACACAAGCAGCGGTCGTCGCTGCTAAATATATACCCGCGCACACACACACACATATATATATACACACACACAGATTATATATACATATCTCCGCAACCCGTCGTCGTCCCCACACCGGCTCCCAGTCAAACGCCGCACCGAACAACCCCTCCCCTCCGACATCAGGCCGCCCGAGGCCTACGCACGGCCATGGAAGCCTGGGACTAAATTTTAAAGCAACCCGCCACGTAAGGCCATGTCAGACCAGGTGGGCTCGCCGCTTCTCTCTCTCTCTCTCCCCCCCCCACCAACACACACACACACACACACAAACACCCCCCCACTCCCCACAATATCATCTCCCTTTTTTTTTGGAAAAAAAAATCAGCCGCTTTTATTTTTGTTTCCAGCCGCCGCCGCACTCAACTCAACTCACCGACGCTCGGCCTCAACTGAACTCGGGCCGCCCCCCCCCACCCCCGGAACCTTAACGGCGGCGGCGGAGCAACAGCGACCAGAGAGAGAGAGAGAGAGGCCACATCCTCCTCCTCCTCCTCCTCGCGCACGCGCACGTACGGGCACACGCACGCGCGCGCGCCCGCCCTCCCTCCCTCGGCGGCAGCTCCTCCTCGACCGCAAACGTCTCCCAACAGCGCGAGGAGGAGAGAGAACAGAGAGAAAAAGAAAGAAAAGAGAGAGCGAGAGGAGGAGGAGGAGGAAGAGAGGAGGAGAGGGAGAGGGAGTCGAGAGGTGTGTGTTGGGCGGAGGGAGAGAGGGAGGGAGAGAGAGGGAGGTGAGAGGGTCTCTCACACGCACGTATCTCGCCGCCGTCCCATTGGCTCCGCGTTGCTCGGGTTGAGGGGGGGGAGGGGGGAGGATGAGCCTCGGGGAACGTCTCTAAACCGCTGCCCTCCAACACAGGCGTTTGTTTGTTTACACGCGAGTTATTCCACACGGCTGTTGGGTGGGAATGGGAAGTCACTCTGTCACTCTCTCTCTCTCTCTCTCACGCTTCAAAATCGGGAAAACACGAGAGGGACAATGGGAGGAGGGAGGGAGGGAGGGAGGGAGGAGGCGGCCACGGGTGGGGGGGGGTTTGGTCTGGGGGGGGTTTTTTAATCGATTCCCGGCGGCTCCGCTAACGCGGTCCCCTATTAAGTGGTCCCCGGTGGTTGTCTGTGTGTCTCTGTCTGTCTGTGTCTCTGTCTCTCTCTCACTGTGTGTCGGTGTTTTTTTTCGGGGCTGTGAAGGTGCGATCCATTATTGTTTCGCCACAAACAGAAACCGGACCCTCGGCCGCGGGTTCCAAGTTCCCTGCGGTTAATATGCAAATTCTCAACGACCGTCTCTTTTTTTTTCCCTTTCTCCCCCTCCTCCTCAACTTCTAAACTTTTTTTATTCACAAACCCCCCCCCCACCCCCCCCCCACCCCGTGCATTGCATTGCATTGTTTGTTTTGTTTTGTTTGTTTAGCAAAAAATGCCCATCCGATATAAATTTCTTTTCTCTCCCTCTCTCCTCCCACACACACACACACACACCATCATCACCACCACCACCACCACCAGGACATGTCAAGGTCAACAGCTCCACGTTGGCTCATCCACTTCAACTCGTGTTGAGTTGGTTGCTGGGGGTGGGGGGGAAGGGTGAGGGTGTGTGTGTGTGGGTTGGTATTTGAACAAAAAAAAATTGACTTGAATTGGCTGAAATCATCCCCAGTCCTAATGGGGGTGGGGGTGGGGGGGGAGTTCAACGTGTGGCTGTCACAACAGTTAGTTACGTTGCTGGGATAAATACACTTAAATTCACATGAGTCATCAATACAATTGTTTCTTCAAACAGGTTGTTTCACCATCCTCTCCAGCAAACCGGGTGAGACAGGCGTGCAGGTATTCCCCCCCACCCCAACCCACCACTCACAAAGGCGTGACATTTTTTTTTGGCCAAGCTTTAACACGCACCGGTTTCATTTATAGCAACAATTTGGGAGCTGAGTCAGTGTACAGTTTCACTCGTACCGAATAACCTCTCTCAGTACTGTCACCACAGCAATGCAAAACCGTTCAGTGGAACTGAGGTTGACTTTTACTGTCTTCTGGTAACATGTGTTCTTCACAGGGGGTTTTAATTCATATTTCATGACAGCGGTGTGCACCGTGTGGTGCGCCAAATGAATGCCCCGGTTTGCATTTCCTCGCAAAACAAACCTCTTTCGGTCATGTTGGAGTAGTGATGTTTATTTTGTGGGCAGAGAGAATATTGACAGACCCAAGCCAGCAGTCTGCAACCCCAAGAGGAAATGGTGTAATGTTGATCTTATAGGGTGGGGGCGAAACGAAAGGGGACTGGAGGGGAAAAAATGATTATATCTGACTCAGGAGAGACCACATGATAGAGATAAAAAATGACCATGTGATTATGATGTTGGAACCAAACTTCTGCTTGTCAACTCTTGCAACATTGCCCCCTTCACCTGTATAAAAAGGAGGGCTGATGCCCTCTCCTCACATCACTTAATTTGGTTTGTTGTTGGGGAATGGCATGTGGGATGGAGAAAAATGTTAGTTAAAAATAAAACCTTTAAAAACAGCTTTTCACAAAACTTAGATGACCAATACAGTATATCAAATAATCCCTATACCTTGTAAACAATCCTTTTTCCAGGCAATTTTCTCTAGCTTCCTCCTCTTCTGCTGAAGGCATTTGACTCCTTTTTCCTTCTTGACAGGTACAGTTCAAAAGGCAACCGGCACTCTCTGATATCTTGCCATTATTTATGTCTGAGCCTTGACAGTGACTGTTGCCAGGGTACTTGACAGTGGGGAAGCATCACAGCCGAGCCTGATCCTGTCTTTACCCAACATCCTTGCATATACAGGCAATTCACTTTATAGTATATTCTGTGAAGCGCTTTGAGATGTCTCAATAACGTGATAAGCCGCTATATCAAATGCAAGGATTATTATTATTATATGCACCTTGCGGCAAGGGTTTTGAGATTGCAATCCAGAGTGGAAAATCTATCTGATTTACTCCTTAACTCAGAGGAACTGAATCTAATTGAAGCACGACAATTGCTGTCCAATCTAAGATTAGCTAATTCAGAACAAGACAGGATTTGAACCAGCAACATTTTAGGCTTTATGGCCTAGTGCTGCACCATTGCATGCATGAGATCATTAGAGAATTTACATAAACCTTAGTTTTAAAAAAAATCTTTCTATTCTAAGTCCCCTTTAAAGCTAATGCAGTTTAAACCAGGTTTGAGTTCCCGATTTCAGTTGTCAGTAAAGGTCCATCAACTTCCAACAGCGAGAAAGGTCAAAATAGAAGCAAGAGTTACCCACAACCATTGTCTTGAAGCTTCAAGCACAGAATGCCTCCAGTTACCCTGCCAGCAGTGCACGTGTTTGCTCTCCTGAGTGCAGGCAAGTATGGGTGAAGGTCCATTTTAGGGAAATACTTCCTTTACTCTCTTTACACAGAAAATAATCATCTGCTAGAATGGGTGATTGGGAAAGGTTCTGGAAGCCAGGAGACTGGACTGGAAATAGTTTGATCCTGTCATGGAAAGGTAACAAGATTTATATTCTGGAAGAATTAGATCAAATGGGCAAAAGGGTCTTCTTCATCAAAAACCTCTTTTGTGATTATCCAGATTGTTTAGAACATAGGATTTGGTGCAATCAAAAAAAGTACACTTAGCAAATCAGCAGAAGTATAGAACAAGATCAAGCCAATGTGTTTACAATTGTTGCAAACCCTCTGAAATATTACACCAGTCATCTCACTTGCTAAAGGGCATTATGGGTTTTACTTTGAAGATGATTCACAAATGTTTTGACTGCATTTGAAGGAATTCCAGTTTGATCACATTACTACTTTCTTTACTCAAATGTCCTTCAATTGCTTTCGGTGGATGAATTATTTGCATCTTTGCACCACTCATTAACATTCAATTTTCTTAGTTGCAAAGCTAAAACTGCGTATCATGGGCTTAATGAAATGTGCAAATGAATATCAAAAGTGTCGTTGCTATAGTTGTAAAGCAGGGTAAATTTTAAACGCTTTGATCCATCTTATGCAGGTTAAATTTTGTAATGCTTTAATGCATCTTCTCATTAAAATTAGACTTGTAGGATGGAGACTTCAAACGTGGCCCATCAGTTAGGATTTGTCAAACAGGTCCTCTCAGTTTCAATAAACTACATTTAATTGTTGAACAACCTTTTTTTATCTCAATCTTGCTCTTAAAAAATTTAATTTTTTCCCCCTTTCACCTGATTCATGCTTGCGTACGTGGGCAGCAGTAGTCATATGATCAATCACTTAATTCTCAATAAGTTATTCAACCTTGTAACCATCATAGCCAAATCCTATCTGTTGCTCACCCAACAAATTCTCCCTGCAAGGGACAGCAGTGAGGAATGAACAGGAACACTGGCCTCTTCTTCCCTAACCCAAAGTCACTGAGGTTTTCAGCACAGACCACTGATGGAAACTGGGACTGGCGTGGTCTGTTTGTGGCTCAGTTTCATGTCACTTGATACATTAAACAACAGAGCTAACAACTCTCTGCCTCTTCCATTGATATTGATTAATTTTATTCCATCTTCAATAAGATGGCCGAAGCAGAGCAAACTGAAGTTTATTAAATTCGCATCAGCCACACACAGATTAATAAACAATACAAAATCAATAAACAGTTAAAACAAAAACAAGTTCGCCGGCATTTAAATGTGCATTTTAATGTATAAACACGACTTCATAACTTCAATGAAAGACTAGAATAGAATGAAATCCTAAGTGCCCTTTATTCAATTAATTGACAGCATGAGGATAGTTGCTGTAATTCAATTTTAATATATTGGTTTAACACAAGATTTGAATAAAGTGTCTTATCGGGTCCATACATTTTAAATTGCTTCGTACAATGAAGCTTGTTGCGTAGGCAAACAAATCTAAATATATAAAAACAGATAAAGGACCATTCAGCTTCCCAGACGATAATGGCTTGCTCACAACTGTAACTCTGAGGAACAAATGTCAAAAGGCTTGGTGAATGTGCCTCAACCTGGAATCAGCTTGTAACCCTGTCCACAACTCTGTCCCAAAATAGCTATCGTTCAAAGAACAGGAAAATGAACTGCAGTATCTTTGTCTGTAAGGACATGTTCCTGTTTGATCAATTCAGACCAGTGCACACGAAAACACTATTCTGAGCGCCATGATTAATTTCAATCATTGTGTTTTACAGGTATACAACAGGCTCTCTGTTTAACTCATCTGTCTTTATACAAAACACACCAACTCCAATAACAGGACCATTCATATAAGTGCACAAAATGATTTTTCAAATAAAACTTGAAATAAAAATAAAACACCAGCTGCGTTCCTTCAGACCAATGCACATAGGAAAAATAGTTAATTTAAATTTTTGAAAACTGAAACATTAAATGACCACACCACTCAACCAATCTTGGGATCCAATTTTTTTCCCCCTCTCTTATTAGGGTCCTTCCCAACACATCATTCTTCAGCTGAGATGGCAAGTAGGGATTGTTCTAAACCAACCAATGTTGATCTCCATGTAAAGTGACAGACAGACCCATTAGTCTGGGCTGATTTTAAACCAATACAGGAGGGGAAGAATCATCTTCTAATCCTTTGGGTTTACACCTACCCAGGTCTCAACAGAAAAACATTTGCCTAATATTCTGCATGTTCGGGAGGAGTGAAAATACAACGTGAAATAAGAAATCTGCAGATTTACCAGTAACTTATCTGCAACACATTAGGCACTGTTCTAGCACATGACATTTTCAAAAAAGTTTATGGTGTGGTTACAGACTTAAATATTCATCCTAATAGACCAGGCGTCATCAAACCTACAATGTCTGGAACTATTAAAAAAACAGAACTACCTATGCTTCAGAAAGTTATTGAACTTAAAGTAAATTGTGGCTCCCTGTAAATGAAACCATATATAGCCAGAGGAAATACAATAACTGACAGACTGTGCTGGACTGCTGGCATTATTTAGTTAATTGAGTCATGTTTGATCTAGGAAATATACTGAAAATTGAAATTCTCCTGAGATTGCATTTTAAACTCAGTTATCATTAAATATAACATTTTGGGGTCACAGATTTAAATTTAAAATTTAAAAATCTGTCTTTTCAAGTCTATCAATTGCAACATTTTCTAGTTGAGGTGCAAAATAAAAATATTCCCTCTACCGGTCTCTGCTCAACGCTCCACTGTGCTCTGCCATTCTCTGCACTGTGTTCTGCCAAGTGGAAAGGGGGAAACGAGAGGTGAAAATAGGAAAATAATTCCATTCCCAATTATGGTGATCTTTTGAAAAACATAGGAGTTCCTCTTCTGACTGGAGGATAAATGATTGTAAGTGGGTAGCTCTATGTGCTAATACCTTCAACCTTGGCTTAATCACATTGTGAACGTTCACAAAGGAAAGCAGTTAGTTATTCCTATCAATCAACTTCTGCAATGATGTTATTGATGACATCATCTTGAACAATGGCCATTTGGATGAGATATTCGTGTCCATAAAACCCCATCTCATGAATACAAATAAATCAAATGCCTTCAGGAGGGATGAGAAACAGATTAAAAATAGTGTAGGAAAAGGTACAGTGCACCAACGTGAGGAATCCTAATCCTATCAACCTGCAAAATGCAGCATTCCAAACTTGTTAATATAGTAAAAAAGCATAGGGTTAAGGGCAGACATCCCCTGGATCTGCCCACTTTGGTGTTTCAATAACTCCCAGGTGTGTGCGCGTGTATGAGAGACTCACACACATAGTAAGTGCATGGGGACAACAATCAAAATAGGAGGAAAACAAAATAGGAAAAGTGAAAGAATAAAATGAGCAAATTAGCTTTATTTCTCAGTAAAATTACAAAAAAAAATGTTAGCAATTATGCATATTTGGTTATTCTGTACAATTTACAATTGTGTTATATACACAACATGTAATTCATCTATGAGTAATTCAGTATTTCTGACCGCCATAAAGCTAAAGCACTGGAATCAATCATTTGGCAGCTAGCAGATAGTTTTTTGTAACAACATTTTTTGGATTTAGATTTTCAGTATTAAGAATACTGAGCTGTGAACACTATACACACACAATACTTGTACTGCAGTTAACACTGGCATATTAGGGTTTGGCTGGCACTAACAGCCAGACCCATTATGCAGTTAAATTCTTTGTTATTTTACGATTCATGGTTACAAATGCATTCTGCTGAAGGTTTTACTTTTATGTACAGACCACAGTTTTAATATTGCATCACCTAAGTAATCCTTTTCATTTAAAAAAATAGTACTGTAGTGCAATTGTCTTTATAAGAAGTTAGTATCTGCTGGTTGCATTTTATGGTATGGAATATTCAACCCTACCCATCATAGTAGACATTCTATGAATTCCAGCATTAAGATAGCAATATTTTAAGTTAAAAAATCATATAAAATTCCCTTTAGCATTATTAATCATATTTGTTTACTTGAAGGTTAAGCACTGTATAACAAGCCATACCAAATCTATAAGATCTAATGTCTGAACATGTTTTTCCAAGTGTTATTTGGGCAGGTCACCAAATAAAGAGCGAACAGTGCAACAAATGGTAAAAAATTTATGACTTAAAAACAATGCTAGTTGTAAACAAGTGGAATATTGAACACTTTTTAAAATGTTTCCCTGTAACATACACACAAGTTTACAGTTTTAATCTAAGTAAACAAACGAGGTTAATGTCTGTTATGAATGGCTGGATTATGCTTGGTAAGGTTTCGTAGATAAGTTCCTGTAATTTTAATGAAATAAACTCTGCATGCTTTTACGTGATTTCGTTTGGTATGACTTATTTTCTTTTATTAATTGATTCATAGCTCCTGTTAGAAATTTGAGAAATTAGTCTTGAGTTGAATGCTGGGAGAACTTTTTCCAGGGCACTTCGGCTGGCCAGCGGCTGTCTTGGCTTTCAGACTCTCCTGGTTACCTTTAACAGCTGCTTCAAGCCTGGCTTTCATAGCTGGTGAAGTGCCCATCATCTTTTGAAAGACGGATGGATACTGAGGGCCTATTCGCATCAGCTTCTGCAGAGCAAATTCATGCAAACTCTTGGCTGGGTTTAGTGCCGACATCAGAGCATTCTCATCCAAAAGGAAGGATATAAGGATTGGTAGGAGCAAAGCTACCAAATGGACTCCTGAATATTCAGAAAATTCATTAAAACATTCGCACTACAACAGAATCCGTACAAAGGCATTTAACAACAGTCAAGCTTACTAACAAAATGTGAAAATGTACTAAAATCCAATCTCCAATAGGAAGGGAAGATAGCTTTGGAATTTATTTAACAGAAGGGAGTTTCTCCTGGACAACAACCCCAACCCTTCCATACAACTGGTCATTTACTTTAAGGCCATTTATAGGACATTACTGTGTGCAAGTTCTCTGCCGCATTATTGTAACATTGCATTCTAAATCAAAGAACAAATATTATGTTGTTACACTTGAATTTAGAATTTAAATGATAAGTTATAACATAGATGTAAATCAACATTATCCTACTTTTCAAGACATAGAAGCTCCTGTCGCCAATACCTTTAAAAGAGATGTAAAATGCTTATTGTGGTCAATTTAACATTCGGTGGGATTTTTTGAAAATTAAAATGGGCATCCTGAGGACTGGGGGGCAGAGTGCTGGAGAAGTTAGAATCCAACAGTGGGAGTCACCATGAGTAGAGCAGGTCATTAATCCAAAAATCCTCCAGATTAAAATTGGTCATTCAGCTCATGCAATTTATAGGAATTGCCATGTGGAAAATGACTGCCAAAGTAGTCTACATAATCAGTCACTATCCTTGACAATTACTACAAAGTGCTTTGAGATATTTAGATGGAATAAGGAGAGCCACAAAAATACAAGTTCTTTCTTTCCAATCTGGCTACTGCAGTTGGTACACGATCATTTCACTTTAACCATACTGCAGTGGCCCTAATAAGGTAATATAACACCGTATATATATTGGGACGTCCTCCTGATGTGAAAGGCACTATACAAATGTAATTTTGTGTTATAACAATAATAATCCTTGCATCTTATATAGTGCCATATCACATTATTGAGATGTCTCAAAGAGCATGACAAAATATACTGTAAAAAATATACTATGTATTGTGTGGGTGACACGCAGCAGCCAATTGCATACAGCAGTATCCCACAAACAGTTGTGAGTGACAAAATTATTTTATTTATTTATTTTTGGGGGGGAGAATGGTGCTCCACCTTCCTACAGAGGGAGGAAATTAGATCCTACCCAGCAACTAGCCAGAAGGGAGCACTGCAGAGGTCTGAGAACTTTTTTTTCCACTCAGCAGATTTAAAAGTCCGAGCAGCGTGAAGGAAATCGAAAGGTGGCTAAATAACAAATGGAACAGGTTGTAATATTACAACATCAAATAGGATAGACTGAATTTGAATATTGATGTATATATCAAGGGCAAATGGAGTTAGTCAGGTTTGAAGAGAGACTTACGGTTTTGCTCATCTGCCATGCTGACCAGAGTCTCCAGAGTTCTCATGCCTTCCTGCACCGCTTGCAGCTCTGGGTATGAGCTTGGCTTTCTTTTCTCCACTTCTTGAAGTCTACGTAAAATTAAAGCAGCCAGGGAATGGATATATGGTACAGATACAGCCCTGTTAGGATGCTGGAATATTGAAAGCAGCAACTTGTAGCACTTCATTTGTACCTTAAAAGGAAATAGAGCCAGATATTAAGACATTAAACTGGGGTGTTGTATGCCTGTTCAGGTGGATGGATGTTAAAGATCCCATTGAACTTCTTGAGAAAAAAANGTGTCCTTCCGGTGTCCTGGCCACCAATCTCCTAGATACAATTGGTTATTCACTCGGTGCGTTTCCCTCTCCTTTTTTTGCAACTAGAACAAGTTGCATTTATATAGCATTCCTCACCTAGGCAGAGTCCCAGAGCACTTCACTTTTGTCCTGAAGGTAGGTACTGATTCACAGGCAACAATCTGCATTTTGCCCATGTGTTCATTGCTTATTCCAGAGTGAAAGCCAGCAGGCGATGCAAACAATGGCACATCAGAACCAAGCCTGATCCTATCCTCACCAATGTCTACTCATGTGCTTATACCAAGATCCAGCAAACATGGCTAGCATCAACAGTAGGAAATCAGTTTGAATATGATCATTTTTTTTTCTCTCTTGCTCAGAGGATTGAGTCCAATTGAAGTGCCTTATTGCTGACTAAGCATAGAACACGTATTGAGGCTGGAACCTATTGACTGACTCAGTTAACAAATCAGGCAGAAGCTTTAGCATAGAGTCCCATGAGGGAGAGCCACTGGTCATATTTCACCATCTTGAAGCATTTAATTCTCAAAATAAGCTTTAGTTCATGCAAGTGGCAATGCTGAGGCTGACTCTGAAAATAACACCTTTCAAATTGGAAATCATAGATTGATTTTCATTTGCATTGCTATGTAGATAAAGAAACAAGTGATTTGATAATGCAACTTAAATGACAGCAGTTATAACAAAGTCAGCTGGAGTCCTGTAGCTCAGTGGATAGAGCACTCGCTTTGCAAGCGAGAGACCCGAGTTCAATTCCAGGCAGGGCGAAACCTTGGGCAAGTTTCCTTACTCCACACACCTAATAATAATCCCTCCAAAACCAAAAAAACAATAATAAATTGGTCATTTTCAATCCACGACTGTTTGTGGGACATTGCTGTGTGCAATTAGTTGCCGTGTTCGCCCACAAATATACAGTCAATTCACTTTACAGTGTGTTCTGTGAAGCGCTTTGGGACGTCCTTCCGACGTGAAAAGCGCTATATCAAATGCAAGGATTATTATTATTATAAGTTCAGCTATGGCAGACATTGAGGCATTTACTCCTCAACTAAGTTTGAAATAAATGTGGAAGGATACTTACTGCTGGATCTTTAGAACAGAGGATTACTTTAAACCTCTCAATACATGGTTTCTCAAGGCACTGGACGCAAACGACTTCTGGATTTGCTGACATCAAGAAAACACTAATTGCGATGAGCATGGTCACTTCATCCAGTTCTGACCGCATCTCTTCTGCTTAAAGACAAAAATCACATACGGAAGGTGAGGAATTTCATAACTAAAGATGCTTTTTTTGGTGGAGGAGAAATATTTTACACATTGGCACAATCTTTCATCTCAATAAACACGTGATTTCAGAGTTGGAGTACTAGTGATTCTAAAGGAGGACTACAATGGAAGTGGGTAGAGACTCATGTGGTGCATAATAAATTGGTCACTCAACCCACGACTATTTGTGGGAGACTGCTGTGTGCAATTGGCTGCTGCATTTCGCCCACAAAATATACAGTCAATTCGTTTTACAGTATATTTTGTGAAGCATTTTGAGACGTATCGAAGACGTGATAAGGCGCTATATCAATTGCAACGATTATTAATCTTATGATCAACTCAACTGCAACAAATTGACATTTATATAGTGCGTTTCACGTCAGGAGGTCGTCCCAAAGTGCTGGACTCGGATGGAGAAGTCAAACAGTTGCTCTGCCTAGAAAGATGCATCTATCTCACTGTTGCAACAATATAGTGATTAGGGGAAAGCAGAAAATACAGGATATTATAACATGATATTAATGTATTTTGTAAACAACAACAAGATTACATTTGTATAACGCCTTTCACGTCCGGAGGACAACCCAACGTCCCAACAGAATGGAAAGTGTTTCAATATCTCAACACCCTGTTCTGAGAACAGTTTGTGTGGGTAAAGAGGACAATAAATAGGTGGTGGAAATGAAAAAGTGCGATCTGTAGGAAACAACTGCTCAGTATACAACAAGATTACATTTGTATAGCGCCTTTTGCATCGGGAGGACGTCCCAAGGCGCTGGACAGAGTACAGCATTTCAGACATTACAGGAGAGACATGAAAAACTTCCCAGCCAGTGCCCAACAACAGCATCAGCACTCACTGTTTTAATATTCCAATAAATATCCCGGGAATTTCCATGTATAGGATGGAATGCATGGAACTCTGTTTGGTTTGGCTGACCAAAGAAACTAGCAGCTGCATTTTTTGTTAAGAGTAAGTGGTGATATTTCCTTGTACAGCTGTATTTTAAATCACAGTGAGTTAGACGTCCTGTTACCTGGATTCCAAAACTCCAGAACTGTTGCCAAAGCGCTGCGGAGGAGTTTGGTCCACGCGGCACGGCTCTTCTCTGCTTGGGCCATGGGAGACAATACAACGGCCCTCAACGCCTGCAGAGCTGCACCAACTGTTAAAGACATGTGACCATCGGACATCTTCACCGCAGTCTCTGTGAGGACTCCTATGATAAGATAAAGGAGTGTGGGAAGAATCGATACGCTTCCTGTAAAACAAAGAAAATATTAAAAACCATAATATATCAAATGACAAATTATATGTCTAATGTTGAAAGGTATTTTGTACCACTTTATACATTTGGAGGGAGTTAGTTTGGAGCCCCACCATCCCAACACGCTTTTCATATTTATGCTCCTTCTTAGCTCTCTTTGTAATTCCAAAACAAGGGGGCATAAACAACAACAACTTGCAGTTATCCAGAGGCCTTCACGCAGGGTAGCGTCCCGGAGCGCTGGACAGTGGCGGAGTCTGATACCAAGCCAGGGGGAGACGGATATGGGAGGTGACCATAAGCACGATCAAACAGGAAGATCTTAAGGCTGGATTTGAAAGTGGGGAGAGGGGGCAAGGTGGAGGGAGAGAGTAAATCTAAAATATCTAGGTGCAGATCTAAAAGGGATGAATGAAGCGCAGACCTTCTTCACACAGAGGGTTATGAGAATATGGAACTCACTGCCAGAAGATGTGTTGAACAAAGAGCATCAACATACTTAAGAGGAAATCTAATGCATACTTGAGGGAGAAGGGAATACAGAGGGGTAAATGAGAAGGAAATAGGAGAGGGGTGGACACTTGTGTTGAGTATAACACACACAAACACAAACTGGATGGGCCAAGTAGCATATCATTCTATTTAATTCTATGTAAAAAATTTGCACACAAAATATAATCTTATCAAAATTGAAATGCGTAAACTTGGTTTGATCGACGCATAAATTTACCTGCGGGTGAGCACACTGAAGGGAGGTCAGCGAGAATTCCCAGGGCAGCTGCCACTAACTTAGTGCCATCCTTAGTCAACTGCTGGGTTTTCCCAGCATTACCAACAGGAGCTCCCACCAGTTTTGGGTTTAGCTGTGGGAGCTGGCGAACAAGGACAGAGAGGGACAACTCCAAAGCTGCAAAGACTAGGGATTTCCCTGGTACCAGCCCGCCAGTATCTCGGCCCTCTCCAAATTCTGGCAATGTCTCTTTCTCAGCAGCACCATCATCCACTGCACACAGACAGGTAAGGTAAATTAGAAACAAAATAAGGCTGTTATCAAGCCCAGTTTTCTCATCACAATTTTTTCACATAATACTAGGAAGAACACAGAGTTTACTAGCTCAGCAGTTAACCAATTAGTAGGACAATGAGCCATTGAGACCAAGAAAATTCCTAGTTCAATCCCTATGTCAACTGATCTATTCGGAAAAAAAAGTTTCTCCTGGTGTCCTGGTCAACAATTTCTCAACTAAAATTAGCCATTCAGTTCATGGCTGTTCATGGAGCATTGAAGTGTGCAAATTGGCTGCTGCATTCCCTCTCCACAAAAAAAGTTACTCCATTTTGTAGTGTATCCTGTGAGGTGCTTTGAGATGTCTCCTAGACATGAAAGGTGCAACATAAAGAAATATTATTATTATCTCAGTTAGAGTAGATCTAATTGTCCGCAAACTCAGGAGGAGGGACCCCAAGCCAAGGAGAGCAAAGTAAAAAAACAGAGTTGCTGCTCCTTGTTGCTATCCCTTGATCCATGCTAGAAACTCATAAGAATAGGAGTGACCTCTGCCTAGTCTAGACTTCCACTGCTAGTCACTGCTTATAAACAGCTATTCAGAACAAAATGAATTGCTGCAGCAGTTCATAGTTTCTAACACCCACCTTCTGCACTCCTCCGTTTCTCTTTCACGTGCTCCTGGGCTGCATGTATTATCTGTCCAACAACATCAATTACAGCCAGCTGGATGAAGGGAGACTCTCGTGTGAGGATCAATCTGTGCAACACATTCAGTAATTCCACTCCAAGCTCCTGCATTTGGGAGAAAGAGTATATGCAATACAGGTTAAATCGATCAACACAAAAACCATATCTCTTGTTCTTACGAAAGAATGGCTGGGATATGGAAATGATTCAAAAAGTGGGGAACATCAGATGCACAGCAATTATTTAAGCTTTTGACTTTTAGAAAACATAGCAAAATGTAAATCAACCCAAGGATTTTTTTTTCTCAATGAGAACCAAATGCAGAGTTGAAGCGTCACTGCTAAAAGGTCTCAGGAAAGTGCTTTCTCTTCCAAAGAAAAGCAAAGCAAGCTGAAGTCATTCAAATTTTAATTATGAATAAAATCATTTTCATTCAATAAAGACAATGTTTTTTGTTCTCCAGTTCACGGTCTTCTCCTGGTAGTTGATGGGAAAACATTATAAACTGTATTTCCAGCAGAATATCAATATTTAAGGCACTTCCCACTCCTATTGCCCTGTGTTGCATGAAACAATACTGTGCTAAATTAGCAGGGCAATCTCAAACAATAATTGAGACCATCAAACCTCAATTATTTATTTAAATCGGTTACAAATCTTTATCTGACTTGAATTTCCCATTTTAGCAAACAGCACACGATTGGCTTAAACGTCTTTCTGATGGTAAATTGTCCACACCCATATTCACATATTTAGCTGCAAAACCAAAGTAAAAAATGACAGTCTTGCGAGAATCCAGTTAATCTTTATCTAGAATAACCCGATATACCTTCCTCAAATATACCCTCCCTTCTTAATGTCATTGCAGAAATTTAATACGTTCTACACAAGTAGCATTTAGATCACTATCTGTGCCAAACAAGGGAAAATGTAAGAGAAGAAAGATGAAAGAAAAGGACTTTATCCCAGGAGAGATGAACAATTCTCTGTTGCAATGCCATGTTAATGGCCCAACTGAGCTACTAGATAGGCATTTGGGACGTTTCTGCTCAGTACTACTAAGCCATTGAACTGTCGGGATTGCGAGAGAGGTGATTTCATTTATTGACCTAATGACCAAAATATTCAACAAACTGTGTTACCTGCCTGGGTAACAAGGATGAGGAGAAATGACCAGAAAATGAGTTGTTATGCAATACCTGATCACTTCCCATTCTGCAACGTGGCCAAGGAACGTCCAGCAATGCCTGCAGAGCACGTAAACAAGCTGTGATGCTCTCCATTGGTGCATCTGGTCGTGGCGAGCAGAGAAACTCTATACTGATTCCTGTAATAGATGCAGCACAACAGCATGTAACATTTCTTCTAAACTCCATTTTATTTATCTTTCTTTCAGGCAAATTAATTTAAGAGCGATCTGTCTATTTTAAAATGTAATCGCCTTTGACTTATCTGGATGATTAAGTCAAGATGTGATTTTTTTTGTTTTCATAATGTGCAATTGGATACACTGGACACAAGCTCAAATTTAGAAACACACATTCCTTTTGTGTAAGTTTCATTATCCAAGAAATTAAGAAGAAAGAGATTTTATTTTATGGTAACAAAATGTTGAATTTTATAAGGTGAGTTGGCTTATACAGTAATCACTTTCTCCTTGTTCTTTTCTGACTCCTAATCAGACCATTTTATGCTGGTCTCAAATTACAACATGAAGTGAAATGGAGAGCTATATTTAATTCAGACCACTGGAGAAAAGCTCCACAGCACCATTTGCTGCACATTAGAAAAGAAGACATAGAGCTACTTTCCCCCCACAATAATTCTCCACTTTTATTACTAAGTCATACATGCCAAGGAGGTCCCAGGTTCAACCTCTGGTCTGTTCATTTGGTTGATTTTAGCCAAAGTCATTATAATTTGTTGGTGATGTGAATTTGTTTTGGCTAAACAGACTGTTGAGATAAGCATTACTCGTGTGTATTATTCAATTCAGTCCCAAAGCCACCCACAGCTCACTATTTGGGAATCACATAACAGTAAAAACCTAAGAGAGACCATTTGCAGGAACATAACATTTGGCTGATATCTGAATGGAATTCAGTGTCCTTTTGCGTAGCAAGATTATGGCACTCACCACTGAAAAATTAAAAAATGTACCACTGAAAAATGGAATCTTGCTACAGTTCTGTGAATTTCGTAGTAACATTGCAGATTATTTAGTTGTACAACATGGAAGGATTCCCAAATGTTAGTACAAATCCTGTTACTGACAAGGCAGGCTTTTTCCTAATGAAACCACTCACTTATTGTGTGTTATTCAACAAGAATGCAACACAATGTAGTATAATTACATCTTGTTCAATTCCACAACATATTGTCAATGCAGAAGGATGGTTCAAAGTTTTCACAGAGTTGCAGTATTCCTGTCTATCTACAATGACGCAGATGTTTCAATTGTATTTGATTATTATTTAAATTTCACATCTGGTATATTTACATTTCCACACTGTGAATTCAAAACACAGGAAATTAAGTCTCAATGAGGGGTTGACTAAAGTGTTGTTTCGGGTTTGTGTTGGATTACAAATGGATCAATTTAAAATAACCCTGTAAATTGTATACATTTATTTAATTCCTGAATTACTACATAAATCAGAATATGTATTAAGAGGCATTAAATAAACCTGTGATGTGGAGATTTTTGCCATATGGATATTTTTTAAAAAATGTTGCACACCCACACATGAAATTAAAGAACTATTCAAGTTCTTCAGATCTATTTAAACATTCCTTTACTGACCCAGAATGAGGTGGAATCGATCAGTGTTGATATCCTCTGGCGACTTTACTGCATTTGCAGAAGTGGATTCATGGCCCAACATTGTTGGCGTTACAGGTCTGGATAGATGTGAGGAGTCCTCATCTGTGTCAACCACTACAAAACCTGTGCTGTTCAGCCACAATGCCGTGGCGTGGAGGATAGGAGCCCATGCATTGTAATAATGAAGCCTTGCACCCTCTATCGTTTCTGATGTATAGAATGCACCCCCTGTTCAGACAAAACAAACCTGCTACAAATATATTCTACAACAATAAGGTTTTTATGTACACTTTATAAAGAATACAGCTTCCTAGCATTACTGGTTAGTTATTAATTTATTACAATAAAAACCTTATTAATCTAATATATCCATAGTAAAAAGCACTCCAAATTAGGAATAAAATTGTATGATGTGAGAAAAAAGTCATTTTTAAGCTTCCCCGAATGGCTCAGTTGATAAATGCATCATCTGGTGTGACACTCAGCCATATAAGCCAAGGGGGTCACAGGTTTGATTCTGAGTGAGCTCTGCTGAAGGCTGATATTAGACTGAACATCTCTAGATTAAGGTGAGAAACGAACAGATTTCCTACTTTCAAATATTTTCGAACAACATTTTTAATGGATAAACAAAATAACAAGAAACTCCTGAAAAATAAAATGAAAAATAATAAAAAGATAAAAAGATTTTCACAGGGCTCTACCATAAGTATTCCAAACTCACGGTATTAAGCCTGGAAGTTAAATGGGCAGCAATACACTTTTACTGATAACCAGATTGCCAAGAAACCCCATTGGATTAGAATTCAATTTTCCTTTCTTCTGTCAAAGAAACCATTCAAGAAGTATATTCAGATTTTAATGTGCTATACAGATACTTGAAACAACAATTTGCTGTATTCAAAAGACATGTGTTCGTTTATTTGGAAGAAAAGAGTTGAGAGGGAACACATCATATTGTCTCAGTTTAACTCTATTTGGCTACTTGCTCTAATGTTTTTCGACTTTGGTTTTATTAGAATATCTGTTGGGATAGGAAACCGTATCATTGTTCATTGTCTCAGACAACAACTCAATTTATTGTGTGACAGGAAACAAAGTACTGAGACGCTCATTATCACGAGCAAAGTGAGTCAGAACAGCTTCAAATGAATGACAATGGGAGTGGAGTAAGACACTTGCAAAACAAGTTCATGACAGACCCAAATTGATTCTTACACATTTAAACACAATATAAACCAAGCATTCAATATCGCTAACACTCAATTAAACGTGATTTGAAAGGAAGTGACGGGCGCTGGCAATCAAACATAGTACACTAAATTAGTAGTTAGTGAGCGAATAATGTCCTTTGCTACTGTTTTTAAAAAATTAGCATTCATTCAATTCCCATTTAAAAAATCATACAAATTCTAATAACTTAATTGGTAAGCCCAGTCTAAAACAGCCATAAAGACCAGGAAGGGCTCCATAAATTCTGTGTTGAGTTTTCTGATCTCAGCACCTACGCTGTAAGGGATAATAGAAGGCCTCATTGAGGGGAGGGGGAGGGGGGAGAGAGGAATAAGACTAGTTTCTTGGTCCCATGTCGTATCCACTGACTCTTTAGCCAAAGTGCAAGAATGTGTACGTCTTGGTGAGCGAGTCAGGTGTGGCGTGACTTTGTGTCTGGATTCTCTCCTTGCCTAGAGATTCTGGTCTGAGCCACACAGCTTTTGCACTGAGCAGCCAACAGGCAATTCACAGTAATGTACTGTGAAATGAGGAAACATGTATGGCACATTAAAATTTGAATACACTTCTTGAATCTCTCAGCTGGAGCTCATGCATCGAAAAAAATATTCAAATACTAGACTTCCTCATCCAAATGTAATTTGCCCAGCTCAAAATGTTTACCTGCATCAGGAAGTTGACTAGCATATTCCGAAGATAATGTGAGAAGTGCATAGTCCTGCAGCACTGCCAGCCAGAGTTTACTCAGGACTCCCAGTTCAGACTGAACCAGATTAAGAAGACTGTCCCCTGAAGGATTCGAATCGCCCGAGGAATCGGCAGCGGAGACGATAGCCTTGCACTTCTCCTTCTGTCTTACTTCACACATTGTTTGCCTTTCAACCGTTACTATGTAAACCTGACAGGAAAGAGCAAAACATTCAGCAAATGGAGATATTTTATGAATTTCACAAGTAAGCCTGCCTGTGGTTCACTCAATACATTTTAAGATTTAATGATGTTGACCATAGAGACACACGGTTCCACATAAATTTCAACATCATATAATATTTAGCTCTATTACTGAAAAGGATACATGCAGTGCGGGTTCTCATTTTAAGGATAGTAACCCTCACTCTGTATGTTACCTCTCTTACACTTTAACCTACTCCCCTTCCTCGTGCCCACATAACTACAACAAACTGTTAGGATATTGTGCTTATGCACTGCGCTAGTGAAACCAAGTTAATATCCAGCCAGGACCAAGTTAATATCCACAACCAGCAAAAACACCCAGCTCTATTAAAGTAAATGGAACTGAGGTTCCCCCAATGGCTCAGCGAATTTATGCAGCAAGTAACTGAGCTATTATCTGGGAAAGTGCCAAGTTTAATGCACAGTCTGTAAACTTGTTTACAGAGGACAGGGTTGCTACACCTCAGCATTCTGAGTTAGGAAAGAAAAATATCAGGATGCAAGCAGCTTCTCTTTTCAGTGGAGCAGCTTTGCAAAGCAGAGCAAAGTCTTCCTGAAGATTTCTCATAAAAATCTAAAATATTTTTATTTCATTTTCCAATGTAATTAAAGGAAGATTGTTCTTAGATTAGCTTTCCCCTTTAACAGAATAAAGAAAATGTACGCGAGTCTACACGTTTAAAAAATAGTGCCCCAATGCATTTTATCCAACATGTTCAAATCCCTTCACTCTCTAGCCCTCCCTACCTCTCCGACCTCCTCATTCCCCAACCCACCACCCGGTACCTCCGCTCAACTGGCACTGGCCTCCTGCTCATCCCTCTGCCCCACCATCAGAGGTTGTGCTTTTAGCCACTATGCCATGAAACTCTGGAACACTCTCCCTCAACCCCTCTGCGTTGCCCCCTCTCTCCCACTTTTCAAGTCCTGCCCGAAAACCTTCCTCTTCGACGGTGCTTATGACCACCAACACTCCCCAGCTCGGAGTCAGGCTCTGCCACTGTTAAGCACTCTGAGACGCTACCCTGTGTGGAGCGTACTATAAGTGCAAGTTATTGTTGTTATTGTTGTTGACAGGCTCTCGAAGCTGTACTAAACTGAATAGTTCTGACACCAGAGAATTCTGTATCCATCCATTGACAAACAGCAGCAGTGATACATGTGTTAAGCTTGTGTTAAGGTCACCTACCTCTGCCCAGGCCTTGAGAACTGCTAAAGTCTCCATAGTTGAAGTGCTCTCATTGTAAAGCTGGCTCAGGGCTTCCTTACCAGCCTGTACTTTGCTCAAGGATGTTGCCAGCAACTGATGAACTCTTCGAAGATCATTTAGGTCACTCACTACTCCACTTCCAATCCAGGCACTGCAAACCTGAAATGATACTTCTGTTAAGTTTTTAAATCCATTACATTTAAAATAATTTAAATCACTGAATATTTAAAAACGATCGTCAGATGGGAGGAAGGATATCCTCCTCCAAGATACACTCAGCACACGGTGGTGATCAGTCAGCCAGGAAGCATGGGAACTTGCTTGACTGGGAGAGAAAAAAGCTGCTACGAGGTTCATCAATACATTGCAAATTATTGAAACATTTCCAAATGGATGCTGCCCCCATGCTGTACTGATGAACCGGATAGATGTGCTGCAGATGTGAGCTGGATAATGAAAGCAGGCTGAGACCCACAGTGCATGGTGCAGCAATGTTTGAATGTAATCCTTTCCAGATTAACTCAAGGACAATAACCAGCACCTTATAAAATGATGTGCACAAATACAACATAATATTTCTATGTCAAAACACCGCTGCTGAGAACTTAAAACATACAAAGATTTCTTTGATCAGGAACCCAGGTCGATTATTAAAAACAAGTAGAGGAGAACAGCAGATCGATCACGATTGGAGGAAAATATGCTTTGCTAAGCGGCACTTACTTGACACGCCTTAGCTGTAACATCGGGTGGAGTGTCAGGCGAGAAGGCAGGCCGAAGAGCTGCTCCAACCTGAAACCCAATCATCAAGACAATTACAGTTCTGCTACATAGCTTAATTCCTGAAATTAAGGTGTGTCCCCCCATCACTAGTTAAGTTGTTTGGCTTACATTTGCTTGGTATTGTTCCAGGATCACATGACCAGGAAACTCTGGTTCAGGGACACTTGCAAACTTCCTGATGATCACGAGCAGCGTTTCCAGCCCAGAGAGCCTCAGAGCATCACTGTGGTCAGTGGCTGCCATGAATGCCATTCGGATCAAATCTGCCAAGTGCAGCACCAAGAAATCATCTGGAAAGATGCAAATGCATAGTTACAAATCAAAAGAGCGGGTGAAATCCATTTACCATGAAATCCATCCACTTGGAACATTGTGAGAGAGTAACATGCAAACAAACCAGCCACCAACTGGCCCGCCCAGGAACAGAGAACCCAGCTGCAGGATTCCCCACCACAGCACAATTTGAGATGAATTTGCTTCACATTTTTAAAATCCTCACAGTCAACTCACTTTTACTGTCCTTCAGTTTTCGCTCCTGAGCTATGACCATGTCAAAATGAGCAGTATCTGTACCGTCACTCTGTGTAATAATTCGACAGACACATTGAGCAGCAAATACTCTTGTGGGCCAGCGGGGTGTGATAATCGGCTGGAATTGATCTTTTTTTGAGGTAAAAATTGAATCACCATCTCCCTTGTCCTCCTCCTCATCCTGAGTAGTGTCCACAAGTGCAGTTGTGGTGAAATCTGGAGTAGAAACAAGCACGCTAAAGCATGTCCACATACAGTTCAAACAAATCAGCTTGGAGACCAATATCACAATCTGAGCAAAAGATCCTCATCAGAGGATCACACTAAGTACTGCATCCTATTGTCATTACAGTTTGAGCTCTGAGGTACTGCACTATTAGATTCATTAATGATTCCCCAAAGAGTGAGCTTCCAAGAAGCTTGGGAGCAGGTCACAAATCTATCTTTTCAGGCAGGTCAACAGTAAGATGAGACGAAAAATACAAATTGTGTGAAATAAACCAAATGTCCCTTGCTTATGAAGGAAGGCAACAAATGGATTTCAAATGCAAACCTACCAGCTGAGGCGGATAAAACATCTTTGCATAACCTTAACCAATGAGAAAGCTTTTCGACTGCTGTGGATGTTAATATGTGACTCAGAGTTTCCCGGATATCTTGGCAAAGTCGTTGATCAGACTCTCTGTCCAGCAAGCTGAAAAGGGCTCCCTCTAGGCCGGTTTCACTAATATTAATATCTGAAAATAGAGATAAGGTTACTGTTCTAGTTCAGTTTTCTGGCTAAACATTAAACACATTAAGTTGCTAGAATATCACCGTATCAGGTGCCTCAAAGTCTGAGATCCTCTGCTTAAATCCCATGTTTACTCTTTTTGGGGAAAAAAGGCCACTGAGTAAATCCTGGCACGAGAACTGAATACAGTACTGAAAAACACATTTTATTTCAGATTAGCCAAAGAGTGCAGGTAATGGTACACTGTACCAGCTTTTTCATTCCACGTGCAGTGGGGCAGGGAGTTAGACAGTACTATAACACAGAGGACATGAGGAGAGAATGGCCCGGTAACCCACAAGTTGCAAGGCTATACCTTGCCATTTCATGATATAGTCAAAAAATTGGGTAATGCTGGCAAATGGATTTTATGGAGTCCCATAAATTTTTATTAAGCAAAACTGTCCTTTAGACAGGGATGTGGTGATGTATTGGGTCAGAAAAGGCAGTTACAGTCGCAATCCATCTGGCTACTCCCAAAGTAAACAAAAGAATCCTACTCAATTCTAACTCTCATACCCTTCAAACCATTTATTCACCAAATAGCTGTTGAATTCCCCCTTGAATTTGCTGACACACTTTACCTTCACTGCCTCCTTGGGTAGTCCATTACACATGCACACCACATTCCGTGTTGCCATGAAATCTGAACTGTCTGTTAACCTAATCTCTTCAAGTAGCATCCCTTTGTCCAAGAGTTATTGAGCGAGCGTGTTAAGCACATCATCCTTTGCATAATTAAAAAAGACTTTCAGCACAGTGAAACAAATTAATTTCAGCCTGGGCAGTGATGGAGATCTTGCAACTGGTAATAATCCAGCTGAAGGTTCAACACCTTTACCTAAAAATGAACAATAGTCAATCTTTGTTCCCTTAAGACATAATTTCGAGCAATTCGCCGAAATTGCTTTAAACAAATACAATCCAAAACACTTATTCAAATGATGTAAGATAAAACATTTTACGTTTGCTCTCATCTTTAGGGAACTTGATACTGTACAGAATGAATCCTAAACTGCTGCATCATATATCAGTGAAAATAATGGTTACTGATCTTATCAGAAATAAGAGTTGATCTGGATAGATTGGTCTGAAAATGACAAGGTCTACAGATGCAAGTCTAACAGCTTACCAAGCTTACAGCTGCCTCTGTTCGATTCCTTGGCAAGAGCCATGGCATGTTCCAGTACCTCAGCAGCTTCCCTCTGTGCGAGCTGACGTAGGCAGGCGATCACAGCACGTCTCAGCAGGAGATGTGAACTGCAGAGGTTTACCTAAAAGATAGAAATGCTTCACAGTGAGTAAATGGTAAACCTCTAGTACAAATACACAATAAGTTCTTCTCCCCTTCCTATTCAAACGCTTTCAGCAGATTTGGACATGCACAACATCTGTGATAATTAGCAGGTTATATTGAAGCAGGATCAATCCCATCCTGTACATAAGCTATAAGCCACATAAATATCCATTATATCTCACATGTGCTTCTCCTAATGCAGAACCTGACACAATCTATATAACTGGCTGGAATTTATCAGTACTCTGGCCTCCATTTATAAAGCTCCAGAATAATTTCCCATTTACCTAATGATTTACTGGAATGGACAGTATGAGGGGAGAGATAGAGTGTGACTGACAATCATTAAAAACGTGACATATTTGAATAAATGGGAGTGGTGTTTATTTGTAAGTGTGATGTGCATAAAATAGGCTCCATCCTTAAACACAAATGATTGATTCATTCAATACAAGACATGCGGCAGGCCTGAATAACTACATATTTACGTATTTTGGCCCTTGTATTGTTACAACAGTTAAAAAAAATGGGAAAGCCAATTAAAGAACATATTCACACCTATCACCTTAATAATAATCCTTGCATTTGATATCGCGCCTTATCATATCAGAATGCCTTAAAGCACTTCACAGTAATTTTGAGTGAAAGTTATTTTCATTGCTAAATGTCTTTTTTTCACCTACGGTTGTGCTATACTATTGTTCTTTGATTTGATTTTGTAATTTGATGTTAACACATAGCATAACAGTTAGTCATGTAAAAATATAAGACCAAATAATTAACCTCAAACATAAAAACACATGTTTTTCGAAACATATAAATCTTTACAAACTGAGTGCAGATGAAGTGTACTCACCTGCGAAGACAAAGAAATGTTGACAATCACTACCAAGCACAAAGGAGCAGGCAAATACATCAACAGAAAGGTAAACAGCAGTACTGTCCTCTGAAGTTACTGAAGCACTATTGTTTACCCGTCGCAAGTTAATTTGTGGCAAACAGCAGCACATCTTGCATTATAGAAGTGTACATTAATTAACCAATTGGTTACACGGCTCATAAAATTGTACACGAGTAACAAACAGTGGAAATCTGCAAACCACTATCAGAATGCACAAGTCTGTCATCACAGCCTTGAGGCTCTGCAGAGATCCTGCATGAATGAACAGCAAGCAAATCAAACACAAGCCAAACCATTTGCAGGGTTACTCCGTGCTGGTTACAGGGGGGTTTCTGTAGTCTGCAAGGGCAATCAATATTCAAGACAATGGTGCATTAGACAATTAAGTTATGTGTATCTTATAGCCAAGGGTCTTTTCGGTGGGGAGGATACACCACACAGCTTTTTCTTTGCATGCTCAGCCACGTTAATGTTAATTGATTAATATAAAGGCAGAGCAAAACCAAACAAAAAGAAAAATAATCAAACACATCAAACCAACAACTGTTTTGGTAGGTCGGGGGAGGAGAGGAGGGAAAATGGTGGAATGAGGGAGCGCACCTACCCAAACAGAATTATCCAACAAGATTTCCTGCACAGAAGCACAAATGACAGGCCAGTCACAGCAACACACTGGTGATATAACATTTGTTCAATAAATCGAAATTTATGGAACCATAAGTAACATCTCGATCAGTAACTCAATCTGACAAACAGAATCAGGGTTCCACACTCGTTTCAACAGTGGTACTCTGTACAGTGCTCACCACTAATAAAATTACCTTTACACAATGCAGTCACGTTAATAAAAGACACTATTTAAAACTACATTAAAGCAGCATATCTAAGCTGCCATAAGGCCTCAGTTATAAGAAAGGGTACAATTGCAACATATTATGGATGTCATGCTCTTAAAAAATGAAAGTTGAAGATATGAAAGTTCAAAGCTGATAAAAAAACGCTCCTCTATACTTACACACAGGCTGGGGACAAGGGTCGAAAGGTTCACATGACGTGGTGCAAACATGTGTAACTGCTGCAGGCAGGAGATAGCCTGTGCCTGCACAAGACAGTCAGGATTATCCTGCATTACTGCACATCCAACCAGAAAGGAAGTTCTTAACGAGGAGACAGGCAGGCTGTTGCCTAGGATTTAATAATAATAATAATAGTAATCCTTGCATTTGATATAGCGGCTCTCACGTCAGAACATCTCAAAGCACGTCACAGGATTTACTGTCAAGTATAGTGACTGTATTTTGTAGGCAAATGCAGCAGCCAATCTGAACATAACAATATCCCAACAACAGATATGAATTGAATGACCAAACTTATTTGGCCAGGACAGTGGGAGATACTCCCTTTTCTTTTCGAGTGGTGCCGTGGAATGTTTGACGTTCACCATAGCAGACAGTGGAAAGATTTTTGAGCATGGTTTTCAAACTTGTAATGAAGACCGGTTTAATTTTTTTAAAAAATTGAGTTTGATACCTTGCAATTCTGGCCCCAATGTTGTAATGAGTGCATTTAAGCAGCGACCCAAACTGTGATGAACTTCAGCATGGGCTGGAGGCACAGTCAACAGCAGTAACAAGACAAGAGAAAGGCTCGATTCCACGTGGACATTATACACTGGACCACTGGAATCTATTAACAGTGACAGGGAATGCAGTGCCCAAGTCTAGAAGAGAGGACAGTAAGAATACAGGTAACAATAACTCTGAAGGACACTTCTTTACAGTATAGAGTACAATTCAGCTGCATTGACTGTAGAAAATTATTTCATCAAATCCATGGTATGATTTAGAAGCCAGCAACCATCACACAGAAAATACAAATCTTGTAGCAGGCAAACGTGTAAGGGTTTGGGATTTGAAAAGATTAGATTAAGAAATGCATGTCAGGTATAGTGACTGTAGTTTGATAAATATGCAGCAAGTTCTTTCTGACATTACCATTTGGGGAATACTGCTTTGCCTGATGTTTCAGCATGATTACATTAAACAGTTTATCTGCACAGTTTCTCTTGTCAGGAGTATAATGATCTTCAGACGGTTGCTAGGAGATGAGCTTTTCCTCTTCTCTGTGAGGAAGCACCTGGTCTTCCCCCAGTAATGTGGCAGGACTGTAATTACTGACTGATTACTGATGGACTGTCAGATCAGATTCCAACACTTGTCACTCAAATCTGCATTTCTCAATATGAAGTCCTTGCCTCCATTGTTTTACAAAAAGGTTCAGCCCAATGCAAAAGGAAATACATTTCCAAATGGGAAGACAGAGCTTAAGCCCAGGGCTGTGAACTCAAAATCGTTGAGCAATCATGCAGCAATTGCTAAAAAATCTTTTGCTTACATAGTTATAATGGGGAATTCAACTCTGAAGATGCAACAAATATGGGTTTGTATTGACTTGTGCTATGGAAGACTGGCTCAATTGTCGTCTAATGGCCCTGACTATTGATGGGAGTATTCTATATGAATTCTGGCAGTGGAGTGAGATTTATTTTTACCTTGAACTTTTGAAATTGAAAATCATAGTGAAATGTTAGAAAAGGACCAAAAGATAAATCACATATCTTATACCTGTCTATCACGTTTATCAGTGTATTGTATATCTCAAAGTTACATTAACTGATGCCATCAAATGCCAAATATGTCAAGTGTTGAAGATCAATTTTCAAACAAAACATAACTCTTTTGTCTTTTAGAGAAAGGAATAGAAATGATTATGTAGTTAGAGGTCATTCAAGTCAAAATCCTTCAACTCTAATCCCTTGCTCTTTCCCTGTACCTTTTTATATTCTCTTTCTTCAAATGTTTATCCAACTCTTAAATGCTAAAATTGTTACATATTCATTTATTTTGTTTTGACAAAATAAACTCTCTTGTTTAGATATCAAGTTGTTGATTACCTGAACCTCTGGTGAGGTGCTGTCCTGAGATAGAGTGTACAGAATACTGACACAGGCACTCAGATGATGGCTTGAACTTATTCCTCCCAGGTACCTGTAGAGGGAACCCAGGGCCATTGAGTGGCCTGTGCGTGAAACCACATCCCTCGCAGACTTTAACCTGGAGCAATCAACAACCAAACAGTCAGAAATAAAATAAAATTTATCTTTATAATTGTCAAACTGTAGAAAAACTAATTTGGAGATGGTTTGTTGCTTAGATTTGGTACTTTGTCAAACGTACATAGTTCAGTGAGCGGTTAAAATAGCAGGCTCTTCATGCAGAATCAGTCAGCTGTTACAATACAATTGATGAAGAAACTGCTGTCTGTGACATGCAGCCAAAAGGCCCTGACTGCACATTCGCTTACAGTCTCAGGCAGAGGCAGAGCCAAACAATTCAATTCTCAATGACTGTCCAACAATAATAATAATAATAATAATAATAATAATAATAATAATCCTTGCATTTGATATAGCGCTTTTCACGTCGGGTGGACGTCCCAAAGCGCTTCACAGAATAGACTGTAAAGTGAATTGACTGTATATTTGTGGGCGAACGCGGCAGCCAATTGCGCACAGCAATGTCCCACAAACAGTCAGGGATTGAAAATGACCAATTTATTATTGTTTTGTTTTGGAGGGATTATCAACAATAACCTTGTAGTGGGTCTGCAACCAAGTCAGCAACAGACACTGAACAATTCATTTTCCTAACAGCTTAGAGATGCAGAATCAGTTGATCAGAAGAAAATCCCAGAATTTTTACTGCTCAGTGATAGAACGTTTCAACCAATGATGAAGATGTGAAGAAATGACATTTCCTCACTGTTGAGTTGCGATTTGAGTAAAAATTCAGGATATTATCAGACTAAATGCCAAAATAACTGATTTTGCACTTGTGGTGTTATTAGCAACATCAATATACCTGAAATTCCGAGTTGACAGGTTAAACACAGAAGGGAAGGGAACAAAATGTAAATTTTAAAACATGGATTTGTGATTACACTGGACTAATTCTTTTTCTTGAAAACCCTTCAGATATTTGTGTGAGAGTGGAGAGAAGGAAATAACAAAAACAGGGAGTAAAGGAAGTAAAGCAAGGAGATCTCCAAGGTGGAGATAAAGGTATGGGTGTGGAAAAGAATAGGGACTTAACCTGAGTCCTCCTTGCTCTGTGCGACAGTAGCTTTGTGACATTCACCTTCTCAGAGAATAGGGTTTCCCTATGAGTAGCAAAGTTAATACAATGTATACTGTAGTTCACTCACTTCTCAAAGCTAGCCTGTGCCAGCTTGGCAGTGAAGGTACCATCTGCTACAACCTGTGCCAGTCTGGCTAGTGTCTCTGCCGCAGCACATCTCAACAAAAGGTTGGTACTTTCCAAGGCACCCAGGACGAGAGTCAGAGCAGGTCTTCTTACCTCTTCTGGACCTAAACTGCATTTGTTACAAGCCAATCTCTGGGGGAAAAACACAAAATATTACACCACTCCTTCAGGTTTCTTGCAATGCTCCTCAGCAATTAAATTCCCCAGATCAATGTACAGATGTCAGAGGAATAAAATGAGTCCTTTATCTTAAAGCTGCCAAGCATCAAATGTGTCTAATGCTGAACTACGTGTACCTACACACATCTTCCCAATCAGTGTGCATCTATTTGTGGTATTGGGTGCATTAAATTATGAACTTAGGTTTGGAATTGCCATCCTTCCTCTACGATGGGTACAACTAAAATGTAGTGCAGCACAAAGCTGTATTAAAACACAAACACTCATTATGTGGTGAATTTGGGGCAATTTGGGGCTCATGTACCCATGAGCAGCTGCTGAGATTCACAAACCCATTCCAGCAGTACGGATTGTATTCGAGGAGTAAAAAGAACAAGGCACAAACCTAGTTTCTCCATTTCCTGCCATTTCATGCAATTAAATTAGCATCCTTTACAGCTGGTATTTTACTGGCTTATTTACCTTTAATCCACAACAGAAAGCAGCAAAAACATTTAGTTGCACAGTTTGCTGCCTGGATCCTTTAGCTTGCTTTATGGACTCTGTAAACTGATCCAGTATCTGTGCCCTTGAGAAAAAAACAGGAAGCAGTAACTTTTATTTAAACTGTATAACAGAATTTCAGTATTTTTTAAAATTTACATTGAACAGAAAGCATTTAACTCAAATTCAAACAATCCAAGTATTCGTGTCCAGTTGACAATGATGAATGCAATGTTCTTAAAGTGTTTTCCTGACTTTTCCGAAGAGAGATACGATTTTATAATTGAGAGTTTTGGGAACCACTGCATATAAAAATGTATGTTATGTTGAAAGCTACCAAGAAGAGACAAAAAACTACACACGCAACCAAATAAACTGAAGATGCCATCAATGACCTGCTTCACTTCTTTTGAAAAACTAAGGGATTTTAGAAGATAACATACTTCATTACAAATATCCATTGAAGATACCTGGGGAATAGATATATTAAAAGGTGTGGCAAAGGGCAGGACATCAAGAGTAAAAAAATCAGTCATGATTTAATAAACTAGTAGAACAAGTTTGGTGAGCTGAATTGGAATTGTGTTCAAAACCTCCAGGTCTGTCACGATGTAAGAGGAACTACCAAGGAAGGGGGAATCATTTAAGATCTTAAACAAGTTTTTTTTATTTTTAATTTGGCAATACTTATAATATATTGCTATTAAAATATATGAACATGAAAATGAGGAAGCAGCTGCAAAAAGATAAAATGCTAGAGATCCTTACCTGTGATTAACATCAATACAAGGGAATATCACTCCAAACAAGTCGACTGCTGCTCTGACCATAGACAATACTGGAGGAAGAGGAACTGGAATAAGTTCTCCGTCCACTAGTCTCTCGAAGATAGAAAAGGGATCATGTTCCAGGCTTCCTCCTCCCAAGATACCACCAAACTTTAACTGATAGGGGAAACAAAGCCAATTTTTATACAGAAATCCTTTTCAGATATAACCAAAACAGTGTAGCATTTTGTGACAGTTTCAAGTAATGTGGATATTCTATAAGTATTCAAATATAACTGGGTGGCTCAGTCCTTGATCCCATAGAAATAAGCGTTCAAAATATATTCATAGACTAACAATGGTGGAGATGAATTGGAAACTGACATGGGATCTCTAATTGGTTTTAGTACAGTATATACAGAGTGCCATTCTTCATGATCAATAAAGTATCCCACATAAAATTAATTCCTAGATATTTGCTACCATTAATATATTAATTTGTCCAGTGTCTTCCCATCTTCTCCAAACCATTACAATAAAGAAGCAAAGACCAAATCAAAGAGGACACCCACCTTCAGTTCTTGTGCAAGAATAAGCAAGTTACCAGGATAATTTTTCCAGGACTATTAACGCAAGTTTTCAAGAGGCAATATTTTAAAGTCAAGGAATCTGTGAACTATACCTGCTCCTCAATAAATCGATGGTCTGTTTCCTGTAACCAGGCTCCAAGCAGAAGAGAATCATCCTGGTGACAGAGGGATGGAAGCAAGAAGGCAGCAGCAAACATTTGATTGTCAGCGAGGGTCAATTCAGCAATCAGCTGCTTCAGAATAGATTTAAAACTCCCTGTAGGTTGAAAAAAACTTTTTCAAAATTCACCTTGCTTCTTTAGAGATCTTGTCATTTTTGCATGTGAATTACATCTTGACAATTATACTTTAAAACATTAATACAACCATTTAATTATTACATTAACTGCATCTTAATCATAAAAATAATAATTATTCCATTTGATATAGTGTCTCATGTCAGGAAGAGTCTCAAAGCACTTCACAGGATTTATTGTAAATTTATACCAGTATACATTAGATAACTGATTAAAAGTCCAAACCCACCTTCATACGTTTTGGGTGGCAGTAAAGACAGAACCTCGTAGAGTCGCTGCCTGAACACCATTGAAAAGTTCTTCAGAGGGGCTCCATAGGCTTTGTTAAGCGATGGCAATCTGGGAAAAAAAAAAGTGCCACAGCACGACAATTATAGGCTGCGAAAAGTTTTACGATATAACAATTCCATGCTCATTTTTGTATCTTATTTTAAAAGGCAAACCTCATGGGCAAGAACTGTGGCAACGAGATGCAGTGCAGCACCGGTATACTTCAGAAACCACTAGTTTCTGACATAGTGTAGCACCCTCATGTGGCTAAGAAGTGGTACTGCATGAACCACCCAACCAGATCTTTTGGGGATTCCAATAACATTTTAATTTTATAAATTGACTGAATTGTTTTTCTTTATTTCTATGAATCTATGGATGTATTTTGTTAAAATTTATACCTTTCCAATCCACCTGCAAAGAGGTGTTTTTCATACCGCGAGAAATTAGTAGGATGTTACATTTCTAATTTTATCGATACCAAGAAATACAGTTCTTGCCCAATACACTTTGTCAAAGATAAATAAGAGAAGTCATTGGTATAAGAACTCCTTGGCGAAACGTTAAATAAAAATTAATTCACTCTTTAATTCATCATTTGTTTTAAAAGTAATACACATTCAAAACACTTTGAAGTTCATTAGATTTTCATAAGTGAGGAGAGACGAATAACCACGCAGAAATGTCTTAGAAAGATTGCTTAAGTTGCCCAACTTACTGTGTTGATAATATCACAGCAGAGGTGAGCGGAGGAAGAAGCCTCTCAATAACATCATCTGTCAGCAGATCTCCACAGTGCAACACAAAGCTCTTCATTGCTGAAAGATGAAAATTAACGTAATCATTTTAGAAGATTAAAACTTGAAACATCTTTATAAAAAGTTAAAGGAGTTACTTCCAATCCGAGTTCCGGGAACTCTATACACACTACAGTGAACAATGCAAATAACTTGAGTGATTTAACACTTTGCACTGAATAAGTCACACAAATGGAAAATTTACTGAGCAAGAAACAGCCATTTTAGCCTCAACTGGGCCACATTTCCTTCACAACACTGGTTCTACTTACTGACATCTTTCATCTCAACCCCAGAAAGAAGAATTACCCTCTGAGCCCTCACAGTAATTTAGATCAGCTATTTCTGCATTGATTTTTTAAAAAAACAGAAAATATAAATCTTTAATAATATTAAAATGTTATAGAACATTTGTTGGCTCATTTTTTTCTGTCACTTTTATTTCCCCCACTCCCTCACCTAAAATGAATTAAGTATACTTTGATATGATGTAAACTACAACATTGGAGTCAGTTCTGAATGCCTTACCACACAGAGCTCCTGCTCGTCCTTCTAGTGTCACCTGCCACGTGAAACAATCGCCACGATTCCTCTCCGTTTCCAAGTCCTTGGGGCACTGCGGGAATACACTTTTCCAAAGCAACAGTATTCTAGGAAGATGGTGCTGAATGACTGCTGGACCTAGAGTTCCCGAAACAAGTAAGTGTTCATTTCAACTTACAAACACATGGAAAGCAGCTCAGTGAGTTCCAACAAATCAGAACAAAAAAAACATTTAGAACAAGTAAAGGTGAAACTGTTACTGCCAATTCTTGCAAAATTTCCACAATTCCAAAATGTCTGAATCCACATCCCATATAGGAATTAGGGTTAAATTAGCATCTGAAGTGTTTCTGAAACATTTATCTTACATGAAAGGCCATGTAAGTTCAAGTTATTGTTAAGATCTTCCCTCTCTTCCTCGGAGAGCATCCCATTGATACCAAGCCATTTCCCCAGTTACAAACATTATTTTTTGTTTAAAAGAAGATTTTGCTTACTGACGAGCAATCTTACCGAGAGTCATGAGGGCAGATATTAGAAGCCAACCAGCCTGTGTACGCTGTACTGACACACGACTACTCTGGGTTGCTGTGCGCAAGAGATCTTCTGCCTGGGTCATAATCATCTGGGATAGATAGATATAGAAAGGAGTCTTAAACTGATAGACAAATACACACCTAACATTCTCATCCAGGAATAAAGATATTAAAACAATGTAGAATAATAGTCGGATAATTGTGGTTTTAGAATTATTAAATATTTCGTTTTAAAAAGCACAAATGGGTCTGTTTTTAATCTTAAAGTGAATCAGCATCTGCATCCATAACTCCAATCCATAAATCCTAAATCCCAGATATTCAACAGGTTAACCTTAATCTCGAGCGTAACTCTGCTTGCAAGTGCTGAAGAAATCATCACCTTTCCCTTTCCGTGAGGAATTCCCAGTGGACAGTCCCGTACTGCTCCCAACAGGGCTGCAATGGCAAAACTGTAGCCAGTTACTGCTTCAGGGGAGGAGCGGAGAGCGCTCAGACGTTCAGTGCAACTATCCAGAAGAGGAGAGACCTGGGACGGCAAGGCTACAGCAACACAGTGTAGAGACCACGCTGCAGCCAGTCTGGCTGAAACACTGGGGTGAAAGAGCACCGAAATGATAATGTCCAGGGCACCTGGCAAGAGAAAGAATGAAATTACGTTGAATACATTGACAATAAGACACTGAGTTTCCATTTGTACATCGCATGTTCCTCTTAAACTCATCTTGAAAGCAAAATATTCAGCTTCCCTCTAGCTGCAAACTTATTTCAAATTAGTACTCCTAACCAAAAAAACTTACGAATTGTTTATTCAATTTCAATATTATTAATTTTCCCAAAAATGTGCTTGGCATCCTTCATAAAGCACCATAGTACACAGTGAAGAGAAGACACAGGGTTTACAGTAGGATTTGCAAGAACTGTGGGAATGTAGCAGCTATTCAGAATTCCAAACCATATGGGATTCTACATCAAGATGTGTTTCGAGACACGAAAATGCAGCTTGAGGGACTCGAATTTCAATATTTTCCTCCCCAAGATTCTGTCCTCCACTTGCTACCTCCTTTGGATACCATGGCAGAGATCAGAGTCTCACCACAAGGGAATAGTAGGTATGAGATGCTTCCTGTGCTTCCTGCATCATACAGTTGATGCATTCATTTTAATATTCCCCAATGTAAGAATGAATTTCCTAAACAACACTCGTGATCTGAAAACACTGGACAGCTCCAACATCAGCTGAGAAGGTTTTGAGCATCAGATTTGCTGCCACACAAGACTGTATCCCCCAAACTGTATTCAAGTATTGTCATATTACCTATGCTGGAATCTTGAAGTAAGGGAGCTGCAGTAGAACCAAGGCTTTGTATAAGACTGCCCAACTCTTGCAGAGCACAGACAAGCACGTGTTGGCTGGCAGACACGTCCATTGTGCCACCCTTTGTCTCCATGTTGCTGTCACTCATCGCAGCATCTAGCAATAAAGGATTTAAACTTCAAGTCAAATTATGGCACTAATAGCTATCTAGGAAATTAAATTGCATTCAAAACGTAAATACGACAATGCAGCAGTTTCTTTGGAAAGAGGGGATGAGTCAGTCAGCTCACAGATTTTATATGAACACATATCTAAAACCTGGCATTGATTCACATTTGTTACCGATAGCCCCACTGCCAGAATTTGACCCTTTAGCCTAAAATCATCACGTTGTGGACTTGGATCACAGCCTAGCATTGACAGTTGTCATAGGCCCTTGCTGATCAAGCAAAACAAACAGCGGGGATATTAATTCGAGGCAAAAAATTCTACACTACATATAATCGTAACCTGGATTTTTGAGATATTTAAGCAGATAGGAAAGGTACATCATTTTATCACGAAACTGTTTGATGTGACAATTAGAGCTTTTTTTCTGGACAATTTGCTTCTCCTTCTTGCTTGTCACCGACTCTTGCCTGGGTGAAGGTCCATTGTGAGTGTCGGGAGGATATTCAAACATGGTGAGTGGGATGTGGGGGGGGGAAAAGCAGCCAAGTCCACATGCAAACTTTGAAGGGGGGAGGTAAGAGACTGTAGCAGTATCATTGGCTGAGATTTCCTCTCCCTAGCCCAGAACATAATGCAAAATGTAGCGCCTCAACTGCTGCGTCAGTTAAGGTCAACTAAAGCAGACCGCAAACTGAATTTATAACAAGGACTAAGTGACTGATTAGTACACTTTTGCTCATTAGAACAACTCAATGGGAGTTTTATCAAATGAAATCTGTTTTGTCACATAAATCTCACCACATTGGGAGATAGTTAATGGGTACATATTCTTATATATTCAATAGAAGAGAGGTACTGTATTAGAGACAGTCAGAATACAAAGCTGGAATTGTAATTCCTAAGTGGTCATTGTCCTCAGCACAATCATAATTAGAATTATACACACATAAGCATACATACTGATCTTTAACATAGGATATGTGCTGTTCTACATGATATTGACTCCAAAATTGTTCTGAGTCACATACCTACAGCTTTCTTCTGTTTCCCCACTGCCTGACAGATCTCTTTCGCTGCTGCAATCTGAGCCTTTTCCCCTAGCAGGCTTCCCACTGTGGCTCGGAGGATGAAAGAAATACAACGGCGACAGCAAACAGCATCAATTTGAGTCTGGGTGGCTTTGGGATGAGATACTACCTCCAAAATATGTGCAAGTAAGGTGGAAAAATTCAGCTCCAGCCAATGTCCACCCAGTGTAGAAACAAAAGCAACATAGGCCTGCAGCAGAGATAAACCATAAGGAAACTTAATTCATAACCCATAGGAAATCTCCAGCTATTTTACCATAGGATGTTACTTTTCTAAAAACAGATTAAACGATTTTCCAGCAACTTATGATTATGATGTGTGGCCTTAAGAGACTAATGGATGCACTTACACCAGACTACACACAGGAGAAATACTGAGTCAATTCAATGAATCAACTGTTTTGAGAGCTCCATAAGATTGAAAGCTTATAACCCTAAACTACCCTGAGTCCTAATTCTTCTCTGCTTGTGCTGAGCCAATCTGATTTTGCGGCTGAATGCAGCAATTCAGCCACTTACCATCTAACACAGAGGAAAATCAGACTTGTCCTGCTCCCATGGAACAGCACGTCAACATTCGATTTATAAGGGAAGACCTGATAAGGCACTATAACAAGTTATTATTACTTATAGTTAACAATACTTTGATACACGCACTCTTCTAAACAAATGTACTGAAACCACTTTTTAGGGAAAAAAGTTCTCTAATCTGTTAATTTCTCTGGAGTTTCTGTTTGTCATTACTACAGCTCAGCACAGGAATTGTGCACTTTGCACCGTCCTACCCATTAGGCTTTGACTTTCAGGGTTGGGCTTTTGGGCCTAACACCTCCACAGTCTCATTTGATTCCTTGAAGCAAAGGTATTAAGTTAGATGAATGTAAATTAGTCACATGATAATGATTATGCAGAGAAATCAAGCAGTAAATCTATCAATCAAACAGCAGTCACAGAAACTATCCAACTACAACTGTGCTGGAGATAATATACTGCAAGTAGCTTTAGTTATGAAAATGTTTCACATTGAAATGTAGTTAAAATATCACTGAAATTAGAGATTTCTGAGTTAAAATATCACTAAAAATAATGTTCAAAAGATAAGCAGATGTTATTGCTAACCTGAGTGACTCCTACTCTCACATCTCTGCTCACTGAGCTGCCTCCTTTCAGCATCTCTCCACTGACACGGAGGAAACCACTGCCTCCTCGCAAGAAGCCAGAAGCAAGCAGGTCCATCGCTTCCTCCAGGGAGGTTTTACGAACAACGTGCCTCGATCCTGAGGGAAATGAAAATGAACAATTCGATTGAGTCAGTCGTAGTTTGCACAAAAGCATGCCTAACACACATCTGTAGTACACTATTGAAGCCTGGTTTTAATTTAATACATGGCTGCCTATGTCGCCTCCAATTCAGAGAGATGCATTTTCTCTGCCTTCTACAAAATGAATGCTGCAAGACGACAGAACTGGAATGAAACAATCAGTGAGAAACAAAGAAGATTTCAATTTCACAGGATACTTAACATAAACATGCAGCTATCGATAAATTATCACCCAACTATTCATTTTGTGTTGAAACCTTACTTCAGACGCTGACTTCAGCTGTTTTGATGGGTTAAATTCCTTAAGGAATGTGTTCAGGTTGAGCTCTTACCTGTTCCTTGCTTGGGCACCACAGCTGTAGCTAGAATAACTCCCAGCAGTTTTGAAACTGCTACACGTACATCATAATTAGAGCCTTCAAAAGCTTTAAAGCATAGTGTAGAGACATTCTCTAGTTCTGTTGTCCACATAAACACAGCTTCATTTTGAAGTTCCAAAAGGCACTGAAAAGCATAAATATTAATAAACACAAAATGGCCTGAGGCAACTGTGTACTAATCCCACTGACAGACTACTCCAATAAACCATTAAATGTCATATTTAAATGTATCTCGCACAATCTCTTTAACATATCACAACAACTACTTGTTTTTATATAATCGCTTTCACATAAAAGAACATATCAAAGTGCTTGATATAGTGGTACAGTGGTATAAGATATATAGCAGTAAATTATCCATTAGAAATTTGTCTTTTGCCCTTGTGCAGGTTGAAGCATAAAGGTAGAAATAATATAAAAGCAGAAATTAAGAAGAGTATCGCAGCACATCTATAAAAGCTGGAGAAATAGATACCTTTGCTGCAGCACAGCGAACAGCCATTGATCGATCGATCAGGCACGAGCGGGCAGCCTTGTAGATATCTCTGTGACATGGTGCAGCTGCAACTCCCAGACCACAAACTACCTGCTGCAAACTCAGCATAATCTCATAGCGCCCCTGGGACTAATGACAAATCATACCAGAGATGCAGGTTAAACGTTTAATTTATATCAGCCTTTACACTCTTATAGCGTTGTGGCAATTTTCAACAGCTACAACAAGCTTGCCAACTTGTATTCAGGCTTAGTATATACTCCAGCAACATTGAGAGCAACAATCAATTTTCGAAGCTTGTGAGTACCAGTGTAAAAAAGTGTTGTGCACATTTCGAAACAATTTATGTTATTTTTACTGGCTCAAGCTGTTTTAGAGATTCTCCTGTGTGTGTCAGAGATTCTAGCTAAAGACTATTTCTTACCTCAGCACTTTTCATAGCTTTCAGCAAGTTCCCCACCGTATCTGTAAACGTATTCCCCAACATTCTGCCCAGTTGCTCATACAAGGCTCCCAAACACGCAACTGCAGCCCTGTAGAGCAAGAGCAACGCATTAAAATAACAGAACAAATTTAAACTATATGTTCGATCAAAACTAAACCAATTGGCACTTATCTTCCATTCAATTGATGTTGTAAGCAGCAATCTTTATCTCTGCCCATCATTCCTATTATCGAAAGGTCAATATGGAGCACCTGGTTAGCATAGTGGGTTAGAATTTCACCTCTAGGATTTGGGATCATCACCAATCCAGACTAAAGGAATTAAAATTCTGTTTGCTGCAAAGAAAATGCTGTTACCACGCTTGAGAGGATGGAGCTTCTCAGTTTGGAGCTGTGACGTTGTTGGTATAGAACAGTGGGAACACAACTCCTCATGTAACCAAACTTCACTCCACCTAGAAATGCTTCATGATGGCACTTTGCACCATTTCCCACTGCTAACATCCCTCACCTTCACATGCATGACATTTGTGGAGAGACAAAGTCTGCTCCATTTGCATTATATTAGCATAATATATTCTGAATATAGAACGATTAATGAAGGTTGATTGAGAAATGGCAGTAAGTGTACTGACACTTCTCCAAATTGCATTTAGGATTATTTCACAATCAAGTTCCTCTTTGTGTAAAGCAATGAAGATTCATTTTAGCTTCATTTGTGCTCATTGTGCGATTTATCCACTCCAACCTTCACTGATGCCACTGTGTAATCTTTGCTAATGAAAGCGCAATTTTCATCAATATGAATTTTAATTTTATTAGGATTAATTTATTTGATATATTTGTACTAATTAGTGTTAGTTTAAATGCAACATTCTTGGCATTTGTACAGGAATCTCAAATACTCCCACTCACAGTTTAGTGGGTAGATGACTTGGTGAATCATCCTTGCTCTTGATGATTTCATTGCACTTGTCGACTGTTTGATACACAGTGAATGTATCTCCAACACAGTAGAGCAGGGCCAGGTTCTTAGCGATCAGTCTACGGATGGGTGGCCCCGGTGAGCTGTCTAACAAGGCTGTCAGTTGTTCTACCAGCTTCCTTTGCTTCTCTTTAATATCAGCCTGTCAAGACACATTAAGCATTTGCACAATAAACCAACAGCTCTTCATATCGACTGGAAGATTGCCTTTTAAAAAATGACTTTCTCCAAACACCCCATTTTCCTTGGTCACTTCCTCACTCCTCCCGGGCTCCGCCACTGTCAAAAGCTCTGGCCCGCCATCCTGCGTGAGGGGCGCTATATAAATGCAAGTTGTTCTTGTTGTTCTATATTTGTCGCCTTTTCTATTCACTGTGTACCCCCAAGACATAATATATGGCTGCAATACAATATAAGGTTATTTACTGACAGGTCTACAATGGCTACAATTCTTTGGATGATTACAAATTCAGTTGCAATTTGTTGACAGTATATTTAAAAAAGAGACCTGCAAGCATCATAGCGTGTCTTTCCACTCCACATTCTTTCCCAACCAAGACGAGCTGAATCTTTCAACCCAGGACCTTCTGACAAACTATGACAATGATGCCAACAAATATCAATCACGCTTAACTGAACATAGCACTTCAAGAGCAGCACAATGAAAATTCAGTGTTTTAGAGGACACTGGTTTTATATTCACAACAAATACAACTGTACATTCTCACAGCTCTTCCTTTATCTAAATTTAAGGGATTAACTACCTTTTGATAATAGTGGAACTGTCAGTATAGTTGTTTATGCACAACATGTTATCAAACACTTTACCCAGATCTATGCAACAAACCAGAGTGTTATACAGCATTGCAGGTATAAATGGAATGCATTGTGCAATCGTTGATAAGAGTTTCATCTTAGATAAGTTAATGCTCATTTTATGCTGCTGAAAGATGAACAGAAGAAATTTACCTTGTGGGCTCCTCTGTACGGAGGGCAACTCACTATTTAGGCCATGTTTTCACAGCCTGCTTATTTTTCTACATTCAAACTGATGGTATCCCAAATCTCACAATAAATAAGGACAAAATAGGCCGATCTATTATCTACCCATAATAGCGAGTTTCCACTCTATTGCCAGAAGCAAAGTCATATCAAAAGCAGGCAGCCCAATTTATACTTACAGCAGTAGCGCACTATTATTAATACAACATCTGAATACTACTGTAGTATACTTGAGGGGGCTCATGCCATTGGAGGAATGAATTGCTGTGAAATGTGCTGTGAAATATATCAATTGGGCTGAGAGTACTTTGAGGAGGTAGTTTCAGCAGCAATTTGATTCATCAATATAAGCGCAATGGTCCCTTGAAAGCTCTTGGAATTTAGGACCATTTTTTCATGGCTGTTAGTAGAATATGGCTGTGTGCAGGTTAGATGCCATATTTGCCTGCAGACTACACAGAAACTACACTTTACAGTATATCCTGTGAAATGCTTTGTGATGCCCGCCATATATGAAAGCCATCAAATCAAACACAAAGATTATTATAATATTAAATGTTAAAGATTCATCTGTGTGATCGGGCCTTTAAAAATATTTTAAAAATTGCATGTATCGATATCTGAAATTACTGTTAGTTCTAAAAATAGCCCGATTAATGCGTACAGGAGAAGGAAGTATAAAATCAGTCTTCCGGCTCCACATCAATTTACTGCTGGATGCAAAATTCCTTCATTCCCACAGTATGAATTAACATTAGATGCTGCTCAATTCCCCACATCGTGATTTCATGACCACAATTTTATCTAAATGGGAGTGAAAGTAACTTGGGACTGAAGAGGAGGAAAATAAATAAATGCTAGTCACACATTGCTTTTACTGGAACAATTTTAGCACCATTCAGGTCCAATGACATTACACAAATACTTCTTGTCTGCCTCTAAATTTTGAGAAAACTGTATGTAAATGTTTGCATCATATTTACCTTATTTGCAGCCACTAAGAGTTTCTGCAAAAATCTAAGCCATTCAAAAACAAACTCTGGTTTCTTGCAGTCACTGAGTTGACTGTAAAGTTCTTCATTTAACAAAAAGCCATGAGCTTGCTCCATGTTTCAACTGCAGCCTTGTTCCAAAACTCGTGGAAACTTCACAAACCACAGCAAAGGGAAACAGAAAATGTCTACATCTCTTCAGCTCCTAAAAAAACAAACAGGAAAATGATTTACTGACAGCTCAAAATAGGAACTAAGAACTATGACTGGATCAATATTAAAATACTTTACCGCGGAAAGAAATCGGATGAAATTCTTTATTTCGAGAGATTCTCCTAACGCTATTTAAAACATACAAATTGAAGAAAATGCCAACCTGAAATCATTTAAAATACAGAACACATCTCATACCTCACTCCCAGTAAAATCTAATTGTATCATTTCACCTTCATTATTAAAATCAAGTCTCACAACTTGCTGCTGTCTGGAATGTACACAAGAACTCACTGTATTTTGAGATTTATTTTCCAATTGAACTCAATATTCAGGAATCCCATCTTAAATAACTGAGCCAAAAACCATATGCTTATTAATCAGGAGGTGTGAATTATTAAAAAAGGTTAAGAACTCAAAGTCAAAGAATTTAATACTCCAAAAGGTTTGAAATGGCAAATTAACTGTAACATTTAAGAGGGAGCTTGATGAGTATTTGTTTTGCTGTGGTATCAAGTGATATGGTGAAAGAGCAAGGAAATGGTATTAAGTTACAGATCAGCCATGATGCAATAAAACAGTGAAGCAGACATGACAGGCTGAATGGCCGACTCTTGTTCCTATGTGCTTTCGAGTTTATGTCATCGGAAAACATTGGATAATAAAGCAAAAACACCAGGACTGCAGCAATGAGGATACTCTACTTAAGGCACAACAGAAGCTTCAACACAGAAACAGCATTAAAGGAATTCAGTGAAGGATTTTTATCTGCGCAATGCATCAAGGTATTTCATTACTTGCCTCGCAAGCGAGAGACCTGGGTTTGATTCCCGGTAGGGCAAAACCTTGGGCAAGTTTCTTTACTCCGCACGCCTGATAATAATCCCTCAAGAAAAAAAAATAAAAAATTGGTCGCTTCAATCCAAGACTGTTTGTGGGACACTGCTTTGCGCAATTGGCTGCCGCGTTTCGTCACAAATATACAGTCAATTCACTTTACAGTATATTGTGTGAAGCACTTTGAGACGTCGAGAAGACATGAAAAGCGCTATATCAAATTCAAGGATTATTATTTATTATCATTAAAAATCACTAAAGTTGCGCTGTATTTCACATATTTCATTCATCTTTTCAGCAAATATACGCCTTACTGTATTGTTAGCAACATCCAGCTTATTGAAGGAGCTAATTGGCTGCCGCGTTTCGCCCACAAAATGTATGATCACTAAAGTTACAGTATATTCTGTGAAGTGCTTTGAGATGTCTCGAAGACGTGATAAGGCCAATGCAAATAAAGACCAATATCAAATGCAAGGATTATTATTATATCAGCAAACCGATTTCAAAAGGCTGCCTGTCACTAGTTCTCTCCAGGTCAGACTTTTTCTTCTTCATCTTCCTATCCCATTAAAAAAAATCATTAAAAACAATTCCCGAATACTTTTAATATCTCGGGAATAATAAGAATTTTATGCACAGTCACCATCTTCTTCAATTAATCATGTAAGCCTTAAGGTAATGTTAAAATTCCCTTAAACAACTTCATTCTAAATGAGTCACAAATTGAACATTACAATGTTTCCTTTCTGCAAAAGACCACTAATGTCAATGGGTATTAAAAATATAATAAGTATGTCAATTAGTAAATGTCTAAAGGGAGGAAGCAGAAGCTTATTGTAAAGGGAACAAAGTCAAATGGGGATGCTCCAAGTATAAATACCCCCAGATTATCCTTAGTGCAAGATACTTACATTTTCAGGTATAGCAGTGTCTCGTGCTACAGGGAATTGTGAATTGCCTATATAGAATGTATACAATAAAATAAGAAATCAAGCACAGAAACACTTAATGATTCCCTTGCAAGCAGCAGTGCCAGAAAAACATGGAAGAATTATTGCAAGACCTCCTTCCTTCTCAATTTCAATGGCTGAAAGAGAATGCAATCTTTTAATAAGATTTCAGGCTCTGAGCATGGCCATTTTTCATGCGACATGTGCAGGCAGTGCACATCAGCAGACCATTAGATGGGGAGAAAAGGGGGGAGGATAAAATCACACCAAAATGACAGTTGCCTTTTAATAAAATTATCATGATAGCAAAATATAGATTTGACAGATTTGAGTACATTAGAAAACAATCTTCAGGAATCAACCTCCACATTACTAACTCAACATAATCATACACAGAGACTGAAGGCACTTTTAATTTCAAACTCACTGCTCCAGAATTCCACTTATTTTAAGATTGCATCCCTGTTATAGTCATTTCTCAGTTCCATGTGCGATTTCCCGAGAGATATTCAGATCTAGAAGATGTACTAACCAGGCATCCATTTTTCTTGTTAATAAAGAAGATTCAAAGAAAATTATCGTTTTGATAGAAAAACGGGTGCAGGAAATATTGAGTGGAAAAAGATTAAAAAAAAGAATTTTTTTTAATGCATTGCTAAGCAGACTTGTTGCTGTTTTTGAAGGCTGATATTGCATGTTGATTGGTTTGATGTCTGCAGTAATACGGGGCTGCTCTGAACCCACAAAACCTATCTGTATGCCAATCAAACTCCACAAAAAAATCATAAAATGGGCAAGGAATAAAAAGCAAGTCAACATTTTTGCAGATGTGTCCTAAATGATTCCTCAAATTCAGAATCTGTAATTTATTAAAACCAATAGCTAAATAAATAAACTAATAGTAATGTTTCCCTAATCCTAGGACATATACCAACTGCATTAAAGATCACCTCATCCAACATTAGTTCCATCCTTAGCAGTCTCTATGGAAATCTTTCTCTTCATTCAGTGTCATTTGTGATGGTTCCATTTTTGTCAACCGCACTGCCTAATGATTTAAACAAGATTAACACTTATCTCAGACTACAAATAAACTCACTAATCTATTTAGAAAGCTGCAGTCTCAACTACCCGAGTGCTTAGAAAAATATCCAAATGATAAACAAAATTGGACAATTTTCAACAAATATATGCAGCCCCTAAGTAAAAACTTCTAGATTTCAAGGTACATTCTCTGGATTATTCTTGTGACATGATGCTATATTCACAGCAGTGTAAGTAACAATGGTGTGGACAGAAAGATGTATCCTTCACTGGATAATGGTGCCTTGAAAAACCAATGACAATAAGTGCTAAATACAATATAGAAATAAATGAGAAAGTATTTTAAACTAAAATCAGTTGCAGCATCATTTGTTATACACCGTCAAGCCTGCTCTTCATTAAAATAAATCCAGGGGAACATTTACTCTAATTATGTAACAATTCAAATGCCAGTTTCTGAAGGCAATAATATTCTTTATAAATGCTCATCACACTGCAAATAATCAGCTATTCCTTGAGGCATGGAATTTCTTCCTCAATGTAGCAGTCAAGCACTCTTAAAATTTTCAAGTCAAAACATTCAGTTCTGTGCTCAAAGCTTCCTGTGCTAAACTAGTGATATCTGCTGGCAGGGACCAATGTTTATAACATAAATCTGTACAATTATAAGAAATAGGATAGGAGAGAGAAGTGAGTGTCTTTCCCACTCACTCAGTTTCAACAACAACAAAATTACATTTGTAAAGTTTCAGTCATAATGTCAGGCTTCAGATGAATGAATACGAGCGACATGGTCCACAAAACAGCTGCACTGTCTGTGATTTAGAAGGAACGGCTCTACTGGAGGTTTGAAAAGTAAATGTCTGGAGGTCACCGGACAACCCCAAAATACATACATATTACACCCACTGGTCTAAAATGGCACAGAACTGTTCCCCCAAAGCAGTTCATTCCATTGTCTTCATACATTGAATCTGAACTCTGGTTCTCTGCTGTAGTATGAAGGGAAGGTGGAAAGAACAGGTAAAACTAACTTAACTAACTGTATACTCCAATGCTACAATGGAGCATCAAAATACATTCCAAAGCTATTTAATTTATTTATTCATCCCTTACTTGATTGAATTCAGAAATTAATTTGATTTCCTTCTCCCAGTAGTCAGAAGATCATCAGTCAAAAGCTGGTTATCTGGCCGACATTCCCCTGAGCATTACGAGACTGATCTGCTCTGAAAGATGCCAGGGTGTGTGTGTTTGTGTGAGTAACTGTCAAGGGTTTTCATCCTTCTCCAGATGATAGGAAGAGACTGGCGCCACTTCCACTTTGGACTAAGGTTTGAGATTCATTTCTTCAACATTCAGAATATAAATTCCAACCAAAATTGTTTTGTTGTTAGATCAAAATGGCAGCATCATACACAAATCATACATATATCAAATGCAAGGATAATAAAAAAAAATTGTGGACCAGCAACCTGTGAAACAAATATAATTCTAGTGGCTAATCCTGGGTTCCAACAAATTACAAATTTAGGAGCCCAAATTTAAAACAAATATTGTTAATCAAATATCCTAGTGATACAGTGGCTAAAAAGTGGCCATATTGAAGCCACAAAATCATGTGTTTCTGCAATGAACTCAGTCACTGAGCTATGCTGTCCCTCCTTTGTTTATGTTCATTAAGAAAGCAAGAGCTGCAAAAAATACCTGGTCAAAAGTAAATACAGTCTGTAGAAAATGAAGCACGGTGCAACTCTAAATTTAGAGAGCATGGGAAATTTCTGAAAGCTTTTAACATTAAAAAGCAACAACCCTTTTGGTTCACTTCAGTCACAGGAGCTGAAGAAATGTGCTTGACCTATTCTTATGGACTAGGAAACATAACCACTTGGAGAAGGGAACATGCAGAGGTCAGATTTATAAAATACTATGCTGGGGACATACACATGTATTCTTCATAAGTCAAATTACAATCTGAATTCAAACTCGCCAAAAATAGGAGCATAACTATATCAGTGGCAGTGGCACACCTTTGACACAAAGCAGTAATTGTGCTATGAAGCTCGTGGGTGTGAGGGTGTCAGCATACCAGATATCCATTTCAAGCACACATGAACAGGTCCTATTTCACTAAAATAAATATTTTACAAGAACCTGTCCAAAAATCAAATGCATTCTTTCCAAACTGTTCTCCTCCTGATCATATATTCACATACGTATCTGCAAACCATATCCTGTTGTTGTAATAAGAAACTAGATGAGGAGGCATCAACTCTTGTTAGTGAATCTTTCAAGCTGCACTTTCCCCAAATGCTACTTGGCGAAAAGGTTCAACACGAGATCAAATGACTACATGGAAGAAACAAGAAGAAACCTTTCTGCACAGATCTGGGAATCTGATTGTTTGTGCTTACAGGCCACATCTTCTCTATGCCCAAATACGACGGTTCAAAAATAAAGCAGTTTACCATTATTCTTATCATTGCCACAGCTTGTATCTAAACACAAGGAGTTGCAATAATGTAGTGGTTCATTTCCTCCTCCACCCAAAAAATAAATCGACGGAATATCTGTCCACATTGGGGAGCTGTGAGGGAATCCCAAATTACATTAGGATTAGTGAACTCTCCAGCATTGTTGCTGCAGGATTTCCTTTTGAATTTTTTTCCTCTCTGGGAAAACCACCTGTTGCAGCACATTAAGAAACCTTATTTCACACAGGAAATTGCCCTTTAGAGCAGTGAAGTGCTAGTTTCACAAGATGAATAAAACACTGCAATCAGAATGGCACCTTTCCATTCTTAGAAAGCTGCCACTGGAGCCGAGGCTTTTTTTTGGTTCGACTCATGAGAAATTTATTCAACTCCTTCACCCCTTAGTGCGCTGATAAAGTGTAATTCAATTCATTGTCGATTAAAAGATTACTCTGTGTGTCTTGTGCACCAGATTTGGAAGTGCAGACAGGTCCTCGGCTTTCCAAGTCATAATAATAATAATCCTTGCATTTGATATAGCGCTTTTCACGTCGGGAGGACGTCCCAAAGCGCTTCACAGAACACACTGTAAAGTGAATTGACTGTATATTTGTGGGCGAACGCGGCAGCCAATTGCGCACAGCAATGTCCCACAGTCGTGGATTGAAAATTTATTATTGTTTGGGGTTTTTGGAGGGATTATTATGGTAAGGTGGTTCTGATCCCACTATGTTACGAGAGTGAAACCAAAAGGCTTCCTCGCTACACTTGATCTGCGAATCATTTAATCCAGTTAACACACTTTTGCATTGAAAAACCAAGACGGCTCCGAATCTGAATCAAGGCATCTTCTCCAGATTCCCACGTCCACGGCATCCGACGGATTACCATTTACCACAGTTCAAAAAGTTACTGAATATCAGAGGTAACAACAATCATCATCGTCACCATCACTGACAACGTCTCAAAGCCCTTCAAGGCTCCCCCACCCGTGTATTTTGCAAACGGATTTCCAGTACGTCAATATCATATGGAATATCGCGACCCCCCCCCCCCCACACACACACACCCACACACACACACACCCCCACCCCACACACCCCTCCCCCACACACCCACCCCCACACACCCACCCCCACACACCCACCCCACACACAACCCCCCTACACACACACACCCCCCACCCCACACACACACCCCCACCCCCACACACACACACCCACACACACACACACCCCCCACACACCCCACCCCCCCCCACCACCCCCCCCACACCCACACACACCCCCCCCACACACACACACACCCCCCACCCACACCCCCCACTGGACACTAACCTGTGAGCAAGTAAGTGCGTTTGATCAGTTAAACCCAACCCCGTTACAATCTGTAAAACCTTCTCGGAAGACGAATGAGGTGCCATTGCCGACCTTTCATACGTTGCGACGACGCGAAAACTGCCAACCAGGAGAGAGGCTAAACCCTGAGCAGCGGTCGGGGGTCGAAGGATCGGGACCCGAGAGCGCTAAACCCACCCGAGATCTCCCTCTCCCTCTCCCACGAGCTGATCGACCTCTGACGGTGTCGATTTCATTTTCCGCGTTTCTTTTTCTTACGGGTGAACGATGGAGGGAGGGGGGGGGGGTCTCGGTGGTTTGTATCGGCGGACGGGGATCCCACCGGAAATCTCTCTAATCGCGCAGCGCAATCTAATGTGTGTGAGTGTGGGGGTGTGGGGTGAGTGTGGGGGGGGGGAGTGTGGGGGGGAGTGTGAGTGTGGGGGGTGTGGGGGAGTGGGGGGGGGGGGGAGTGTGAGTGTGGGGGGGGAGTGTGTGGGGGGAGTGTGAGTGTGGGGGGGGAGTGTGTGGGGGGGGGGGAGTGTGGGGGGGGGGGGGGTGAGTGTGGGGGGTGGGGAGTACCCCTCACCAGCCCTGACCACCTCCCCAGCAGCCGCTGCCAATGCTCTCTCTCACACACACACACACACACAGAGAGAGCAGAGCGATCAACGGGGCCGATTGAACGTCTGGGGAAGTGCACGGCCTCTCCCCCCCCACTCCACCCCCCCCCCCCCCCCGGGATTACATTCCTCCAGTTACCGGGGATTAATTGATTATAAAGACCCCCCACTCTCACACACACACACACACTCACTCACTCTCACACACACACTACTTTTCTCTTCCCCTTTGGGCCACAATCCTGTTTAAAACCCCTGAGTTTTGTTGGCTGGGAAAGGCTGTTCTTCCGCCGGCGTGAGGGACGGGACAGGGCGAGGCCCCGACCCCGGCCCCGGCCTCAGGGTGGCTCCGTGTCCGAGTACCGAGGGGGCGACACCCCTCCCACACACACCACACACACACACACAGAGGTCTCGGCCATGGTCTCACTCCGACTCCCGCAGCCACCGCTTCCTTACCTGCAGAGAAGCGCAGTCTCTCTCTCTCCCCCGACCCGCCCCGGGTGTTGAAGCAAAGAGCAGCCGCCGACACGCACAGCCTCCCAGCAGCTGCCCCCCTCCCCTCCCCTGTCACTGCCCCGTAACCAAGGGCCCGAGCGCCGAGCAACCGAGCGCCGGCCGCGGCGGCGCAGCAGAGCGCTGAGCAACCGAGCAGCCAGAGCAGGGCACCAGCCAAACAATAACACAAGGGGATCGATAATAATAGCCGAACAATAACACAAGACGATCAACAATAATAGTCAAACAATAACTCAAAGGGGTCAACAATAATAGCCAAACAATAACACAAGACAATCAACAATAATAGCCAAACAATAACACAAGGGGATCAATAATAATAGTCAAACAATAACACAAAGGGGATCAACAATAATAGTCCCAATAATAATGCGAGCCAAACAATATTACAGTCAAGCAATAAAACAGAAAACCAAACAAAACACAGAAAAACAAACACAGAAAGCCAAGCAATAACAGAACACCAATCACACAGAGCCAAATCATTTATTAATGCCTAGAACTAAAACATTAACACAGAAAGTCATAATAGATAATACGGTTGCAAAAGTTGTCTCAATTGATATTATCATCAGGAAGTTAAATACCGTCAACTACCAGAAGATCTATTGATATGTAGATGTTTTTGTACATGATTTCCTGTGATGCAACATGATTGTGGGATTCTCATTCTTATGTCTATGCATCTCAAACAACCCTTCTGCAGCAAAAACCTGTGCCGGTACTTTCTTGCTTTACTACGTGATTACAGAGGATAATTCCATCAATTGTACCACTGCATATTCTAACATTGTTTTGGGAATAATCAAAACTATTGTTCTGCTTTGCTGATTAGGTATCAAAATTCTGTTCATTATTTGGACTGTAATTCATTACTAAATGTGGGGCAAGCACTCTTGCTTTAATTCGTTTTCCCTACAAATTAAGCACACATCATGAAACTCTATCAAGATCTGTCTTTTGGCATATTCATGATGAACAAATGAACAGTTAATTTACTTGTTATTGTGAAACTATGGAAATGCTGTATTGAGGTTTCAACTGTAAGTTCCTTGTAGACTGAAGGTCAATATGGTCCAATATCCTGCTGTGTCTCACAACACATTTGTTCAGGGTACTCTCCGCTTACTCTATTTTTACATTTTAAAATTGGAGCATAGAGATGGTTTCCATACAAATATGTTGAAAGCACAGCCCTGAAGCAGTATAGATATAACCAGTCCTTTCAATGAACCTTGAAAAACATTTTCAACTTTCTCTTCCACTCACATCCTCAGCATCATAAAAGCCTCAAATTTCTTTAAAAATTCCAGCTTTGTTACTATTCATTATCCAGTATTGAAGAGCATGCCCTATTATTATTTACCAAGCAATTGCTTCAGGCTTCTTGCAAAAATGGTTCACCCTGAACAAATTTGGCTCTGCTCGCAAATGTTGCATTACTTAAATAATGCACCAAATGTTAGTTCAGATTTCATTTGTACGTATTGGTTTTCAGTTTGTTCTTGCTTCAAGCTGGATGTTGCTCTTTCTGTATCATGATGGTATTTAGTTCTGGGTCCACCAATTTGAATATAAGATTTCTGAGCAACCAGACAAATTCATTCAAGCAATCATGATTGAATTAATTTTTAAGTTTTATTTTGACTGATGAATTACATTTGCAATTTTTTAAATTCCATATTTTACTGATCCATTTTCCTATGGCCTTTTGTCTTATGCACCTGAAGTGATACTTGGGAATCATTTAAATTGCTCTTGTTTGAAAGTCTTTATGCACACATAAAATAATAATCCTTGCATTTTCCAAAGAAAAGGACAACTTCCTCAAACTGCAATCTTTGGTCATCATTCTTATGCTCTAAAACCTTGCTGATTCCTAAACTTAGATAGCATCTTTAGAAACCATTTGTTTCTTTAAGATTGTAAAAAAATGACAACTGCAGTTCAGTTAGATTGACACTAAATGTTTCGAATTGATACTAAATGCATAACACTGCATGTCTGCAAAGTGAAACAGCAAACTAATCCATGCACAATTTGTTAAAGTTCTAATATTATAACCTGTGTTAACCAAAATCATTGCTAATATTTTATTTTCATCTCTGACAGTTACCTTAATTGACAATAAAAAAAAACACTGGCAGTCCATATCTTTAAAATGCAATTCATTTCAAGTCACACTTCACAAACATTGCTTGCAGAAGTTTCAGATAAGACAAAATTTAAATAGTAATTGCACACTGAAAAATAATTGATTTTTTTAAAAATTGCTTTTATTATCTCATTTTCTTCCCCGCAGTCCGCCCCATTCTCAGCTGTGTTTCACATTCTCTCTCATTGTGCTGCGTCAGTGAAAAAAAATTACATTACATTTTGTCATTTCAAGGCAATTTTTCCAATATTGGAAAAAACACTGTTAAAGGAAGTGTATTTACACATCATTATGATTGTTAAAATTCAATCAAGTGTGTATATGGTCCATTAGTGTCCATTTTTAACACTTGTCTGTTCCCATAGGTTCCATGTCTGACCACAACTCCAGCTTCAGTACAGTTACTGTTCACGGCCAGGGCTTTTTCACATTGATCCACAAATTGAGCATAAAGCACTTTTCCTTCCTCTTTTCCAATGTTGTTATGGTACTGCATGCTGCGTCCTTTGGATTTGCCACCCAGGGTAGCCTGAGGAATGATCAGCAGATTCGCAGGGAGATCCAGTACTGATACATAATTGCCTTCATTGGTCTCACACAGATTCACATTCAATAATGATGTAACTGAAGCAGGAGTAAAGATAACAGCCTAGGGCAGTTATGTCTCATTCATCTCATAGGAACATGCTACAATACAATACTAAAGTATAAATTTATTAAAACACCAAAACATTTCCATTCACATATATTTATTTATACATATATTTATACTTATATATTTATTTAGCCTACAAAATACGTAGTTAATTCACTTTGCAATGCATTTATTTCAATTAACAATTCAAAAACTAGTTATGACTGAGTGAGAATAAAATGTGAATTATATCCTTCTGCATGCTTATTTTGTGTTTGCAATTTTTTAAAGAGAGAACATTGTTATATTTTCTTGCAGTAGCATTGTTATATCGTTACTGTGTTAATGTTTTGAATTTTGCAAAGCAGTTTACATAAATAAAGTGTAAAGAGATAATAGCTGCATGCTAGCTCATTGTTTAGGTAAATCAGTTCTGAATATTTACAAGCACATGGCTTTGGTATACATACTTACTTATTTTGGGAATTACTTCAGAAGTAGCACCTTTATAAAAGCAAATATATATCACCATTCCTCTTTGAATCTGTAAAACAGCACTGCAAATATTACACCTTAATATTATTCAACTCTAATATCAAATCTGTTCCATCATGGAAAAATAAAACCTGGGACTTTGTGCCATAATGAGTTGGGATATTGCCCTTTCACATTTAGGTATCTGATTTGAAAATCATAATTCAAACTTTAACTATTCTAATACACTGGTGTAAACCAGTTGCACTTTGACTGCCCAATAAAGGTTATAGCATGCTCCATAGAAGAACATAAAGGTTGCATTGTGCAATAATAAAAATATAATAATCCATGCATTTGACATAGCGCCTTATCACGACTTCGAGACGTCTCAAAGCGCTTCACAGCACATACTCCGCACCTCGGGCGCTGGCAGCATCAGCCTCCATGGCTGCACACTCAACCTCACTAAGCCAGTCAGGAACCTGGGTGTCTTGTTTGACCCTGAACTGTCCTTTCTCCCCCACATTCGCACCATGACCGGCACTGCCTACCACCACCTCCATGCAATTGCCACTCTGCCACTGCCTCACCCCTCAGGCTGCTGAAACCCTCACCCACACATTCGTCACATCAAGGCTCGATTATGGAAACTCCCTCCTCAACGGCCTTCCCAACTCTTCCCTTCATAAGCTGCAGATCATCTAAAATTCTGCAGCTGTGTACTCTCGCTCACCAGGCTCCATGATCCCATCACTCCCACCCTCGCCCGACTCCACTGGCTCCCCATCCCTCAGAGGATCGAATTCAAGATCCTCGTCCTTACTTTCAAGGCCATCCATGGCCTTGCTCCCTCCTACCTCTCTGACCTGCTGACTCCCTACCAACCTGCCCGCTCCCTATGTTCAGCGGGCTCCGGTCTGCTCCACGACTCCCGCTCGACCCGCCCTACCATCACTGGCCAGGCTTTCAGCCTCTCTGCCCCCCCGCACTCTGGAACTCCATCCCACAGTCCCTTCGCCTCGCTTCCTCCCTTGCCTCCTTCAAGGCCAGTCTCAAGACCCTCCTCTTCGATCGTGCCTTCAGTCACCCTCCCACCTCTCTGCTTTTCCCTCACTCCTACCCCACCCCTCCCCCATACTAAGGTCCTGACCCCTGACTATCCAGCCCTTGGGATGTCCTCCCGACGTGAAAGGCGCTCTGTAAATGTAATTTTGTTGTTGTTGTATTGTAAAGTGAATTCTGTGGGAAAAACTATATTTTTAATGTATCTTACAATAACTTCCAAGGAAAAGAACAGAACAAAGCATAGCATCGCCCTCGTTGAAGCGCAACTTGACAAGTACAGGAAAATGTGTAATTACATTTTGAAAACCTCATTTATCTTCCACGAGTGATGGTTCATGTAAATGCAAGCTGTCGTTGTTATCCAATAATGTATATTATTATTATTATAATAATGTATACCATTCCAAGCCTTACAAGGAAAGCAGAATGTACTGTGCCGAAAGGAAGCATATAATGTGGAGTCCTGAAGCTCAGTGGTTAGAGCACTCGCTTTGCAAGCGAAAGACCTGAGTTCAATTCCAGGCAGAGAGCGAACCCTTGGGCAAGTTTCCTTACTCCACACACCTAATAATAATCCCTCCAAAACAAAAAACAACAATAAATTGGTCATTTTCAATCCACGACTGTTTGTGGGACATTGCTGTGCGCAATTGGCTGCCGCGTTCGCCCACAAATATAGTCAATTCACTTTACAGTGTGTTCTGTGAAGCGCTTTGGGACGTCGAGAAGACGTGAAAAGCGCTATATCAAATGCAAGGATTATTATTATCATTATTATCATTATTATAATAATCGGAGGCCGAAAAAGTTTGAACCAAACATGGGTTTAAGGTTGTAGGAACCAATCTCAGCGAACAGCACCTTCGCTCCAGAATGAGCAAAGACCCTCCCACCGACCCACCGGTCTGATCCTCGGATCAGGAGAGCGGCCAAACCTGTCACCTCACGGTTGAGGGGGAATAAGAAACCTCACGTCTCACAGAAACCCTCAGGTCTCGGGGGAGATGTCGCCGTGTTTTTTTACCGCGTGGCTCGTGAGGCCACGTGGTACGCACAGCACGGCCGCCGAAGTCTTGGTGCTCGTTACCTGGACCCGCTGAGCGGCCGCGCTATCCGCCGCCGCCGCCGCCGCCTCGGCTTTCACCTGCAGTTCAGCCGAAAGACACTGCTGCAGGAGGACTCGGGCCGCCATCGCCGCCCTCCAGCGCCACTTCCGGCGGAAGCGGCCCCTCTGGCCCCATGTGACCCAGGCGGTTGCCGGGCTCGGCCGCTCGAGCTCACCCGGGTCTGTGCGTTGGGAAGGCGGGTTGGCGGGTTGGTGAACCTGAGCACCAACCGCTTCGAGAGATGATGATAATACTACTACTACTAACAACAACAACAATCCTTGCATTTTGATATGGTGGAGTCCTGTAGCTCAGTGGTTACAGCACTCGCTTTGCAAGCGAGAGGCCCGAGTTCCATTCCCGGCAGAGGGCGAAACCTTGGGCAAGTTTCCTGACTCCACACAGAGCCTATTAATAATAATCCCTCCAAAAACAATAATAAATTGGTCATTTTCAATCCACCACTGTTCGTGCGACATTGCTGTGCGCAATTGGCTGCCGCGTTCGCCCACAAATATACAGTCAATTCACTTTACAGTGTGTTCTGTGAAGCGCTTTGGGACGTCCTCCCGACGTGAAAAGCACTATATCAAATGCAAGGATTATTATTATTATTATTATAGCGCCTTTCACGTCTTCTCGACATCTCAAAGCGCTTCACAGAATATGCTGTAAGGTGAATTGACCGTATATTTGTGGGTGAAACGCGGCAGCCAATTGCGCACAGCGGTGTCCCACAAACAGTCGTGGATTGAAATTGACCAATTTTATTATTGTTTTGTTTTTGGAGGGATTATTATTAGGCGTGTGGAGTAAGGAAACTTGCCCAAGGTTTCACCCTGCCTGGAATTGAACCCAGGTCTCGCTTGAAAGGCGAGTGCTCTAACCACTGAGCTACAGGACTCCAGATTGATTTGTATGAAGAAGGTCATAGCCTATTTGATCTCATCCTTCCGCAATACTCACCCAACCGCCCTCCCACCGTAGCATCAAGCATGCTTTGGCATGAGTTGAGTGTCCTGGCCTTTCTAGTAATCTGTTCCATAAAGACATCGCTTCAACCGAGTGAAACGTTGAGCCGTCAAGAAAGATCCTGAAGACACTCTTTTCAATCTGGACCTTTCTTGAAAGTAAAGATCAACCTTAAAGGACACTGAACAATGGACACAAACATCAAATCAATCCTGGGAAGAAGTAGAAATGAGGTCTGCATGACTGAGGTTTTTGTTTCTTGAAAGCAATCATCCCTAAATTTCCTTTTGTAATGTTACAGTTTTAACTGCAGTATTTTCTCCATGAAGCTTTTCTCCACCAGCCTTTTGTGAATTTGGCCTATTTTAATGTCATTCAATTGGGTCACTATGTAACTTTGGATATGCAAACTTCATATTGTCAGTTGTTATTAGTTGGTCAGAGTTAATTAGCACTTAAGAGAATAGCATTTTGCTCAAACAGTATTTGGAAATATCAGGCAATTTTGTTAGTCTGCTGAAAATGTAATTAAACAGGTTGAATCTGTTTCTTAATTGGAAGAGTAATATTGCCCCAAAGTATGTGGCATGTATTAGGTCTGAAATTCCATATCCATGGCAACTAACATTAATCAATATTGTATTAAGATTTCAGACACAAGGGGTATTTCAGTACAATATGGGAGATTTATACTCCAGAAAATACAAAACAAAATTGTCCACAAAGAATCCCCTGGAAGATCAATATGATTCACTCATATTTATTCAAGAGCCGACTGTTGCAATTCAATTGAATCCATTAAGCTATTGCGGCACACACTTGTAGAAACCTTTGTTAAAGTCATTGGATAAAACAATAGATCATTTTATCAGCTTGTCTTGCAAACTGAAAGAATTGTTTGAATAAGTCGATAATACCACTCATTACTTTTCAAGACTGAATGATTCTTTTTATTTCTGAGAAACAAATGCTTTTCATCACACTTTTACAATATTTGAGAGAAACAATATTGTATTAAACACAATGAAATTAAAGCTTGGAAAATATTGCAGAAATGTAAGATATTACACCAGCAACGGGTTATTGCTGTTAATCTTTCACAAAGATCCCAAACTTGTAAGCACCGCACAGCTTCACCCAAGTGGAATGCAGCTGGCAAAACTAGTGTGACATTTTAATTCTGTGGAGGAACTTTCCCATGTGTTCAAAATTATTCTACAGCAGCTTACCGGTGCAGTCAAGTTTTTTAAAAAATTATAATTCTAAACTCCCCTTCCCATGAACTTTAGATCAAAGAAGGGTAAGAGGACATTAAAGCAGCATTCAGAAAGTTGTCAATTTTGAGTTACAATAGTAACAGAAATGATATATAAAGAGGGCTCTTCTGTCAAGAATTCTCATATATCCAGGTACAATTGTGCCACCCTTTTCTACATCTAAGTGGTTAAAAACAACACTTTCCTATCGGCAAGGAGCAGATTCCTGCCCCAACATAACAACAGGTGCTTAATTTATTAAATGAAAATGAGTTTCACAGTATTTTTCCTCAAAAGAGCAATTTGCATCCTAACAACTCCATTTCTATGATCCACAGAGATAACAATAGGACAATGATAAGTATTTTGGTCAGAAAACATGTTTCAAAGAAACTAGGATAAACTTTTGAATACAAAAAACTATTAGAAGAATGGAGACACATCTGCATTTTAGTTTGTCATTAAACATTAGTTATACCGCCATCAATCTCAAAACTCAAATATTTCTTAGTGTGATTTATTAAAATAAAATGCACTGAATAAGGAAGAATACCTTTGCAATTCAAGGATTCCAGACCAAACTGAGGCATACAGACCAAAACGGTGTCACTTTAAATTTCTGTTCTGTGCTGAGTTATAATAATAATCCTTGCATTTGATATAACGCTTTTCACGTCTTCTAGACGTCTCAAAGCGCTTCACAGAATATACTGTAAAGTGAATTGACCGTATATTTGTGGGTGAAACACAGCAGCCAATTGCGCACAGCAGTGTCCCACAAACAGTCGTGGATTGAAAATGACCAATTTATTATTGTTTTGTTTTGGAGGGATTATTATTAGGCGTGTGGAGTAAGGAAACTTGCCCAAGGTTTCTGCCTGGAATTGAACCCAGGTGTCTTGCTTGCAAGGCAAGTGCTTTAACCACTGAGCTACAGGACTCCACGAAGTTAGTCTCAGCCACTCCATATTCTCCTCCATATTCCAAACTGTGAAACAGAAAAAATAAACTAACATTTCTGCAGGCACTCACTGTCTGGTCTCACACAGAGTAGGGTACCCAAGAGCATCCAATTCTCATGGAAATTGAAGCCAGCATGGAGCAGGACTTTTATCTGAGGAAGGGATAATTTAAGGGCGAAATCTGTTCAATTTGTTTTAACGTAGCAGTTGAGAATGGGTGCTATAAAAGGAGGATGTGGGATATTGGGCCACTATAGAAAAGAAAATAAAGGTCAGTTTTTAGGAAAGCATGAAAGGAAGGCACTGCAGAATTTCTAGTCAGAAATTTAGAAAGCTGTGAAAAAAAAAGCAAGTGAACAGCTTAAAATAGATTCACAATACAAAGCCTTGCTTGCTCTGTCCAGCATAACTACAGAGATAATTCTATCTGGTCTTCTTCAATTTATCTAACATCATTTGCCAGTAAGGAGCAATTAGAAGCCATAATTTTATAATGCATGTTATCAGTCGTAATATCTTTTGCAACATTTTGGTCATGTGAAATTGTGAATCACAACTGACTGGACCTTCCTGTTAAATCTCAGGTGATTTGATTCAGGAAGAGTTAGAAATAAATGAAAGTGGATCAAAACTTGGAAAGTAAAGAGGTAAGAAATGTCTGAAATTCGAGGTGTAGTTCAGGACACAACTCATATAATGTAAGGCACAAACCTGCTAGGGCTTGGTTAACGCATTTTAAATACCCTACCTTCACCTCCAGAACTGGTGTATCAAAATAAAGAAAACCTCTGTTCGAAATACATAAGCAGCTCCTCAGCCAAAAAGAAAGTCACAGTCAGTTCTGTGGACATTGTATTCAGTGAAAATTAAAGAATACATAGATGAAGTGTGTACTATCAACTCAATAGGAAAGCTGGAGTTACATTAGAACCAAATGCATTATCTCAAATTGAGAAGGGAAATGCAAAAAAATGATACAATTTACAAGAGAACCTATTGATTGGAATTAATTTAGTGAAGTGCATTCAGAGTATGTCTAACAAGATCAATTCCTTATAAATTCTGTATGCCACAATCTATTACAATTATTCTCCCTCTGTTAAGATCTTAATAAATTATTTGAGTTTTGGGCTCAATATTGACCAAAGCTGTAAACATAATTCTCTTTTCGCCATATTTTGTAACACACATTTGGATTAATTTCAGTGCTCAAATGTGATCAAAAAAATGATTTCTTATGTAATGCCGCTCTAATTCAGTGCAATCTCAATCCAACTGGAATGACTTGATTCTGTGGGTCATACATTTTTTTCCTTACTAAATCCAATCAGAGCACCAATGGCAGATACCTGAGTCTGTATCCCTCCAGTCTGAATTTTCTGCAGTACAGAATGAACAACAACAAATTATAGTTGTATCGCACTGTTCACATCGGGAGGATGTCCCAAGGCATTGGATAGTCAGGGATTTGGACCCGAGCAAGGGGTTGGGATCAGGGGATGGAGGACAGGGAGGGTAGGAAGGTGCCCGAAGGCATGGGGGTCGACGAGGAAGGTTTTGAGATGCGCCTTGAAGGAGACAAGGGAGGATGTTCAAAAGGGTGGGGACAGAGAGGCTGAAGGCCCGACGGCCGATGGTGGGGTGGGCTGGGAGGGGGATGTAGAACCTGCCGAGCAAAGAGAGCGGACAGGTTGATATGGAGTTAGCAGGTCACAGAGGTAGGAAGGAGCAAGGTCATGGAAGGTCTTCAAGGCGAGGATTGCAGAGTGTAGTGCAGAATGAAACCAATAAATGTAATGAATAATCTAACATACAAGGGAAAAGCAAAAGGAGTAGAAAAATGTTGACGTGAAAGATCCCAGATCTCTTCTTCAGTGCAAGAGCTTTGAATGTTTGCTTTCACAAATCCTTAATACTTTCCATCTCCCAAATACTGTACAACTAACTCCCTGTCCTTTTAAAGAGTAGGTTTAACTCAGATGCCGGGTAGAACTAGAAAGAACGCATTTATTTCTTCCCATTGGTTGAACCTATTTGATTACAATTCAGCATGTGCACAATCTCTACATTCTGAAGATGGACATAGAGATCACGCTGTGAAACCAAATTTCAACATTAAGTTTTTTATTTTACTTCAGTAACAGTCATTTCTACAGTATAAAATTGTAAAAATATTTCACAGTGAAAGAACAACTATTACTATCCCACTCTGGAAAGAGCAAGCTTGTTCAAAGCTTGTTTGATGGACCGCATAATTCAGTTGTTCAGAGCTTAGCTGAGTGGTGCACTGAATCCACTGTTAAGAGCAAGCATGTTTTCCCAGAATTGGATTGTAATATTTTAAAGTTGAAACAACTGCATCAGTTGTATTTAACCCTTTTGCACCCAGTGATCCAAAAACGTAACCGCAAAGTTCCACTAGAATAGAAAACAAATCTAGGTGGAAAAGGATTAATTTCTATGGTTAAGGTATTCAACAAAAAGGCTTTTCTTCGGTTTACATTTTCTGTAATTTAATAATTGCATTTTGGGCAGAAAACGTTTACATAGGAAAGGGCACAAATGAAATAGATAGAATTAAGCTTCTGCAAGGAAAATAACTAAGGAACGGACAAGCCACATGATTTGCATACTGAGGGGGCAATGCTTCTCTACATCGGTGTACTTGCCTTGGTGGAAAATCACTTTGGTGGTGTGAACATATTATGGTCCCATTATAAACTTACTTTACCAAGATTGGTAATTGCACAAATCAGGGGAGAACAGGCTGGTTTAGTTGATAATACTCTTGCCTCTGAGTCAGAAGTTTGTGGATTCAAGATCCACGGTAGGACTTTGAGCTCTTGGCACTCCAATGTAGTGCTGGGAATCCTGTCCTTTGGATCAGATGTGAAACTGAGGTCATGTCTACCTGTTCAGGTGCATGTTAAAGATCCTATGGCACTATTCAAAAAGAGAAGAAGGTTTGTCCTGGAGTCCTGGCTACAAATCTCCCCAGATAAAAATTGGTCATTCATTTCATGACTGTTTGTAGGACATTGTTGTGCACAAATTATCTGCTGCGTTTGCCTGCAAAGACACACTTTACAGAAGACTCTGTGAACCACCTTGAGATGTTTTGACATGATAAGTTGCTATGTCAAATGCAAGGATTATTATTAACATGCATTTACCCACTAAGGTCAGTAAATTTGCAGTTCAGAAAATAATTACTCCCTTGAACTTCTTAAATATTCAGTATTAAAATATGCACTTGTTTTTGATATAGCTTTTTAGTAGGCCCTCTGATTTTCAGATCAAATTGATTAATTAATACCCACCAGATAAGTTTAAAATTAGTTTTAAGGCCATTAAAACAAACCACATCATCCATCTCTGGTTCAAGTGAAATGGTCGCAATGCCTTTCTCACAAGATCACATCTTGGTCTCTTTTCCAAGCATGCACAGTGAGCCTCTGCTAGCTTTCGCACAGCATGTCCCATCTATTTGTTAAATTCTCTTGACAGAGTTTATGAAGACATCAGGACATTTAGAATGCAGCAAGTGCAAAGATTGCACAGTATGGGATGGTTATTGACAGTTTGCAGAAATCCTGATAAATGGAAATCCATGTTGGCAAACTAGGTATCAGAGTTCAATGGATTATTCCAGTTTCTTTCATCCGATCAAATAGAAAGAAAACAGAAACCAGGAAATAAAAGAAAAAAGTCAAAAGATGAGAAAAAAAACAATAAACAAAAGGAAGAGAACATTTTGGTGATAAAACCTAAACATCTTTGCTTAATAACCGTTAAAAAAATATTTTGGACTCAAAAACAAAATAGATTTTTCTGGCATCTGATATCATCCAACAGTTTGTCCCAAAAATCACTACAACATAAAACCCGATAATCAGAAGGCCTAGTTATTAGTAACTGTTATGCAACATTTGTGGTTTTCAAGGCATAATGCATACTTTGGCTACTATGGTCATTACTAAAGGATATAAAATAGTTCCATCCCCACCCAATAACCAGCTAACAAAACATTTTGCAGTTAAGTTTTATTGAGCACCTTAATCTAGTAATATCCATAAAGACTGAATATTAAAAAACGTTCTGTAACTAGCACCTCTCATCAACAACCCAAAATTCACAAGGTAATTTACAACTGTGTTTATGTGAGAAACCATGATTTATGATTCTTCTTTAAGGCTATGGGTTTCTTGTTAAGAGTGAAAGCAACCTGGACAGAACAGCTCAGCTGTATTTCTCTGCCTTACAGCTTTCAAAACAACACTCTTATCTTGGCAAGAAACATTTATATACACAATTAAGATTACAGCACAGTTGTATTTGTTGGCTTTCTTTTGGGTAACGATTACTACATGCACTACTCACTGAAAAAAAATCCATTCCCAAGAAGATATTGGTAATGCTTTTTCTAGCCATATTAATCTCATTTAATTTCATTATGGCCCATGTAGAATATGCATGCATTTCAATCAAATGCACATCATTTCTTTCCGACTACTATGGGATCGATCGCTACTAATTACACAAGTTGCTTTCATCATTTAAAGGGTTCGACCACAATAGATGAATTCTATATTTTAAGAATCTATTTTCTTAAAAAAACAAATAAAAGCTGTTGCCAGTTGGGATTTTGTGGATAACAGAAGGCAGTGGAGGACTCTCTGTATTAAGGAAGTGGACTGCTGTTCATGAACATTCTGTTCAGATCAGATGCCCTTCAGCACAGCAAGGGACCGACATAAGCCATGTATATTCCATTTGCTACAGCTGGAATGCCAAAACAATTATAAACATCTTTAATACACACTTATATAAAGACACACGCTCACAATTCTTTGTGTCAAGACAGTAATGCCAAATACCCATGTGTTCCATTATTGAACATGGAACCCTGCCCTTCTATAATAGTTAACTCAAGGGTCGCTAAGTGCATTGCAGATTATTGGTACTGTTAAGGGCGAACAAGAAATTGAAAGTTTGGCTAAGTAGAGGCAATTTACTTGCATGAGTGCGGTGAAGTAAAAGCAAAGAATGGGACGGGGGCAGAGCAGTGAACAGGTAATATGTTCCTTCATGTGAATCAGAAAGATCAAATTGGATCGTCAGATGCCCATTGTATGACCTCTCACCAAGATTTACATGAAAGAACATAAGTGATTGACTCTATAGTTTACAATATTTCTTTCCTTGTCCTATACTTCGTAAATTAAACTATATTGTTCTATCTTTGCATTGCTACAATTTTTCCGGTTGACTGCTTGTTGGTTTAAGAGTTTATTGTATATTTTCCTGCGTAAATCTCCCAAAATCCACCCCAATAAAATCAGTTATCAGAGGTTCTCGTTGCTCTCTACAGTTTTTCAAACAATATGGGTTTCCACTCAACACACATGCTTACCAACAATTTAAAAAATCTTTTGGTTATGAACCTGAATGCAGTGTTGCATCAGCAGAACAAACTGTATATAAAATAAAAATGCTACAAAGTTGTTTTTTAAGTGAATACGTAGAACCATAAATTTAACTGTGACCTAAAATACTTTCCTTTCAGTTATTTCACCCTCAGCAGACGAGGATGTGGAAGGAAAGTCAGCCATATTGTGGCCCATCATCTGTCCCAACATAAATAGAACACGAGCTTCATGTTCTCGATCATTTTGTCTCATCCGTTCTTCCATTTCCATACGGAGTTGCTCCAGACGAGCAAACCGTTCTTCTGATGCTTCCATGTAACGGAGAAATTTTTCATCAGCAGCTTCACTGTAGCGGATGAATTTTTCCATCATACCATCCATTATGTCCTCCAGAGAATGTTTCTTTGCTTTCTTCGGTTGAGGTGTAAGTGGCACTGATGAATGTGTGCGCCGCGTACGGGGTGCTGAAAAATAAAATAGGAATTTGAAACATACTCCACCGAAATTCAACTTGATAGAAAAAAACGCTCGTGTGTACGTGAGACGTGCCCATGTTCCAATACTGTAGTGCTTGCATGTCAACTAAAAAGTCGCCAGTACGTTTTCTCCCTCTGTTTATAAACTAATATCACACTTTTTAAGATCAAAACCAGATATTTGTATTAGTTTGTTAGTTAAAAGAAATAATGTTTATCATGAAGGAGTTGTCATTTGGAGCATTTTTCTGAATAATCTTCATGCAAGGTCTTGGAACCATTCCCAAATACATACTGCAAGCTTCCAAAGAACACAGTGTCAAAGCAGAACTTTCCAATAGTCAATCAATAACAATTGTACTGCATGCCACTGCACAAACCATCAACCACAGCAGTCAATCAAAACCTAAGCAATCATGTTATGTTGACCAAAGCTCCCAAGGCTTAAATGTAACATCACAACAATGAGATTAGCAGAGATCAAATGCACAACCTTCTATTCTGGATGGTTTTGCTTTTGCATCACCCATTTGTCTGTCAGGAATTCTTCTCTGATATTTTAATTGCATAGGAAACACTTTCTCCAACTGTTCACCGTTATTTCCTAACACTTTTAAGCAAATGTGTTTGACTAAAAATCATAGGGTTATATATATTGTGCAAACTTACTGTATCCAATTACTCTTGTATCCAATTACAATGTAGTTTTCTTTTGTTTTACCATCAAGAACTCAGAAACAGGCATGGTAACAGAGAACTTTATACTTGAACTTACTGACACAAAAATGTTTGTATTGTAGTTCAAAAACTAAGAAAAGTTTAAAGGTTAACTTTCTTAAAGCTTTTTATATGCTTCTGAAAGCCCAAATGTATCAACTTGACAAAGCTTTGACCATTTAAAAATACTTTTTATCAGCCCACAACAAAGATTATTCATGTCAACAAGTCCTCAGGTCACTTTATCACTCTCAGTTTGAGACAGTAAGTTCCACACACCTTAGATTCATTGCACTCGGTTTGTAGCATTGGCCAATGTTTTATGGTTGTACTGAATAATTACAATCCTTCGCAAATAAATTTTCCAAAGAAACCTCCACCCATTCCTCCATCCAGTTTGAAGATCTGTGTCTGAATCCAAACCCATTAATCAGTACACCAATGCAGAGCCAGGAAAAGGTGCTTTCAATAAGAAATGCCCTTGTGCCACCCAAATGATATTAATATCAGAGACAGAAAGCCAATCTGTTTACCTAAAAAAAATGACATGGAAATAGTAGAGTTTCAAAGCAAAGATTCAAAAAAGTCACAAGATGTAACAAGCGGGCTCACCCTGCACATGCAGACTGGGATTGATAGTACCAGACAATGAAACGGGCAACAGTTTGAACTACACTATGTTAACTGCAGAGCAACCTTGCTTAGTGGAAAAACTCCATAGAATCAGGCAGTTAGAAGTAAACAGTAGTTGTACTCAGACACTAATCTGCTTTGGAGACAAATGTTTTAATGGTAATTCTGGTCAGTCTGATATTTGCATATCCAGACTGTAAAACACTTCGATCAAACTCCTGTCTTTAGAAAGGACTGCTCATAATGATAGCATTAATTTGTTATGAACCATAAAACAAAGTTATTCTGAACAGCTTTCAGTCTCAATTAGGCACGCTATTTCAAACATAGAACAGAAAAAACAAACCGAATGGGGCAAAACTTAATGACGGACAATTTGTTTCATGTAAAATACTTGAAACATTAAGAAACGCAATTGAAATCTCCAGAGCAGTGACAAACAGAAGTTTCAGATAAAACAAACAAAATGAGGATCTTAGAAATTAGAGATCCAATTCACGGCAGTTTGCATCGCCACATGCCATGTGTGCGCAGTTTCAGCAAAGGAAAGCAAGTGTGGCGGATTCATTGTATTCAAGGAACCCAGTGAACCATCAACGGGAATGACTGGGAACTGTCCTCTCTCAAAGAAAGGGTTGTGTCTGTGAGGCAGTAAGACTCAGAATATGTTAACCATCTCGCATAGGGTGTCACTGGTGCACTTATTTACAATGCAATAGTCCCTTTATTAATAGGCTTCAAATAAAGAGCTACTGTATCTTTCAAAGAAAACAAAAAACTTGCAAAATAAACTTGAAAATTCTCACCCTTTAATCAACAGTTGCAATACAATAAACACCTTGTTCCTCTTGCTGTTTCAGGGTTTTTTTAAAAGTAGTGTTTCTCTTGATAAACTCCAACCATTCCGACAAGCAATATCCTTATCCCCTGCTACCAGGAAACCGCTGTGCCTGGTTACTTTTGTGCCCTTGTACAGTAGCACACCCCAGGAGTTACCAAACACCCAATGACTGCAAACTGGAATTTAGCACCATCTCTTTACCACATTAGCAACCTGCTTTGAATAGCAGATATTAAAACAGAGAAAAGGCATTTACAGACTAAAGAAAGTTACTAACTTTATTTACAGTAAACCCTAAAACAAGTACTACGTCCAGAATCAATGAGAATTACCTCGAGGTTGCCGCGTTTCGTACACAAAATCCACAGCTAATTCACTTTACAGTATATTCTGTGAAATGCTTTGAGACGTCTCAAGACGTGATAAGGCGCTGTACAAATGCAAGGATTATTATTATTATTATCTCCCTCCCCACGTACTTGTGTCAACGTTGGTTTTCAATTCCCTCTTCCAGTTCTACTTCTCTGAATAATTTTGTGGACACAAAAGCATAGAATTCAGCAGTACATAAGTAAACAGATCCCACTTTTGTGTTATTATTAATTGCAATTTTAAACATAAATTATCAATCACAGGAAAATATATATTTTTTTAAAAAAGTACTGAACACACCAGATCCAATCACCTCAATCTGGAGACTGTAATAAGCATCTTCGCAGTCCCCATCTCATTCACCTTTTTCCTGTAAACATTAGCAGATGCCTGGGGGTCCTTTGGCACATTTCTTCTGCGCAATAGTGTTTGAAAATCATCTCCAAGAAACCCCTCCATTCTCTCCATGAGTGTTCCACCAAGTTCTAAATGTTTACTCAAGGACGTGGATGCACAGCGTTCCACTGACAATCCTGAGATGGCCTTCAAATCAAGGTTTATGCAGATAAGAACTCACCTTATAGAGTTACCTTTTCCTTTAAATAAGATGGAATACAAAGAACTTGAAAATAATGGCTTTACCCTCTCCCCCTTTCGCTCCAATAAAAGGCCCAACCAATCTGCCCCAAGCTCAAATTCTTAGCCGGCGTCATTTGATGGCACATCTGTGATCCTGCACCTGTTGGGATCCCAGTATATGTCTAACAATGAGCAACTGTTAACAAACCCTTGTTTTTGAGCAACTTATGTTTAATAAATATATCACTTCTACAACTCTGACATCCAGCACAGCATAAAATAGGCTTAGAAGTGAACATGTTGATACCCGCTTTTAAATTATCAGTGCAAAGAGTGAGTGTTCAGTATTTTCTTTGTAAATGATCCGCTTCATCCAGGAGCAAACAATGGGACAATAAAATCATGATGTTACAGACTGTTTCAAAATGTATTTCCTGGTTGAAAATGGCATTTAAAATATGTTTAAAAAAATGTATTTAGTTAAAAGTCTATCTTTTATGATATCACTTACATAAGAAGCTCTCCTGTACATACATTGCTAAGATCATGCATGACTTTAGTCATCATAAGAGGAGCACTAATGATGCACATGAGTGGTACCCAACATTACAGGAGCATTCTGTATATTAAATACAAATTGGTTGAAACATGAAGACATACATTAACATGGACAATTCTTCGAGCAAGACAAAGCCTACATTCTGAAAGGACACTGCTTAAAAAAAACATATGACAAAAGCTAATTAAGAATTACACAAATTAGTTTATACTCTGCATCACTTACACTTCTTCCATTGACTAGAAAAGCTTTCAGTTGCATGCATCATCATTAAAGAGCTCCACACCAACTTGACAAAGAAGTGAGATTTTACTTAGCTCAATTGAACTGAGGAAATAAGTAGCTTAAAATATAAGCAACCACAGTGAATCATTCCAAAACACTCCAATTACCATTTTTGTTGCTATGAAACTAGTCATTATGTACTCAGACCCTCGAGTAACACCCACAGAAATTGAGTTTTACACATGAGTGAAACATTTATCGCTACAAATTTGGCACAACGTTTGTAATAGAAAGCTTCTTGAATTCTACTATTCAAAATTGCATTGCCAGGTTAAAAAAAAACCTAAGAGTATCTAAATAAGAATGAGAATTCCATGCATCCCACTTAATTCCAGAGCTAGATTGTTGGAATGGAATAGGCACTCTCTCCCCAGAGGGGCGCATCCTACTTATCTAATTTTGGAAAGTATTAGGCTGGTTGGCAAGACCCAAGGCTTGGGAACCACAGCTTGCGCATTCAGATATTGCTGGAGTCTAACCAGCTTAGCACAAGTAGCACTGTCTGGCAAGCATTATCGATGTTTGTCCAGCTAGGGCCGTCCTACTGGTTAGGGCTTTGGCTTGCAGGGTTAACAGGATCTGAGTGGGAGGATTCCCTGGTCCCCAGTGACTGGTCTGTGCTTCCAAGTCTTGCCAATGAGCCAGGCTGGCTGTGCTATCATCAGCAGTACCCTGGAATACTGCGAACCAATCTGACTCAGCAACCGGACTACCGAGATCCCCGCAGAGGACTGGCTCGATTCTGACATTACATTGCCAAGCATGTCACCTTCAGGATACCCCTCCCAAACATGTTTATAAAACTTGTTTTGAGCCACTGTTATTGAATTATCCAGCACAAATTAAAAGAAATAAAATCAGTACCAGATTATTTTATTGATTTGGGATGCTTTCAAGTCAATTATAATATCTACCATACATACAGGTCTCCCTTCACACCTCCATTGTATGGACTGGAAACACCCCACTCAGTCTGCAGCAAAGTCATCTACTCAAATCAGACCTTAAAAATCCTTAAACTGCATTGGATACAGTTTTTTAAGCGCAGAACAAATGCAACACTAATGTCAAGCTGTGCTATACTTCCGTATTATTTTGAACTCTGTAAGTTAATCATCAAGCTCAGTTAAGTGTGGTAACTACAATAACAAATTTCATTTATATAGCATCTTTCACATTGGGAGGACGTTCCAAGTTGTTGGACAGTGAAGGGTTTGCACCCGAGCCAGAAGTTGGATTCAAGTGGGATGAGGGGCAAGGGGGATGGGGGTGGGAAGATGACCGAAGGCATGGCCAAAGATAAAAGTCTTGAGACAAACCTTGAAGGAGGCAAGGGAAGGGCGAGGTGAAGGGATGGAGTTCAAGAGGGTAAGATGGAAAGGCTGAAGGCCCAACTGCCAATGGTGGGGCGGGCAGTGCAGTGGACATGAAGAGGCTGGTGCCTGCCGAGACATTAGATAATATCTAAATGACAATAGATACCAACTGACAATAGATAGATGCACGAGACATAAAAATTAGTATTTTTAACGTACTCAAACCCTTCCAATTCTACATTCCAATTCTTTTATTTATGGATTTCCAATTAATTTGAAATAACTGTAAATAAGTACATAACCAGTAAACAATAGTCATTTTTGGAGCAGCTAAAAGAAGTGTTCTGCCTTACTATTGTCCACCTAAACCATCATTAAAGTCTGCATCCCAGAAACACAATTTGAACTCATAAGCTGCTTTTGTTTCAGAGGCATGCACAACTTTGTTTAGGCTGTTGGACAGCTCCACTAAGAAAAATAAGATATTTATCAGATACCTAGGTACATTTGCTCTACCACGTGTTTGAGAAGGGAATTTATCATGATGTCCTGGCCAACAATCCACTAAATAAAATTGGTCATTCACTTCATGGCTGCTTTTTGGGGGACACATTGTTGTGTGAAAATTAGCTAGTGTTCACCCACAAAAATACAGTTGTACCACTTTACAGTAAAACCTTTGAAATCTCCTCCTGACATGAACAGTGCTAAATGAAAGGCAAGGATTATCATTTGTTTTCTTTTCTCATCATTCCAGTTAGCTCTTTTTTTAAAAAAAGGACATATAATGCATATGGAACAAGGTTATGGATATGAACCAGGAGACAGAAAAGCAGTAGGGATTTGTTTGGTAAATTTACATTGCCAGAGTCTGGCATTGCTCCCACAGTGAGAACAACTGACGGTTGGCAGTTGCTGACAAAGGTGCAATTTGGAAGCAGAGTTCGGGATATTTACAGGAACAGGATACTTGTAATGAACTATGTGATCAAGCTATCTCATGACTTCTCATTATATCTGAATGGGAAGTCATTCCAAATTATATATTTGTTGTGGATTATATATTCGTCTCGCTCCCTCCCATCCCATTTTCAGGTCTCTGCTGAAGACCTTTCTTTTCGACCGCGCGTTTGGTCACCTTCCTCCCCCTCCCCCTGGCTCGGTCCCGGGATCCGTTACTGTAAAGCGCTCTGAGACACTGTCCGACGTGGAGGGCGCTATATAAATCCAAGTTGTTGTTGTTGGATATTTGCTCACCATATAATGAATCGAATCTTGCTGCACCTTACATTCAAATTATCTTGCTTATGGAATTACGGTGGGGGAGGATCTGACAGTGATGTGAATCCAGCAACAAAAGAATCAGGTGAAGGTGTTAAACTCAGGTTTCCTCTGGCAGTTCTTCAGGTGGATATTTGAAAATCGCATTACATTACCCTGTCTAGATCAGCTAATGCAGCACACACTGGGCATCAAATCTGTTTGAAAATGAGGGGAGTCCTCATTTCCTCCAGATTAAATTGGTTATTCATTCTATGGCTATTGTGGAGTCAAAAATACATTTTTAATGCAGTGTAGCATCAATTCAGTGGTTAGAGCACTCGCCTAGTAAGCAAGAGACCTGGGTTCAATTCCAGGCAGGGCAAAATACTGGGCAAGTTTCCTTACTCCATACGCCTCTGTTTACCTAGCAGTAAGTAGGAACCCGGTTGTTAGTCGATTGGCAGATTGTTTTTCCAGGATAATAATCCTTCAAAAAAAAACTATAATAATTTGGTCACTCAATCCATGATTGTTTGATGGGACTCTGCTGTGCACAATTGGCTGCTGTATTTCGCCCATGAATATACAGTCAATTCACTTTATACTATATTCGTGAAGCACTTTGAGACATCTAGAAGTTATGAAAAGCGCTATATCAAATACAAGGATTATTATTATTCTTTGTTAGATCTTGCTGGTGCAAATGCCCACATTTGCCTCCCAGTTACCAAGGTCTATCTACAAAAAAAACAGTTGCTGCATTTAACGGTAATTAAGTACTTTGAAATGTTTTGACTTGTCAAGACCCTATAAAAATATAAATTCACTTCTTGTGAGATTTTCACTCTTTTTTGAATTTCACTTTTTAATAGAAAACAAAAGTGACAAAAAGTTATGATGGTATCAGGCTTGGATCATCTCTGGAAATGTCTTGATTTGGTATATTATAATAGTTTTGAATATTTCAGAAATGGAGCTGAACGTGAATGAGCAAAAAACAATGATAGAAATATGTTGATCGCTATATTTGTTGATCTCTACGTGTTCATCCAACTGCTACTTTGCTTTTGTGGATCGGATAGCCCATTAATTAAAAGATGCTGATGCAGAATCATCGACTGCACTCAAAAAGTCGTGTTTGCAGCAAATTTCGGCATCGCAAATGTACGAAGATGGAACAATACACATAACTGCATTCATTATTGCGACGCAAGAATTTCTCGCTTTCACTCACTGTGACTAAATTGTGTTTTAAGTTATTTGACCCGGTACCAAAGGCTTCGGATAAAGGTTACTGGCTGGTGATACGTAAACAAATTGTGTTTATCTCTTTCACGTGCAACAGCGCACAGATTATCATCATAGCCGGAGTGTGGGGGGGGGGGATCATTCAGCCCATAACGGAAGTCTTGGCGTGAGGATTTAAGCGTTACATATATGTTGATTGTTTTTTGTTATGAAGGGGGTGGAGAAGAAAGTTGATTAAAAAAATCGTCAGAAAATCCACGCCAAATGCCCCCCAGCAGTACAGCAAGCACTGGCGCGCCTCATCGTCAGACAGACAGTTCGGCGTGAAACAATACGACGAAAAGTTAAGAATAAGTACGCCAAGTCTCAATTTACCGCAATAAATGAACTTACTGCAGAAAGCGCTGGTGGAAGGTTGCGGTTCGAACTGCCGGGTGCTGGTCTCCCCCGGGGGAAGGTCTGGCTCCTCTGAAGAACAATGGCCATTCCGGCATTCAACCCTCTGACTGACATCGGACCGCGGGCTGTTCTGCTCCTCTTTAATGTCCTGAGACTGGTTGGGCGTCGCGACTGTGTCCATGGCTACCGAGCGCTCGTTGCCGATCCTGGAGCCGAGCACGGCATCGAGCTGCTCGTAAAACCTGCAGATCTTCCTGCCGCTCGCGCTGCAGCCCCGCTTGATGCTGTCCTTGGCCAACGTGTATTTCCTCTTCAGCCCCTTGATGCGGATGCGGCACTGCTCGGGGGTTCGGATGTAGCCCTGGTCCAGGAGCTGCGACGAGATGAATTTAAAGACGTGGCTGTTCCTCAGCTGCTCGTCCAGCGCCGTCTGCACGTTCTCCTCGCTCCAGATCGCGATGAGCGCCAGGGTCTCGGCATCAGACCACAGGGCGCCGCGCTCAGACCTCACTTCAGACATCATTGGAAACCAAGACCCCCGGGACCCGCGCGGCGCCGAGAATTCACTCGCGAGGGATCAACGGCCGAGCCGGGGACGGGCACGGTGCCGAGGCCGGGTGGGGAGGGGGCGCCCCCAGTGCGGTTGGCGAACGGGGAATTTCAAACCCCCCCGAAATCCCCCACAGGATTAAAAGAAACGGTTGACATGAAAGGCCCCCTTCAAATTTGCCCCCTCTGAGAACCATGGGTAGACGCTTGGGGGGGGGGGGAGACGGGTGACGACTTCCGGCCTACGCTGCGTCATGTCGCGAGCGTGAGGCGGTTGGGAGGGGGGAGGAGATTCAAACCGGTTTCCATGGTGACGGGCTCCCGCCGCCGCCGCCTGAGTGGCTTCGGAGACATTTGTCTGGAGTTAACGGAAGGGGTTGTTGTCTCGTGTCTTTTTTTTAAATTAATGTGCAGTGAGATAAATATATAAAGTTTGTTTTATTACAGGGACAAATGGACCGCGCTTCAGTCCTACTCCCCTTCCCCCCCCCCCCCTCCCGGGGGTGGCGGCGCTTGTCGCGGGTTTATTACGTTGGCGGCGGTTCAGTTGTGTGGAGGGGAATCGGAACAAGAGCGGCTGCGCCATTGGGGGGAAAGTGGGCTGTGTGTGTGTGTGTCTGTCTGTCGGTCGGTCTGTCTATCTGTCGGTCGAGCGGCCGGAGCTCCCGTGGGAATGATGTTGTGGTCAACCTCAACCTTCCGTTGGCTCAGCAAGCGAGCGCTTCCCTGCTTGGACACACGGCCTCCCGCGTGCGCCGGGCGGCTCATGGTGGGTGTCGTGGCAGAAAGGCGCCGATAATCGTTTCGACTCCTTCAAAAGGTTCTGGGTTTTCAACCGGCGGCGCGTGTAACTCGCTTTGTTTTTGTCGGCTGACCCTTTCGGTCGTGAAGGCCCGTCAGTCCGATTCCTTGCAGGTGCAGCCAAAAATAACGTTAATCTTCAGAGTAGGCCACGTTTCATACTTCTGTCACCGATATACGAAGTTTACGCCTTCGTATACCTTTGCATCGCCCACCACCCCCCCCTCCCCAAATCTTTTTTTTTCTCGCTGCTGCTGGACAGCGTTTGTAATCGACTTTCGTGAATTTACAAATCTGAGCTGTATTCGATTCATCATCATCATAATAATAATAATAATAATCCTTGCATTTGATATAGCGCTTTTCACGTCTTCCAGACGTCCCAAAGCGCTTCACAGACTAGACTGTAAAGTGAATGGACTGTATATTTGTGGGCGAACGCGGCTGCCGATTGCGCACAGCAATGTCCCACAAACAGTCGTAGATTGAAAATGACCAATTTCCTATTGTTTTGTTTTGGAGGGATTATTATTAGGCTCTGTGTGGAGTAAGGAAACTTGCCCAAGGTTTCGCCCTCTGCCTGGAATTGAACCCAGGTGTCTCGCTTGCAAAGCGAGTGCTCTGACCACTGAGCTACAGGACTCCATGCTGGATCAGGACCATCTTCGTTCTGAGCTGCTGCAGCACAAAATCAGCGGGAATTTAGTTTGCAGCTGTGCCTGTTTCAAGTTTCAAGAACTAAATGCCTGTCCTTTGAAAACCATACTGTCCTGGTTTGCTGTCTTTTAAAGGTTTTAATATAAATTCAAATAGCCAGTGTCAGTAGCATAAAAGCTTTTATCCAGCTCGTAATGAAAATGTTATTAATAAAATAATTTCAAAATCCTAAAAGCACTTGAACATATTTATCTACATAATTGGGGGGGGGTCAGCCAGGTGTCTGATGCATGTGGAAAACCCATCACATGCTAAAGAGTATCCAAACCAAGAGTTCCATGCATCCCACTTCTACATAGAAATTCCCATAATATTTTTTGGAATGAAATACACACTTTCCCTGGAGGAGTTCACCCTGCTTACCTAATTCCAGAAAGTATTGGGTGCAAGTTTGCAAAAGCTAAGACTTGGGAAACCCAGAGTATGTACTGGGGGTACCTTTGGCGTCTAACCAGCTAAACCCACATAGCTTGTCATTGATATCACTGGTGAGTTTTCCCACTGCTTGTTCAATTGGGACCACCCTAGTCCTTAGAGCTTTGGCTTGCAGGGTTAATAGGAGCTGAAGAGTCCCTGCCCCCATTGACTGGTTTGCCCTTCCAATCCCACCAATGAGCCAGCCTGGCTGGGCAGTCATCAGCATTGCTCTGGAGTATCTACATAATGATAGTAATCTAAGTTATCAGAGAAATCTTTGCAGGAAAGAGAATCATATATTGGTATGAGTATGATGTTGGGTTTGAAGTAAAATTGGCTCCTCCACTTATTGGTGGCTCCAAAATGAGGAGCACAATAAAGTAGAAAATCTGATGGGGATTTAGGAGGAACTGCTTTATGTGGAGAGTGGTGAGAATGTGGAACTCACTGCCAGAAGTAGTGGTTGAAACTAAAAGTGTCAATGCATTTACGAGGAAATATGATGCACATATGAGGGAGAAGGCAACACATGGGATTAGGAGGGGTGGAGGCTTGTATGGAGTATGAACACTGCATGGCCAAGTTGGGCCAAATGCCCTGTTTCCATGCTGGAATGTCTATGTAAATATTGAGAGATTGAAGGCAGTGAAGCACCAGTATGAGGATAATGTTGCTGATGTGTATAATCATTTACTATACTATGACGGATCCATATATATTATATATTTATGTGAACTCTAATAGTGAGCGCTACATATTCTACAATCATTTCAGGTTCAAAACCATTTGTTAACACAAAATATAGTTTACATTTACCATTTCTCTTTCAGAAACAGTTAATGTAGATAAAGTTAATTTATATCGAACTCTCAAATTTCAACAGTTGCAATAATGAATTGAATTGGTGTGTCTTTGTAATAGTCAACAAGTTGCTCAACATTTGTACGTTTTTCCCTCATCTAAACTGTTGAACTGGTTTAGTGATGCAATTTACTTTTAAGTTCCTTCTTTAAATGTTACAATGCCTTTACAAACTGCAATGACATTAAGTTGGTAATCAAGAAACGATAATAATCCTTGCATTTGAAATGCATAGAAAGTTGATTTGAGTCCAAAAGGGATTGCCTTAAATGTGTAGCTTGAGAAGTTGGATGAACAGAGATTTAAGACAGTGAGATTTAAGATTGTTCCAATTGCTTGTGATTTAAGACAGTGAGATTTAAGATTGTTCCAATTGCTTGTGTAAATTATTATGATTTCTTAAGTCTTCAGATAGTGGTGCTGAGTCATTACAAGAGAGACAAAAACGATTGATGACTCGGGGACTTCCAAAGCTAAAAGCGATTCAAGGTGTGAAACAAGTTATCGTTGTAGCCTCAGGAAAAGGGGGTGTTGGAAAATCAACTACTGCAGGTACAAAGCATATTAATGAACATTATTCCTTTCTGCAATCAGAGTTTTAAGAACTATAAAAGCTTGTGGTCCTCCTGATTGTCCAGTTAGTAAAGTGCCCTCCCCGTATAGCAAAGGGTAACAAGTTTCTGTTTTGCCTAGCCATTCTCAGTGGGCGCAGGTATTTTATCTGATTGTAGTCAAAAAAGGGAGGCAACAACATCTTGCATTTATATAGCGCTATCCACGCTAGGTAGCGTCTCAGAGGTCTTAACATTGGTGAAGCCTGACTCTGAGCTGGGAGTGGGTGGGAGGTGGCCATAAGCACGGTCGAAGAGGAAGGTTTTCAGGCGGGACTTGAAAAAAGGGAGGGGCTAAGGTCGAAGGATTGAAGGAGAGCATTCCAGAGTTTTGGGGCGTATTGGGGCAGAGGGCGTGAGGGACGAGCAGGAGGCTGCCGGGTGGTGGATTGGGGAGTGAGGAAGTCAGAGAGATAGGGAGGTGTCAGAGCGTGAAGGGATTTGAACACAAGTGTGAGGATCTTGAACTCCATCCATTCGGTGATGGGGAGCCAGTGGAGCTTAGCCAGAACTGATGAGATGTGGGTACGGAGTTTAGTCTGGGTAAGTATGCGGGTGGCAGAGTTCTGAATGAGCTGGATCTTTTGGATAGTGGAGCTGGGGAGACCGGGAAGGAGTGTGTTTGAGAAGTGTAGTAGTGGTGCGTAAATTGGCTTCTCGTTCTTGATTGCTGACCAGTAATCCTTGCTGTAAAGTGCTCCTGTATTCATGTTGAGATAGAACGGGAACAAGATTGGCTGTGAATATAATCATAATAATCCTTGCATTTGATATGGCACTTATCAAGACATCTCAAAGCACTTGTAATATGCCCCCTCCACATAGTCGAATAACCTAACTCCACATGAGTCTCCACCCCCTCCATTACTCCCTCCCATACTCTTCTATTCCCTTTTCCCTCATGTGAAAGTTTTGCTTCTTCTTAAATGTCATCTATTTCATACTTTACTGATATGCTACAATATATTGAATTTTGATGTTAAACTGTAATGAATATGAATATACTTAGAATAACTCATCTTTTGTTGCAGTGAATTTGGCTCTGGGAATAGCAGCTAATGATTCGGTAGGTTCTTTTTCAAAATTTATTTTGAACAAAATTATTCTGATCAGTCTGAAATTGTCATTTGTACATAATCTGATAACTACACCATAACATTTAATTGCATTACATTGTAATTTACTTGAAAACGACACTTTGCTCCACAAAATGATATAGTAAGGGGTAGGTTTGCAAAGACACAAAGTGATGGATATACAGGCTAAACCCATAATAATAATAATAATCCTTGCATTTGATATAGGGCTTTTCACGTCGGGAGGACGTCCCAAAGCGCTTCACAGAACACACTGTAAAGTGAATTGACTGTATATTTGTGGGCGAACGTGGCAGTCAATTGCGCACAACAATGTCCCACAAACAGTCGTAGATTGAAAATGACCAATTTATTATTGTTTTTGGTTTGGGAGGGATTATTATTAGGCTCTGTGTGGAGTAAGGAAACTTGCCCAAGGTTTCGCCCTCTGCCTGGAATTGAACTCAGGTCTCTCGCTTGCAAAGCAAGTGCTCTAACCACTGAGCTACAGGACTCCACAAAAGACCAGTAGGGTGTGGGCCTGCAGTATACTTCCAATGTAAGCCAAGCAAGCACAGAAAGCTTGCTTAGTGGATGTTAATGATCCCCGAGCAATTGCTAGAACTTTTGCAAGAGCAATTGTCGGCTTCCTACATGCAGGTGCGATGTGCAGAATGTCACATCAATAGTGATACAGAAGAGCTGACCAGTGACCATTTTTATTGTGCATTCCATTTTAAGCAGGCTGAGTTTATTGACCCAAACTACAATATATAATAATGGGATTGACCGGTACCTTGTAATAAACTTCCACATTATGCCAAACAAACTAAGGATAAGGGTTTGTTGAAGAAAATTCAAAGGGATGATGAGAAAAAAAAGTCATTCCACAGCAGAAGTTTGGAACATGGACTTCTCTGCCATGAAATGTTATGGCAAGATTGGATGCATAAATTCTTTTATAAGAGAATTAGATGGTTGAAAAAGAGAAGAATATTAAAGGGTTTGAAGAAATGGCTCAAGGAGAAAAATACAGAATCAGACTTTATGGGCTGCATTGCCTCCTTCATTAAATCAAGGGAATGCATTACCTGCTTATTATGACAGAACATATTGCTCTGTGGAGTTATAATAATCCTTGTATTTAATATACCGCTTTTCACATCTTCTAGATGTTTCAAAGCGCTTCACAGAATATACTGTAGCCAATTGTGCACAGCAATGTCCCACAAACAGTCGTGGATTGAGTAACCAAATTATTATTGGGTTTTCTTTCTTGAGTGATTATTATTAGGCTGATAGAGTTCGATCTAGTGGCTAAATTGAGGAGTGTCAAAAATATATATCAGTTGAGACAAGTGAGGTTGAGCAGTTTGAGGGGTGAAATTCTAATTCAAGGGGGGGACTTGGTTGAAAATCACTTGATTCAACTAATTCTCAACCGATTCATGCCTTGAATTCGAGGGTGGCCAGAAGAATAGAACTGAACTTCAGAAGGAAAAGTTATTAAATGCCATCAGGAGAGGCGAAAAGGGAGAAGAACTGGTGATGATAAAAAGTGTAAGATAGAATGCGAATGTGAGGGGCTGAAGTGTGCACTGTACTTTCTCTTACAGTCTAAGACAGTGGGGTTACTAGATGCAGATGTGTACGGTCCATCCATTCCCCAGATGATGAACTTGAAAGGAAATCCAGAAATAACAGAGAGTAAGCTTTTATACTTTGATTCAATATTTTAAGATTGTACAGTTGTTCATCAAACAAAAAAAAGACTTGCATATAAGAGAGAACATTTTATTGAATAGAGAACATGACACAATTCAGTTGATCTTTCATTTTAGTTAAAAATGTGAACTATTTTGATGCATCTAGTGAATTAGTTTGTGATTTGTGTTAATCTTTCTGATTGACTACAACATACAAAGGTACCACACTTTACAGTAAATCTTCTGGATGTCCTCCTGACCTGAAAGGCACTATATCAAATGCAAGGATTATTAACATAAATGATAGTCCTACCATAAATGTTGGTGGGTCTGCTATGTAATACATCACTTATTGCACTCTTGCGTGGAGTCCTGTAGCTCAGTGGTTAGAGCACTCGCTTTGCAAGTGAGAGACCTGAGTTCAATTCCAGGCAGAGGGCGAAACTTGGGCAAGTTTCCTTACTCCACACAGAGCCTAATAATAATCCCTCCAAAAACCCAAACCAATAATAAATTGGTCATTTTCAATCTACGACTGTTTGTGGGACATTGCTGTGCGCAATTGGCTGCTGCGTCCGCCCACAAATATACAGTCAATTCACTTTACAGTGTGTTCTGTGAAGCGCTTTGGGACGTCCTCCCGATGTGAAAAGCGCTATATCAAATGCAAGGATTATTATTATTATTGTGATGGACTTTGATCCAGAAGGGTTACCTTACTTGTTTGAGTCCCATTCACCGACATTGTTTTTGTACCTGACAATCACTCGTACCCCATAATTCTGTCATCTATGGAAGCATGACCAAGTTGTCTAGCTTATTATTAATCCTGTATTTGATACAGTGCTCTTCACTTTTGAAGGATGTCTCCAAGTGATTCACAGGATTTACTGTAAAATGTTGTTGAATCACAAATACTGTAGTATGGTCCTCCATCCATAAATCATTGTGCATGTTTTGTGCTATAATTCCTTTGTATTCTTTTCCAGTTTCTTTTGTGTCTTTTTTGTGCCACAACCAATACCATACCTTCAAAGAACAAGAAGTCAAGGAAGCAAAAGATCGATATTTCTTTGTAGAAGCCGACATCAAGGCATTCACAACCCTCAAGGTTGAGAAGAAACTGCACAAAGTCTTTAACATCCTGCGGCACTGCCAGTGAATGCAGGAGGTCCACAAGAAGGCTGTTCGCTATATGCTGCTTTAGGCAGATCCTTCAGGAAAAAATAATAATGATTTAGTCACTCAATCCCCAACTGTTTGTGGGACACTCCTGTGCGGAATTGGCTGCAGCATTTCGCCCACAAAATATACAGTCTTATATATACTTGACAGTGTATTCTGTGAAGCGCTTTGAAATGTCTCAACGACATGATAAGGTGCTATATCAAATGCAATGATTTGTTAAGGATTTATTTCCATGCAGGTCATCCATTTTCAATAGCAATTCTGAACTAAAGAAACTCATTCTTCAATCTGAAAGTCACTGCTATGTGCCTTAGCATATTTGACATACTTGTGCATTTTTTTTGTTCTTATCTCTGTTTGCAACAATTTCATTATTTCTCTAGGGTGCTATTCTATGCACTGTTGAGTTTTGGCCAGGGCTGAGGAAGTTGATGTTAGTGAAGTTGATTAGTAATTTGAGATGTAATTGATGCACTGCAATTTTAGCAATCAGTAGCTTTATTTCTGAATTGTTAAGAGCTAACAGAGTATTGCCCTGAATTTACCAAGTGCTGCTGTAATTTAGTTAATTATTTGTTTGTAATGGCATATTCTGCGTTGTGGTCAGAACAATGGATGTTGGAAGTAAGCCTTGGTATGGAAAACCTTTGTGCTAAGACTGTTTGGCTCTTTTGCCATTGTGATTTTTAAGTAAGTGTGTAGCACTGTTAAGATATGTCAAACTAAGATGAGATAGATTATAATATCAGGTATAAGGTAAAGCACAAAATAACTCCTCCATCAACTACTGTTGTGTTCACTTAGCCTATTAAGTTTGTGGAATGATCGTCAACAAAAAACATAAGGGTCTAGTCAAATCGACTTTCCTGTCTGTATGACTTGTTTTACTTTACGTCAATTTTCCAAGCTTTTCAGATTTCCTGATTGCATTCTACCAGTAAATAAACCATGCTACCAGAATGGGTGGTGTGGGAGAGAGTTCAGAGAGCAAATATCATGGTTTTTTTAGCTGTATTTTAATGTCATTCTTTTGTTACATCTTCCCTGCAATATAAGAGAAACCACTGAATCATTTGGAAAAGAAATGTGCAAATAGTATAGACCTGCTTTTAAACTAAATTATAAATAATGCATAGAATGATGTGTAAAAAATGCTCACCTCTGATGCTGCTTGTCAGATGATTTTGAAGTTGTAGGTTTAGAGTAGGTAAGCTGGCTTTGAAGAATTAATATGTTGCTTTTGTTTTTCTTGCAAGGATTCTCATGAACAAAGGATATAATAAATGCCCCGCTAGTCAAAACTGTTGATATATTGCACTGAAACATTCTGTGCACTAGACAGGAGACATGAAATGTTAAAAGGAACCTCGTCTACAGTACTTGAAGGATGTTCACGTAGATGCAGTTCAATTATTTTTATACAAAATGCGAGTTGTTTCTTTCAAATGCAAATCTGTAGAGCTCAGGCAAGCAGCAGCTCTAGTTGCAGCATAATATAACCAGAATACAACCCAATCACATCTGAAAAAGACAATGACAAAATACCATAGCGTTTGGAGATGCTGCTGATCTTGAGTGTGTATTTCTCAAACATTGTTACTTGAGTAGAAGACCTATCTCAATATACCTATTATGAATGTTGATTTTGTTTTCTTAGCAACAGAGTTCTGTTGAGTTGCATTATTTGTAGGCTTTTATGAAGTTTGCAAGTGTAAATATCATTAGTTTATTTGAAATAATTCTGTAGATCATGCTGGAATATACAACCAAGGACGAAGGCGGTCTTCGGTGGTAATTTACATGAATGACCATCTTGATTTATAAACCATGCTTTTGAATGCATCACAGTATTACACCTGGCAGTGAATGCAACAACAATGTTGAATCAGAATACATTTCTTTTACCTATAATGAACGTATGGATCTTTTCCAATGTCTCTGATTTATGCATACACTACATAACACTGTGATGTTTGATAAGATGATTATCAGAGATCAGTATTTTTCTTGTTGTTTGATGAATTCTGGAGGCGGGAATTTCATGTTTTTGTAAATAGGTTACAATTTTACTGCTGTATCGGGGTAGGAACCAAGCCTCTCTGTTATAATCAAGAATGGCCCATATCGAGCAGTGGAGATTTTAGTCTAAATTCTTCTATTCCATGGCATAATGCTTAAGTAATAACATAATGGACCACTATGCTGGTCATGTATGTATATTTGGGAATGTAAGAATAGTTTTTAAAGTTTTAATTGATGACTGTGCTCTTTTAGATTATATTAAAATATATGTTTTTTTTTTACAAAGAGAACTTGATGAGGCCGCTGGTGAACTTTGGCATTGTCTGGTAAGTATTTTCCTTTCATTTACAACCTGGCTTTCTTGTGCATTTTATTCAGGTTTAAAAAAAAGCATAGTTACTTCTTTATACTTATTGTAAATGATTCTTGACTCTTCTTCCCTCCGTTTCTGTCCCATTCATTGCAGCATGTCAATGGGTTTCCTGGTAGAAGACACGGTGCCAATCATCTGGAGAGGTCTCATGGTGATGTCAGCAATAGAGAGGTTGATAAGACAGGTGAGAACAGTATTGGTGTGTAGTGCTTTCCTATTTTCTCAATATAATAACCATCAGCCACTGCAAGGATTTCCGATTATCTTGGGTTACAAATTTTTTCTTTTTCCTGTTTTCTCCTCTTCTGAAGGTATATCCATATCCATGTTGGTGCAGTTGCGTAAGTGGTGGTGCACAGACAATTTAGATGCCATTCGAATGAGATTGTATTGAAGATCGATGTTGAATGAGCTTTATTGCATTTGAAGAAATACTGCATGATTATGTCATATAGTTGCTTTAAACACAAATGTTTGCTTCAGTAAAATTGGGAGATACCCCTTCTTCACTGGGCAGCCCTTTTCTAGGTTTAATTATAAGAATCATTGGATTTGATATAATGCTTTGTCACATCATTGATATGTCTCAAAGCATTTTACAGTGTGAAGTGCAGCAACTGGATTTGTAGGCAAATGTGGCAGCCAGTTTACACATAGTAATATCCACAAACAGCTATGAATGACTATTTTTTATCTGGGGGATTGTTGGCCAAGACTGCTTTGACTCTGCCTTTGCCTTGAACAAGAAACCAGTTTTTCAGATTAAATACTTTTATTGATTTTATTACAATAATGTAATATATAAATATGAAATATATATGCAGTCATTCTCTGTCAATTTCTTGTTTCACAGGTTGACTGGGGTAAACTGGATTATCTTGTGATTGACATGCCTCCTGGCACAGGAGATGTACAGCTCTCTATCTCTCAAAACATCCCTATTTCGGGTAGGTTTAAATTGTTAATATTCTTGGGTAAACCACAGTGTTGCGTTGATAACTTCCCCAAGAGATCTCTCGATCTGTTCATTACTTTTAAACAGTTGAAATAATAGGCAGCCACAAGAGGGCGCACTGGACTTTTAAAAGCATTTTTGCTTGGGTCGAGATAAGCTTTTATTTTCACAATAGGTTTTGCAAAATATATTTTATTGCATTAAATTAGCCAGTATTTTTCTTTAACTAGGGTTGTTGTCACAAAAATATTTAATTGTAGCTGAGAATATATAAGTAATTCAAGAGATCAATGTTTAAAGAAAGTAGCGTAGACATCTCCTCCTCGGGTATGTAATAATGGATTCAAACAGCTCCATTATTTGTCCATGTATGAAAAGTTAATACCAGCCCTGTAGCCAACGTCTGTATTTGCATTACTTTAAAGAACTCTTTTAAAAGTCCTTTTCTCGTTCTCTCAGTTGGACACCATAGTAAGTTAGCAAGTTGTTTGGCTTCACATTGTAAAATTTGCCCTAGTTCACAGGATAGCCTTTCACCATACAATTCGCATAGGTGTACCAGGGAAAATAATTTAAAGTTGCCAATAAACATCTCAGAGGCCAGACATTGAGTGACCAAAGAAGCAACATAAGGTAATTAGATGTTATTTTCATTTTGAACTGTAGAGGGAGGTTGGGTTGGTTCAGCACCCAACAATCTTAATATCCTCAACTGTAGAATTAAGACTGGATTCAAGCACATGACGATCAATCAGTTTCTGCTATCTGTTGAATCAACTCAGAAAAATTGGAGAGAGTGGCAGCCAAGCTGCTCTTGGGCAAAACTGCCTGAAGATTAAAGTTGTAGAGTCCCAGGAGCAGGCTGACTGCTAATCCTCTTGTTTTTTGAATGGAGCACATTCACACAGTATATTGTTTTCTGATTAGGGTCAGAATATAAATGAACATTTTTTAAAAAATGTCATAGATCTTGAAAAAATTAAGCATTTCTAGTATCAATTCACAAAATCATAGTTTGATATATTTTTCAAACTTTACAGAACAAATGTAATATGAGTTAATCAGTTTGATTAAAATAACAATTAGTTTCCTACTTAACAACCCTAGCATTTAACATCTTACCTTTGCTATAAAGTGTAGCAACTGTGTATTTTCCTTTTTAAATTGCAGGATGTGGTACCTGATTATAAGAAAAATAATATTTTAATACAAAATAATGATACATTTGATCAAAATAATGAACATCAGTATTTTTAGATTAGGCAATTACAAGAGAATTATTTACACTAGATTCACTTCATAAGACTCTGATATAACACTTAAAGACAAATAGAAAAGTAAAATGCCTCTTCACTCCTGAGTAATATGTATTTTTTGTGTGGTATCTAGTGATAAATAAACAATATATGTAATTGGATTCTCTAATCAAAATTAACTATCTTCCTTTAGGAGCAGTAATAGTTTCTACTCCCCAGGACATTGCCTTGTTGGACGCTTGGAGAGGAGCAGAAATGTTTCGAAAGGTTAATGTACCTGTAAGTACAGTTTATGCTGTACTTTTCCCAGCAGGGTGAAACCTTGGGCAAGTTTCCTTACTCCACACACCTAATAATAATCCCTCCAAAACAATAATAAATTGGTCATTTTCAATCCACAACTGTTTGTGGGACACTGCTGTGCACAATTGGCTGCCGCGTTTCGCCCACAAATATACAGTCAATTCACTTTACAGTCTATTCTGTGAAGCGCTTTGAGATGTCGAGAAGACGTGAAAAGCGCTGTATCAAATGCAAGGATTATTATTATAGGATTTTCTGTGTTGGTGATTTCAATTTAATTTAAACTTTAATTTAAATTTAAATAATCCTGAATTCTTGGACTGGAAATTATTTATGTCATTATTTACACAGTGTTACTGTATAACATTGATTTCATGGCCACTTATTTGGAAGGAGTGAATGATCTTAGCATGCCTCAAATGGTAAATATGGTATCACTTTATACCTATCAATAGCAAAGCTTACATAACTTGTGTATGATGAATGAAGTATTGGCTCCATTCTTGTCAAGTGCCCTCTATCAACATGTCATATTGCACTGCAACGTTAAATTTATTCCCAACATCTCTTTAGCCTGGATTTTTGTCTGGGTTGTGCTTGTAAATATGTGAATAAAACTACAACTGAAAACTTTTAAAGGCGATATGATGACACCACTATGAGGTGTCACAGAAATGTTTAAGGTTATTGGTGGTAGGGATTATTGTGGTGAATTCATACCATTATTATTTTCCTCAGGCACTGCAACACTAATTTGTTACAAATATATTTACACACATTGCACAGAGATGCAATGGACTTTGGGGTTTTGATCAGATCAACATTCATTATCAATGGGGAAGTATTTGTTTCCCATAAATTTGCATTGTCACAATTAAATAATTTGTGTGAGCTAAGAACTGGGAATAAAAATAAACAATATATGGAATTGGATTCTGAAATTCCTTTCAGTTCTCTTCTGTTCCTTTCTTGCTTACATTCTGGATTTGGTGGAACAAATTAACGAATATTTGATTTCAAAATCCCTATAATGCTGAATACAGTGTACATGCATTAATCTGTCTGATAAAACTCTGAACATGAACACAGGTTATGCTGTGGTTGCATCAATATCTGAATGGTCTCCTTTAAGCAAAGGTGACTTAATTTGTCAGAAATTCTGGCTAAAGTATATGACGCATTTGCTGCTTGCAGTGTTAGTGCTCAGTTGCTCCTAATAAAACCAAACAGCTCTCAAGAGAAGGAACAGTGAATTGGCATAAAACTGAAAGAACTGGAAAATAGTGATAAGGGTTTTAAATTAATTCCCAGCCAAACTGAAGATAGCAATAACGTCACATGAAAAGGCTGCATTAACGAAATGGAAGCAAACTACAATGAATCACAATTTTACACTGGTGATCAACCAATATTGCATAAACAATTTCTCTACAGTTAGCGTAATCATCACTGATTAAAGTGTAAGGTGATCTGAAAATGCAACAGTTTATCAGTTAGTGGCTGGTTGCTTTTTTTTACAGTGTTAAAATTGTTTGATAAATATCGTGATTGGTAACAGAGCTTAGAAAAGTAATGCATTTTTACCAAGAATTACTCATAAGATGTGTGATTTTTCAGTTTATAATACATCTTAAAAGTACAGCATTTCTGTCTCAACCTGAAGAGATTTTGGATGATGTTAAATACATAAAAAAGCATAAACTGATCCATTTTAAAATACTCTGTAAATGTCAATTGCAAACCTAGAACAATTCTATGTCAGACAATCTTTTTTGATAGATCCTTGGAATTATCCAGAATATGAGTGTCTTCCAGTGTCCAAACTGCAAACATGAGACTCACATCTTTGGGGCTGATGGAGCCAAAGACCTGGCAACAAAACTTGGACTGGCTGTACTAGGTAAAGACCTTGTTTTAACCATTGTTTAAACTATATTAAGAGTGTGAGCAGTATTCAAAATTATGAGGACAGCAACATTTTGAGTTTAGGTATTATAAACATCACAGTGCAAACAGTATTATATCTTAAGACTTATATTTCCATTTGCATCTTGCCATAATTAGGAAAACAGTTGTTCTGATTTTTCTGTTATTTTTCATAGGTGATATCCCATTACATATAAATATAAGAAAAACATCAGATAACGGTCAACCAGTTGTGGTATCGCAACCGGACAGCCCCGAGGTTGGTTTTTTTATTGTTTAGTAAAGGTTGAAAAATATTTTTAAATAATCAGCCATGAGATGTACAGATTTACTATTGTTCCAAGAAATCACCCAAGGATACAAATTACAAATAGATTTAATAAGGTTGAGAACATTTCCAATGCCTCTTTAATCTTAAATAACCTAAGTAGTGTATCTAATTGATAGGCCATAATAATCTTGATTAACAGACACCTTCAGGAATGGAGGGAATAACATTTTGTGTGGGGGAGAATCTGAAATAAAGAGTTCAGTATGAAACCTGTATTGTGTATCAATTCCAAAATACTGTGCCAGTTTATTACTAATATTCCTGTAGGTTAGAAGCCAGAGCCCAGAAAGCAGTACTGGTTGGTTTCCTGGAAAAGTTTGGTGATATCACACTTCAAAATGCCTTATTGATTTGACTTTGGTTTCAACTTACAAAGCAGGTTTAATGCAAGTTATTGTTCATATGGCCACTCCTCATTGCCTTGTTTGGCTGGTGAACAGTCCTTAGTGTGCTGCACACATGCATTTCTTCATGTTATGAAAAGGCTGGTTGCTTTTCCATAACATTAATAAATGTACATGTGCAGCATACTAAAACCAGGTGGACTGTCAGCAGACTGTTTGTGCTTAAGAGCTTTGAACAGTCCTTAGGGAGGAACAATCCTAATGATATTCACACATACTGAATTTATACAAAGCAGGTGCAAATTACAACCCTCCTGAAACATTACCGGAAACCGGGGGTGTGGTTACAACCACAGCTAAGTCAGGTCTTGCACCCACCTGACACCCAAGGTTGGTCACTAGCTTATTTCTTTTTCATTTAACCTACTCCAGCAACACAGAGGCCAACTGTTGCTTACCAGCAACTTACCCTGTCTAGATCAGCTAATGCAGAACACACTGCGCATCAAACCTATAACCTTCTGGTTTGTTTGGCTTAGTACTCAGCACATGGTTTTGGCTTCTAGCACAATGCTATCAAGTGAGGTAGAGGTTGGTTTTGGGTGGGAGGAATGGAGGAATAACCTAACTGGCCTAGTTTCTCAATTTTCTCATTGCTTTTGTAGACCGGACTCATCCTCGAGTCTGTCTGTTGTGCAACGCTGAACCATAGATAAGGAGTGCACCCATAGCAAGTTTGCGTCACAAAAGGGGTACGGGGGGGGGGCTTTCAGCTTATCTTGATAATTATTGTCCAGAGTGTGGAGCCCCCTGTGGTTTTCTTCCCTTCCATTTCTCTCTGCCGATGTACCCGTGACTAAATTGTAGTTATGTGATTGGCTCCTTTCATTAAAGTAACTTTCAAAAAATATCCAGTATGTATTTTCAGCACAACGAATGCCTAACCTTTACAATCTGGATTTTTGACACTCTTTTACCAAAGGTGTCCAATTTAGATCATAAAAAGCTCTGGCACCTTTCTTTTGTGTTGCAGGCCAACGCTTACCTAAGTGTTGCTGCTGCAGTGGTAAAGAGACTGCAAAATCCTTTTCCATGAGCAGTGGAGATTCCAGTCTGTGGCATCCAAGAAGCCCTTGCAAGTTCTTTTGTGTATAACAAACAGGTTAAAGACTTGCTGTGAATCCTGTTGTGAAGACAGCTGCTGGACCAGATATGAACAAATCAATATTTATGTGAACATGCACTGACTATAGAAATCCAATAATGCAACATTATTGTAACAATAGTATTTTTATCTATTAGTAATAATACAAGTGACCTTTGCATTCAGAATATTTTTGTTTTAATGAGTGATAAGCAACCACTGACAAAGTTACAGAGTCTGGTGTATATTACTTTAAATCTAAACTTTTTGGAATAAAATTGATTTCTGTTGATATCCTGAGAGGCAAGTTTTTTGTATCAGTTGTAGATTATTTCTTAATTTAAAACCTGCAGTAATGAAGTTTCAATCCTTTTGGTGTCATCTCTGGTTAATGCATGGATTTCAGTGACTGCTGCTATCAGTGTAAAACATAGATCCCAAACTGAATTAACTATGCCATCTCCACAATAATATGAACCTTATAAAGTACCTGAAACCTTTTCTGGCTTTTGACAGCAAACACTCAGATTTCGGACCTCACCATGTGGCCTTCACTTCCTGCACTGTATAGTACAAGAGGCCCCTTTTTAGCTGTCAACATTCATGTTTATTTCTGTTGGGGGTTTTAGCACATTTAAACTATGTACCATCTGTTGCCTATTCCCCAAGACCGTTTCTGTTTTTGAAATTGTTTTATATAAAACAGATCTTAATGGTTGCAACAAGTTGCAGAACATACTTTTGCTTCAAATGGGCAATTGTTTTAACTAAACTTCTACCACCTCATATGGGAATGTGAGCCATTATGCTCAGTGCTTTTAGAAAAGGGTGAAGATCATCAATGATCAACTGTTGTTGGAGGAAGAAAGTGGAATCCAAAAAAATAAAGCAGCATATGCATATGAGGTGATGTGGTGTTTCTCTCAATTCTTTTCTCTCCCCCCACCGTCTTCAATTACAATCTACAATGTAGAGCAACAAAAGATATGCTAGGCAAGAGTTTTGAAGTGAGGAGAGAGTGGTCAGCTCCAAAGGCAATTCATGCTTTTTTAATGGACCTTTGGATTCAATTATTGGAGAGTCATGAGCAGGAAAGGTGAACTTGCATAGCACAGGAAAACCATGTGATTATGGATTGAAATTTCATTGAATGGGTTTCATTCTACTACTAGACTTGTGTTGAAACGGCCCAAGCTCTCTGCGTTCAGGACCCTTACAATCAACAGAATAATGGCTTACATTCCCAGAGTCCATTGAGTTTTAACTATGTGTGCCCCAGAAATGAAATTCAATGTTCTGAACTGCCACCAAGTACACCAAATCTACTTTTATCAAGAACTACGTAAGTAGAATATTGTATATTTGATATAAATTGATGAATACATACATTTTTGTTATGCACAGGAGCTGCACTAAGTAATTTGTAAGTCAGTTATATAATATGTTTGGAGTCCTGAGGATGCATTTGATTGGAAAAGAGGGAGAAATGTTATCACTGCAACAAAAATGGACTGAGCTCAAGGCAGTGCTTCATCATTTCTCACTTATTGGAACATCCACCTAAGGTGACACAGTTTTTAGTTCATACTTTTGAGTGCCAGAAACGCATTAATATCTAATGCAAGTATATTTATCATTACTTTTTACAATCTCAATAACTTCAGGTGGATCAAAATACGTGTTGGGCCTGCTACTGAGAATTGATGTTCTCAGTAAGTCATATACTTCTGTTTCTTTGAAGACTGTTCAAAGTGGTATTTTAAACCTTGTCTTTCACTTTGACAGTAGGCTGTTAACTTTGCAATTTTGTTGTTTGATTATTGTTGCGTATTTATGGTTATTCTTTGTGTGTCCAGTGGAGATATATTCTTTGCGCTCAGTGATTTATTTTTTGCACAATTTTTTTTGCATTCTTTTTATTTTATTTTCTACTTTTTGAACCGTTGCACATGGTAGGTACATCAATGCATTGTATCTCACTCGGGAGCCACCTACTCCTCTAAAATACCCTGATTTATAAATAAAATAAACGTTTTTTTATATTCAGACAAGTGACTACTACAATTTTATTGATGGCTTATTTAAACAATATATAGATATTTGCAGGATATTTGGGATGGGTAACTATATAGATTCAGAAATCATAAGTAGGTTTTGCTTGTGTAGAATGAATGACAAGATCAGTATTTTGAAGTATATTTAATATCAAAATAGATGTGGAAAGGCAATGGAGTTGGTCACTGTCACCATTAGTCAATATCAACAAGGTAAAAGTGAACACAAACACAGAGGTATAGATTCTTGATGGCACCGCTGACGATCAGAATGTACATTTTTAAAGCTATTTCAAGGGTTCTGCCAGTTTTCATTTACAATGTTAGGAAATCTCATCGACGATTGACCGCAGTGCAGATCCCCATTTGACACTCAGTTGGAGTGTGAAAGGAAAAAGGGCTTAAAACAGGCTTTTTGAACCCATTATAGTCTCAAATAAAGGGTAGTTTTTTTTTAAAAGACTCCTTTGGCCTGAAATTCCACGAATAGAATTTGTCTAAATCTAAGATCACACAGAATTGTGGAAATACTTAAATTCAGTCTTTGACAGCCAGTTTCTTTTAAGAATTTCAGAAAATAGGCTGCTAGATTAAGACTGAATTCTAAGAATTTTCCACAATTCTGCATAATCTTAAAACAAAATGGACTAAACCAGCTAAGATTAGGTGGCATTTAAGGTCTCTTATCTTTTATTCTGACATCTAGATTGTAAATCTTGAATCTGGATTTCTCTTCCCAAAAAGGCTGTGTATATTGGGGGAATTGAAATTTTCAAGTCTGAAATTTATAGATATCTGTTAGGTAAAGGTAATCGAATATGGAGAAAAAAATATTTGTGCACAAATAGTTCTAAAGTGTGCCTCTTAAACTACATATGTGGATGTATCCTAATTAAACTAACTTGATTATCGGAGAAAAGATGGTAAATGCATCCATCCCCTTTGCTCCACTCAAGCACTGCCTTGAAGTAGGTTTCAGTGTGGGATTATGTTAAATTAGGATTATTTGGAAAATCAGATCTGCAACCTTTACCACTTCTAAAGAGAATACTAGTACTTTAGTAGGGACATCCTTTCCAATGTGAAAGGCGCTATACAAATATAATTTTGTTGTAGTATCCCCCACTTTTCCTCAGAAGGGATATTCATTGTCGAGCTCTTGTGCCTCTGTATAAATCAGGCATTGTTGTTCAATTCTGCTTCTCTTGCCACAGGATAATATTTGGTGCAGAGTGCCTTCTGGGTAGACCCACCTTTTGCAAGAATCTCTAACATTATGAGGAATTAACCCATTTTCTGTTCTGAGGTACAGCCCATTTATTTGTATACTGGCATGCTGTGCTGCTGGCCCACACAAATGAAGTGTTATTTTATGTAAATTAATTCAGTGAGAGGGAGGCTACAGGCATTAGTTTCTAATTAACAAAACAAAGATTTTTTATTAAGATTAAATACTTCTGTCCTTTTAAATTTGGCCTTCCAATTTAAATGCTATTGTATTCACCGTTTTGAAAAGATCAGTGTTTCAATTTTAAATTGGCCATGTGATGAATCTATCTGCAATGTGCTCAGTTTAATCAACACTGCCATAACTATGATGCTAAAACTATCATTAAGCTTTATAGAATCCTATTTCCTCAGAGAATTTCACATGAATCCTAACGCTGGGTTAGGATGCACTACATTCTTCACCTCATTTTGACTTTCACGATCTTTTTGTACACAAGAAATGCTAAATTTCCCTGCATTTGCCTTTGGTATGCAAAATCCTTCCTGTGAATCATTTTATTCAATACACCTAATAAGAGTATATCTGTAATGTGTATCTGAAACCTAGTTCCTTCAGACCATCATCTGCAAATATGATACAATCAGACATAAGCAGACCCTTGTAATAATCCCTGTAGGGTATGATGATTATGCTGCGCTAGGATGAGTTGAACTGTAAAGTGCAAATACAACTAATGATAGCCATAGGCTGTGAAACATGTAAATATGTTTGTCAACCATTGCATTACAAACACGACAGTTAACATACTTCAAATGTCACTACTGCTTGAGCTGTGTGTCCAGGATAGCTCCAAGGGCTCTGGATTGAATATGGTTCTTAAGTAAATTGGTTTGGAGGCATCAGTGGTCTTTTCTTAATTGTGAAACTATTTTTCTTCATGTTCATGTTCAAGAACAATCTGTATATTAGGACGTTTGGAGGTATTAGCAAGAATATTAGAATTTTAAAAAATGTTTGATCCCTTTCACAACTTGTTCATTGACACAATATCCCTGGGAGTAGCCTTTGACATTGGAATGTAAGTTAACATTCTTTGAAAGAAATCTTTTATTTGGCTTCTTCTTAGTATTATAGATTGCACTGAAAATTGTCAAACATTGATTACATAATGTGTAACCCCCAGCAAATGTGTTCATGACAAATCTTTCCAAGTGCATTTTCAGCAGATGAAATTCTAAATGCTGCCTGGTTCTCAAAAAAACAGGAAGTTTCATGGTCTGTTATCAGTTGTGCCAATTATGTCGCCTTGCAGATAGGACATGGATGTGGGGTTTCAAGGTGCTGGAGGGTTCGCGGCTATCCATGTGGATCTGGAATTTTTGAGAGGTATCTGTTATGGGAATTGAAGGCACAATAACAATTTATTTTCATGTAGGATAATATCTCGAATCACTTTACAAGGAGGAAGTGAGAACTGAACAAACAAAATTGTGAGAACAACAACAAAATTACATTTGTAAAGCGCCTTTCACTTCGGGAGTATAACATGGGGAAGTGTGAAGTTATTCACCTACGTAGTAAAAATAGAAAAACGGATTATTTTCTAGAGGGGGAGAGACTAGGCAGTGTTAATGTTCAGAGGTGTCCTTGTACACCAGTCACAAAAAGTTAGTATGCAGGTACAGCAAGCAACTAGGAAGGCTAATGCATGTTGGGGTTCCTTGCAAAAGGGTTAGAGTATAAGAGCAGGAAAGTCTTGCTTCAATTGTACAAGGCCTTGGTGAGACCGCACCTAGAATATTTTGTGCAGTTCTGGTCTCCTTATTCAAGAAAGGATATACGAGCCTTAGAGGGGGTGCAGCGTAGACTCACCAGGTTGGTTCCTGAGATGAGTGGGTTGACCTATGAGATAGGTTGAGTAAACTAGGCCTACATTCTCTAGAATACAGAAGAATTAGAAGTGATCTTTTAGCAACTTATACAATTCTTAAGGGTCTTGACAGGGTAGATGCCGTGAGACTGTTTCCCCTGGTTGGAGAATCTAAAACTAGGGGTCATAATCTCAAAATTAAGGGTCAGCCTTTTCGAACCGAGTTGAGGAAACATTTCTTCACTCAGACGACAGTGAATTTGTGGAATTCTCTACCCCAGAAGGCTGTGGATGCTCAGTCCTTGAACATGTTCAAGACTGAGGTTGATAGATTTTTGAAGGATAGAGTGATTAAGGAATATGGGGATCGGGTGGATAAATGGAATTAGGTTAGAAGATCAGCCATGATCTTATTAAATGGCGGGGCAAGCTTGAGGGGCCAAATGACCTACTCCTGCTCCTACGTATTATGGTCTTATGGAAGGCGCTGGACATACAGAGTTATGGACCTGAGCTGGGGGTCGGGGAGGGTGGAGGGCAGGGGGGAAGCAGGAAGATCGAAAGCACGGTCGAAGAGAAGGGTCTTGAGATGGGTATTGAAGGTGGTGAGGGAGGGGTTGAGATGGAGGGACTGTGGGATGGAGTTCCAGAGGGTGGGGACAGAGTGGTGGAAGGCCCGCCCGTCAATAGTGAGGCGAGTGAGGCGGGGGACGTGAAGCAGGCCGGAGCCCACAGAGCGGAGGGAGTGAGCAGGATGGTAAGGGGTTAAGAGGTTGCAGAGGTCGGGGGGAGCAAGACCATGGAGGGCTTTGAAGGTAAGGACCAGGATCTTGAACTGTATCCTCTGTGTGTTGGGAAGCCAGTGGAGTTGGGCGAGGATGGGGGTGATAGGTCACAGAGCCTAGTGCGGGAGAGGACACAGGCTGCAGAGTTCTGGATGATCTGCAGCCTGTGGAAGGAGGAAATGGGGAGGCCGACAAGTTTGCTTAGTCGAGCCTTGATATAATTAAGGCGTGTATGAGGGTTTCGGCGGCCTACAGTGTGAGACAGTGTCGGAGCCGGGCGACGTTGTGAAGGTGGGGGAAGGCAGAGTGGATTATGGTGCAGATGTGGTGAAGAAAGGATGGTTGAGGGTCAAACAAGACCCCCCGGACTGGCTTAGCAAGGTGGGTGTGCAGCTATGGATGGTGATGCTGTCAGCGCCTGAGGTGAGGAGGTGCTGACGGAAGCCAATCAGGAGAGCCTCGGTCTTGTTGACATTCAACTGAAGAAAGTTAGCTCTCATCCAGGACTTGATGTCCGACAGACATTTTGTCAGGACAGCAGTGGTCCTGGAGTCAAGGGTGGAGACAGAGAAGTAGAGTTTAGTGTCATCCGCATACATGTGGAGGTTGACCCCATGTCTGTGGATGATGTCACCAAGAGGGAGCATATAGATATTGCAGGTGGGAGATTAGTGGTGGATTAGAGGGAGATGACTAAAGAGATTGAAAAGGTAACTTTTTAGAAGATACTGGGAGAGAAAGAGTCCAAGACAACAAAGGAGTAAGCTGAAGAAAAAAACATAATGATGTATTATGACCAGTGGTGATTTTAGTCACGAAGCCAGTAGAGGAACTACATACTTCAGTTATTAAATTATATTTCCTACTTGGCAATATGCTTATTGCAAGTGCCCCATTGATGTAAGTTTCTATTTAGTTTCACTTCTCCATTGTCAATTATTAAACGTCTTTCTTTTAAGAATGTATTTTATTGTTCTATTACAGTATTTGACTTTACTGATTTTCTTGATACTCATTAAAAAGCTGTTATTCATTTTACATCAAAAGCTTTATTTTTATTTACTCCTGTTGTAATAATGAGTTGTGTAACACCATAGCTCCCATGTTT